TGTTTGGTTGAAAAATGTTCAATTAATGAAAGATTTTTGAATGGTGGAAATAATACAAAACCAGCTAAACTCAATCAAGCAACATGACATTTAAAGAAGTCAAAAACGTAATTTTCCATGTTGGGTTATAAAGTCATCGATATTCAATTAGAGATCTCATCAAGAGGCGTAACAAGATCTTCAGCTGAAGGAGAGTTGAGAATTGTTACGAGTTTTCAGTTAAGTACTGATTGATGTGGTTCCGAATGATTACGGATACGATGCCTTAAACATGCATGGTTTCTTTAGTTGTTGTTCAAATATCCTGCGAAAGTCAGTTTTCCGTCTTTCACTGGTGTCTTTACCGCAATCATTGCAGCCATGATGATGAATGCATACAACGCCAAACAAGCCAACCCCAATACGACGCACAAACAAACAGCCTTCTTTGTGTCCTTCATTTTTTTTTATTATTTGCATGAAATACCATGACAGAGAAAGATCGTTCCGAGTGTATTCCATCATCACAACAAAGAATATCTTTACAAAATTAAAAAGTCACACGCGTTAAAAATACAACAACAACACTTACTCGGAGAGCACACCATACTCCATCAATGATAACAATGATTTTTTGGTGTTTTAAAGTGCTCCGATCACATACTCATCTCTCACACGAGAGACGGAATTATCATCTTGACAGAATGATAATCACATAGTTATTATTATATAGATCTATGGCCCGAATGATGAATCATTTTAGTTGTCTCTTCAACTTACCAATGTAATAAATGATGGTAATTCTTGATCAAAATATTTCTTGCTCCATTACCGTCACGAGGGATGTGGAAGTGACAATGATTGCAATGAAACCATTTGCTTCCATAAAGGTCTTCCTTGATCACTGAACAATTTCCACACGTTTTCGATGTATATTGTTCTGTGACAACATGTACCTTGCATCCACGCATTTCTGCCTTTTGCAAGAGTTTCATTCGAAAATCATAGTGTCTAAATCGCAACATTTGGCGAACAGTTTTTCTAGTAATTTTTCTTCCAACCCATTCGGAAGTGTTGGTGGTGGTTTCACTCGTAGTGGTGTCCCTTGATTCCCATCCTTCGAATGGTGAAGACGATGCAACAAGAGGTTCTGTTCGCACATCCATATTCTCCGTTTGGCCATTAGTATAACCTTCTTGTCCTTGACACGTGGTATCTTCTTTTCCTTGACGCTTCCTTTGTTTTTGTTTTCTTGCAATCATGGCCTTGACATTAAATTCAGGTATTATAATTTCAGAATAGTGGAAAGTTAAATAGTCAATGATTTTGTTATGCATATCATTCACCTTATTTCTAATTTTGCTTTCCAGCCTTCTAATCTTCTTTTTTAAGGCTTTTCTTAAACCCTTATAAAATTTTCGTTCCTGCCGAGAATTGTATTTTAGAAATTTGTTCTTGGCAATTTCCGACCTGAGCTGATCTTGCTTTAGAGAAAGGGAAAAGAGTATGGTGTTTTCTCCTTGAGCGGCAAACTCCAACGCGTCTCCATTACTATCATAACCATACATGAAGCATCGAACACCTGGATCCAATGCAATGTATTCCTTTCTGAGTTCATCTTGAGAAGGTTGTGGGCAGTCCTTGAGAAATTTCGTGTCATATTCAGTTCCACTGTTCGAATTGGACTCGTAGAAGCTTTTATCAAACCGTTGGAATTCTTGTCGAGTTAAAGCTTTGTGATAACGGACTGGAAGGCAAACAAAATATCTTCCTCTTTCTCGTACAAAGGTTGTCTCGTGTGAAAATTTTTTGTTGTCTTGATGTTTGGGCAGGCAAAGGGCAGACGGATCATGGAAAAATTAGAATTCAGAAAAGTTCCAATCACATGAATCAATCACATTCATGTAAGGGATTCAAATCACATGTAAGTAAAATCGAAATACATATATATACATACCAATCTCTTCCTTTAACCACTTTCGTGCTCTTGCAGGATAATAAAATTTCAAAAGATGATCCGTAGATTTCTTGGAAGGACATGCACTTTCATTCCCTTTAAAAAAGGTAGGTTTTAACAACACTCCTTCCTGTGATAATGAAATGTCTCTCACTTTGAACGACTGATATGGATGTTGATTGCTTCGTCCTTTCATTTCGAATTCACGAGGTTGTCGAGTAAAATGCTTGGGATTAAATCTTTCGTTCAATTCCTCATCAGTAATCATCTCCTTCTTTCCTTTTTGAACATCTTTAAGAAATTTGGTTTTGGCCTTTCGAGCAGCCTCTTTGGATTCCTTTTCTGCTGCTTGCTTGTTTTTATATCTAGTAATTTTCTCAGCCTTGACAAAGTCTTTCACAGCGTTCAATTTAATATCTGCTGGACAATGTTTCAACTCTTGATCCCATAGCCACCTAGTTTGTTTGAATCTCAGGTTGGTTTGGGGATTCTTCAAAATTTTAAAGTAATCGTCTTCTGTGGTGGTAAGGAGTGTTTTTCCCTTGTTTTGCTCTAACATGAAATGAAGGAGACATGCTTCATTATAAGCATGGTTAGAATTGAAGAAAAATCTTTCAAAGACCTTCTTTTGTTCTGAGGTGAGTTTCAATCTCACTTTCTTTGTTCTCACAAAATAATTGTCTTCGTTTGAGATTGAGAAGGAGGTGTAAATTTGTTTTAGCAATTTCTCGATAGTGTCATCAGCTTTTTCCTTTGATTCCGCAGTAGTGGAGGAATTGACTCCATTCTCAGCAGTCGTAGATGAACTCACTTCATTCTCAGCAATCGTAGATGAATTGACTCCATTCTCAGCAGTCGTAGATGAACTCACTCCATTCTCAGCAATCGTAGATGAATTCACTTCATTCTCTGCAGTAGTGGATGAATTCACTTCGTTCACAGCAGTCGCAGATGAACTCACTTCATTCTCAGCAGTCGTGGATGAATTCACTCCGTTCTCTTGAAGCATTGTTAAAGACTCCTCTAACGCAGATACTTGCTTGAATTCCTGAACAAGCTTCTTCTTTTCTGACCCAAACTTGCGTCCGTTGAACGAGCAGACTGTCCTTTTAAACTTGGAATTTCCACACTTACATGGCGTCTTTTTCCAAGTTTCTGATTTGCACCACACTTTTTCTACCAATTCCTTCTTGCTCGGAGGTGGTTTTGTGGATGGACATCGTTGGCGAACGGAGAGGGTAAACCAACTTTGGGTCGGTATTTTCAAACCATTCTTGGCAAAACATGACACAGGACAAGTCTTGTTCAAACGATCAACCGTATCATCATGCCAAAACGGTTTTCTTAACTCCTTTGAATCAGTTGAAACAGTGGAATTGGGAACCATCCTTCTCTTATTCAATCTCTTCTTCGATGGTTGTTGTTTGTGATAGAGTTGCCTTTTTTTTAACCGTCGAACCTTATTTTTCAGCGACTGAAATGTTCGGTGTATAAAGTAATCTCGGTAAATTTGTTCCAAATTCATTCCCTTCCGCAAGGATGTCACAATTAAATCCTCTTCCGACTGTGAATAAGGTTCTCCTGGAGTCGTTGATACATTGGACTTGTTCGATGATGGTTGTGCTTGTCTTAACGGTAAGGGTTTGGATGGACTTAATTGACCAAGTTTCATAATCATTTTCTGGTAATGATCAGAATTTGTCCATGTTTCTGGAAAAGTTATCGATACAGTAGAGGTAAAGGTGTTACTATCAGTGAATTCTGAAAAGGTTAAATCATCGACACTCCATTGAATGATAAAATTTGTTGCATCTGAAGCATCATACGCTCCTTCCAATCTGGCACGATTAATCTTTCTTTTCAATTTCTTATACTTTTTCTTCAATGAGTTGATGGATCTATCAAAAAAGAAAGTACCAATTTTGCTCCATTCCAGATTGAATTGTTTTAAAAATAACAACATGTAATGTTCTTGGGTTGCGTATGCTTTTCCTTGATCGAGAGAGAGAGGTTCAATACTAATTCCACGCTCCAAATAAGCAGTCCTTAATAAGTCTCCAAATTTATCAACAGTAGATACGTCTTTCAATACTTCCAATCTCTGCCAATGAGAAGCAACCTTCTTCTTTTTCTTTGCTCTTTCTTCCTCACACTTGTAATGATCACTTAAAGTGTGTTCACATGGCGAAAATTTAATTTGCGCCATTGGTATGTATGGAGGGATAGAGAAACCACCAAAACCACCAACGCCTTTCAATTTACGCCATTTATCAATACGTTCCATCATGGAACGTTTTTGATAAGGATGTTTGCATATCATTTGTGGTTGCCCCTTTATCGCCAAGACTCTCTTTGAATTTTGAAAGGTTTTTTCAATTTCTCTGGTAGGATTGGGTGATTTGATGGGGTTGATATTGGTATTGTCAACATGTTCCAACTTGGGTGATTCTTGGTCCTTTGTTGATGTTTGTTCTGAAGTTCTTGGAGGAAATGGGGGAATGATTGGATATAATTGAGGAGAGAAGGTATTTAGAGGAATCCATGGTGGAGGAAATCTAGGTTGAAAAGAGAGATTTGGGGAGAAAATGGCGGGATTTGGAGGGAAAATTGGTTGAGAGGATGGATTTTGTTGAGTGAAAAGATTGGGATTTGGTGGGAATATAGGTTGAAGGAATGGATGATGGGAGGAGGTGAAACGAGGGTTGTTTGAATTATTCTCCTCACGACTCTGGTTGTTCATGATGAATTGTTTTTTTTAATGATGATTCAATAACACAACTAAAATTCAGCATGTATTTATTGTATTCTTAATGTCCTACCATTACGTTTTAAATTACCATTTTCAACGTTTAATAATTCAATTCGAGAAATTTGTAGCACCAATTTCGAAATTGCATTAATTTTTACCCATTTCATAAATTCCTTATTTAGGGGTATCTGTAGGATCAAGTAATATTTATGATTTCACCGAAAATGGAAGCCATGACATCCATACTTGCACGTGTATTCGAGATAGGGTGACAAATTCCTTTCGCTAATTAAAAATCTTTGTTTGGTAATTTTTTGTAATCCCTATACTTGTACCAGATTCTTTTTCACAAGACACAAATTATTTACATTCATCGCGCCTTAGTTTTAAATACAATCAAACATACAACACCCTCGCGTTGATAAAAACTTGGAAAATCAATTTCTAATTGAGTAGAATAGATGAAGACAAAGTCAAAAGACTCTCATGATTGAAATAAGCGTGGTGGATGTTGGTTGTATGTTGTAAATGATGATTAATTGTTAAAAATTGCTTATCAAACATATTTTTCAAAACCCACAATTTTGATGATTTTGTTAAATTATAATCATTGCAACCCTTTCATCGTTTTTACACTGGCAATACCTTCTCGCTGATCTACTGTATCCAGTAGTATGGAGAACTCTCGTGAGGGAGAAACAGGGTTGTCGTCCATGTTTATACATGGAGAATGCTCCGCTTGAAGGTTGTTCATTGATAATCATACCCACCGCTTGTACTCTCACCACAACAGCTTCAACGAGATGGCATCAAGGAGAAGGTTATTTTTGATGATTTTGATGGCAGGACCTGTTTTTCGGTTACTGCTTTAAAGTGTTGATGAATAACCGTGTTGTTTTTGTTTATTATTGGTTCAACAATCGTTTTAATACGCAATGATTATTATTCAAAATAGAAACAACCATGATGATCAATGGACTTGAACATCGGAGTGGGTGGCCAGGTGTTGAGTGCATTTCGCATGATTGTTCTCCAACTCAATATTTAGCAAGAATTCGAACACTCAAAAAAATATCCTTAATAATAATAAATATTTTCTATCGTTCGGGTAGGGTGGTGATGATAATGAACAACAGCAAGCCTTCCGAACCAATGATGCCCTTTTGAGAGATTCAATACGAACCAATGATGTCATTTCCTAGGACTCATCAGACTCTTCATCAGAAGAAGTATCACTATATTCATCACCCACCCGCTCGTAATCGTGATCCGTCCATACTTCTGCCCCTCACGGCTCGTTATTGAGTAGTCCCTTAGGGTTATTTTCAAGTTTTATCGGTTGTTGTTGTTGCTGCCATTTATTAGTCCCTTATTATCATGTTTCATCCAAATATTGTTGTTCTCACGAGTTGCAAATGTTCTGCATGTACTATTTGTATTTTGCCAAAAATCGTTATGCAATTCCGGGCGGATCTGCCTAAAGCTTTACAAGGCATACACCCTCTCGGTTGGAACTGAGGCAAGTTGTTGTGCAATAAAGTACATAAACAAAAGCACTCAAATGATGCATCAAGAAACGTTGACCCTCGCCAACTCGCCAACAAATTCGCTGGAGTATTTTGGCTCGGGTTAAACCACTGTGTGTCACTCTTAATTTCGTAAAGATATTCGTTTGACATGACCATAATTGTAATGGTCAACCGTTAAAATGGCGCGACAACCGCCATCCAAAAAAAAATCGAATCGGCGCTGCTCCACATCAGCCATCTCTCTTCCCAGCGCTGCAAAGAATACCATCATCACCGCAGCTGTTGCATCATTTTATCATCATCAACTACAATATATATTCCCACTACATTGAACGTTGTTGGAATCTTGAGTAAATATATACAACAACAACAATCATCAGACGACTTTTTTTTTCTTTGCTGATATCTTCCACTTTTAATTTAACGTACAACAACTTTCGTAAATACATATATACATCATCATGTCTACTCCTACAACACCAACAGACATCGATATTGATGGCATCATTTTCAAATTATTAGAGGTTAGAGGTTCTCGACCTGGAAAACAAGGTTTGTATTTTCGGTATGGTAATCATTTGATGAACTCATCATCCACTGTGCGTACTAGTGAACCTAACTGAAAACGAAATCAAACAATTAATATTAAAATCTAGGGAAATATTCATATCTCAACCTCCATTGCTGGAGCTCGAAGCACCTATTAAAATTTGCGGAGATGTACACGGGCAATATTATGATCTATTGAGATTGTTTGAATATGGAGGATTCCCACCAGAAGCTAATTATCTCTTTTTAGGTGACTATGTGGACAGAGGAAAGCAATCATTAGAAACTATCTGCCTTTTACTCGCCTACAAAATCAAATATCCAGAAAATTTCTTCCTCTTGAGAGGTAATCACGGTATGTACATTGATCAAACCTGTTTGTAATGTTTAATGTTGTTATTAGAGTGTGCTTCTATTAACAGAATTTACGGATTTTACGATGAATGTAAAAGGAGATACTCCATAAGATTATGGAAGAGCTTTACTGATTGTTTCAACTGTATGCCAGTTGCAGCAATCATAGATGAGAAAATATTCTGTATGCATGGTGGATTGTCACCAGAACTTCATAACATGGAACAAATCAGAAAAGTAATGCGTCCAACGTAAGTACACACACGATTGTGCAGTAGTTTGTGTGACCGATTTTAGCGATGTACCAGATAGCGGTTTACTTTGCGATTTATTGTGGAGTGATCCTGAAGAAGGAATCCAAGGATGGGGAGAAAATGATAGAGGAGTATCATTTACTTTTGGAAGTGATGTTGTAGAAAAATTCCTGAAAAAACACGATTTGGATCTTGTTTGTCGTGCTCACCAAGTAGTAGAAGATGGATATAAATTCTTCGCCAAGAGACAATTGGTGACGATTTTCAGTGCACCAAACTACTGTAACGAATTTGATAATGCAGGCGCAATGATGTCCGTAGATGAAACTTTGATGTGTTCATTCCAAATATTGAAGCCAGCAGTCAAGAAGAGCTATTATTATTAAAGTTTTGATTTTTCTATCCCACCAATCAGCACGTTCCAACCGTCCAATAATGAATTTGTCATGTCGTTATTGGCTATACAACCCGAGTCACATGGCAAATTTCACATGATTAAAATAGATGCTTGTCTTAATTTGAAATTAGTAGTAGATTTACCTTGTTTAGCATGTTTAATTACGCTTGTTGACATGTTCATTTTCGCTTTAACAAAGTCTCAAGTCTGTAGCTTGAAGTTCAAGGTAATGCGAGTATGGGTTAACATTCAATGTATCCAAATTTTGCTTCTTGTCTTTCAAATCCTTTAAACATTTCACATACAGGTTAAACACTTCGTAGTTGTTGAATAAATGTCTATCGTAATTGATTGCTTTTCGTCTGATGAGATAATGTTGTTCCTTTAACTTTTGGTTGTTGTCTGGGAATGGAACGTCAACAATCATGCTAATGTCAGAGCCAATCTTCTTCAAAATCTCAGCCTCCTCGTCTAACTTCAATTGGCTGGCAAGACAAATTCCTCTTTCATCAAGCGGCACATATTGCTGCAACTGTAGCACGTGATATTTGAGCTGGGGTAAGTTTTGAGACAATTTCTCAGCAACGTAGGGTGAAACATAAATAGTGTATCGTAAATGTTGATATAGAATGTAAATAGATTGAAGTAAATGGTTAATTAACTCCATATTGGCCTTGGTTGAGTGAGGGAATGAGGCAATTAACACGCTCTTACTACGATGATCTAATGAAGTTGGTAAATTTGGGAATGCACTACTCATGCCCTTTAAGAAGGCATCTCTGACAGTTTGTCCAAAGCATGCCACTTCACCAGTACTGGCCATTTCTACACCCAATTTTGGATCACAATCAGCCAATCTCTTGAATGAAAACATTGGAGTCTTACATCCGTAGAACGATTTACAGAATCGTTTTCTTTGAATGGATTCATAGGTCATTGAGTATTTATCAATCAACTCATTGTGATTTGGAGAGGATTGTTGCTGTTGATTATTGGAACGTAGTTGAGCAATTTCATTCAATAAATTCATTTGCTCATAATAATTTTGAGTTGGTACTTTCTGTTTGGATGTCATTTGCTCAATATTTGATGGTAAAAGGAAGGTATTTGTGAAAACTTTGGCTGCTAGGGCGATAAAGTCCAAATCAAGAGTCTTTGATACGAATGGGAATGATCTTGAGGCTCTTAAATTGCATTCAATAACTCTCAATCTCTTTGATAAACTTCTATATAACTTGAGAGCTTCCTCTTGTGGGTCTTCCTCTTCGTCACTCCATGAAGATGGTTGAGTATTGTTCGCACTGTCATGTGGAAGTTCATTATCAAAGAGGAATTGCATATTGAATGGACCACTAATGTTAAGTGCTTTGGCAATAAGAGCTGCCTTTTCTCTAATAAGATCTTGAATATCAAAACTCAAGCTGTAAGGTGGACAAATTAAAGTAGCATCTCCACTATGAGTTCCTGCTCTTTCTACATGCTCACTGATAGCATCAATGATAATAAATCCATTTTGAGCAACACCATCAATTTCAATTTCTTTGGCGTTTTCATAGAACTTGGAAATAACAACAGGATGTTCGCTTGAAACGTCAGCAGCTTCATACAATTGTTGTAATAATTCAGTGTCTGAGTACGCCACATTCATAGCTGCACCACTCAATACATAACTTGGTCTAATCAAAACTGGGTATTGAACCTTGTTGGCAAAATAAAGAGCATCTTCAACAGTAGTTAGAGCAGCCCACTCAGGTTGATAGACAAGTTTCTCTCCTCGATTGTCGACAAGAGAATCTAAAAGTTTGCTGAACTTGTTTCTGTCTTCACATGAGTCAATGGAATCTGCACTTGTTCCAAGAATATTCACATTACATTGCTTATCGAGAGGAAGAGCAATGTTATTGGGTTGTTGACCTCCAACGCTAATTATAGCACTAGAACATGATTCTTGTTCATAAATATCCATCACTCTTTCAAGACTCAGTTCTTCAAAATAGAGGCGATCTGGTTCGTCATAATCAGTAGAAACAGTTTCTGGATTGTAATTGATCATGACAGTCTTAAATCCTAATCTTCTTAACTCACGAATACACATCACACCACAATAATCAAATTCTACACTGCTACCAATTCTATAAACTCCACTTCCCAAAACCATAACACCCTTATCATTAAATGTCACATCATGGTGGAGATGATGATCAGGATATACAAATTTGGACTTATTTTGGGATTTCTCATCAGGTAATGCAATGCTGTTGATTCCAGCGTTATAGGTTGTATAAAGATAATTTGTTTGGGCAGGATACTCTGCTGCTAAGGTGTCAATTTGTTTAACAATTGGTTGAATCTTGTGAATATACTTTCTGACATATCTAACGATCAATTCCTTATCAATATTTGTTAAATGATCTTTTGAGGATAATTTGTAAGGGAAAGACGAATCTGGAACAAAGTTTTGGAACACAGAGTTTGGAAGGTAAGATGCTATTTGCAAATCTGAGAAACCTTGCTGCTTTGAGAGAATTAAGAGAGGGTATGGAATGTCAACAGTTGATTGCATATACTTGCCGACTCCTTTGAGTGCCTTTCTGGTTTGTACAATGTTATTGAGCTTGTACAAGAACCAACGATCAATTTGTGTGAATTGATGAATTTGGTCTACGGTCATGTCAAACAAGTCCATGGCCAGAGCAATTGCGAAAATTCTTTGATCTGTTGGATGTAACAATTCTCTAATTACTCTTTGTTTAACCTCTTCCTTAGCATTGATCACTGTTGGAATTGCAAATGGATTGCTATTTGGTTGAATAATGTTATTTGGAATGGTCTTCAATAGCTTTTCATAATCAAATAGTGATCCAGTGGTTTCAAATCCTCTATAACTCGTGTTGACCATACGAATAGCTTTTTGAATGGCTTCTTCAAAATTACGACCAATAGCCATGACTTCACCAACGCTCTTCATTGCACTTCCAATGTTAGTAGAGACACGAACAAACTTTTTCAAATCCCATCTTGGCATTTTAACAACACAATAGTCAAGAGCTGGCTCAAAGCATGCAGTAGTTTCCTTTGTCACTGAATTCTTAATATCAATTAATTCCATTCCCAATGAGAGCTTCGCAGCAACAAAAGCAAGAGGATATCCTGTGGCTTTGCTTGCTAAGGCAGAGCTTCTACTAAGACGAGCATTGACTTCAATGATTACATATTCTCTACTGTAAGGATTGAGAGCATATTGAATATTACATTCTCCAACAATTCCCAAGTGTCTAATCACCTTAATAGCTGCAGTTCTGAGCATATGATATTCGTCATTATTAAGAGTTTGAGAAGGAGCAACGACAATTGACTCACCAGTATGGATGCCAACAGGATCAAAGTTTTCCATGTTACAAACTGTAATGCAATTGTCGTTAGAGTCTCTTACAACTTCATATTCAATCTCTTTCCATCCTTTAACACTCTTTTCGACAAGAATTTGAGGAGATGAGCTTAATGCTTGAGTAGCTAATTCTCTTAACTCTCTTTCATCATTTGCAAAACCAGAACCAAGACCACCCAAAGCGAAAGCAGCTCTCACGATCACTGGGAATCCAATTTTGTGTGCACTAACAATGGCTTCATCGACATTGTCACATGCACATGAATCGGCAACTGGTTGGCCAATTTCTCTCATCTTTTGATTGAAAATATCTCTATCTTCGGTATCAATAATAGATTGAACTGGCGTACCTAATACTCTACATCCTAATGTTTCCAACACACCACTCTTGTGCAATTGAACACCACAATTTAGTGCTGTCTGACCTCCGAATGAGAGTAACAATCCATCTGCTGCTTCCTTTTCAATAACTTTTTCAACAAAATCTGGAGTAACTGGGCCGAAGTATACTCTATCAGCAAGTTCCTTCGATGTCTGGACTGTAGCAATATTTGGGTTAATTAAAATTGTAAAGATTCCCTCTTCTTTGAGGGCCTTAATACATTGTGAACCACTGTAATCAAATTCACCTGCTTGTCCAATTTGAAGACCACCACTTCCAAGCACAATAACTTTCTTTGGGAGAGGAGGTTTCTTGGAAATTGATTTTTCTCGTTTTTGTGACGGATCTCTCTTATATTCAGCCGAGAAGATACTCTTCTTCATCAATATTTCTTGTTGTTGGAAAATTGGTGTGCTAATGTCTGATGTATCCTCAATAGATTGCAAAAGTTCATTAAATTTGGTTCTCATATTCTTATGATGTCTTACAAACACCTTGCTGTAGTGTGACTCGAAGTTGGTAATTTCTAACAATTTGCCATTACATTTCAATTTCATCAAGTCAACAAATTGGTCGAAAAGGAAGAAGGTGTCCTCTGGACCTCCTTTGGCTTCAGGATGGAATTGTGAAGTGAAAATTGGCATGTTTGTGCAATAAATTCCTTCGTTACTGTTGTCGTTTGCGTTAATAAAGTATGGTTTGAAGTTGTAGGGTAGACTGGAGTTATCAACAGCATAACCATGATTTTGGGAGGTTATAAAACATTTTCTTGTCAATTGGTCAATTACAGGTTGATTGTGACCACGATTACCAAATGGTAATTTGTAAACAGATGCTCCAACAGCTCTACCAACAAGTTGGTTACCCAAACAAATTCCAAATATAGGGATCATTGGTAATTCCTTTGATGATGCTTTTCTAATATAATCCTTTAAATACTCAATTGTAGAAACAAAATTGTTTGGATTACCTGGTCCATTGCTAATAAATAGACCATCCAAATGGTCAACTTCTTCAACCCAATTGTAATTGAATGGAACTACCTTCAATTCAATGTCTCTCTTCACAAGCTCTCTAATAATGTTATATTTCATTCCGCAGTCAATTGCAATAACCTTAAAGGTATTTCCATGCCCGTATACTTTGACTTCCTTACATGTTACTTGTGTAATAATGTCTGGATCTGCACCTGGATCATACCAGTTAAGTTCCTTACATAACTTTATCATCTCATCTGCAGCATTAATGTCTGTGACAATTCTGCCAAGCATGGAGCGTTCATTTCTTAATTTCTTTGTGATTGCTCTGGTATCAACGTGATAAATACCTGGAATATTATATTCTTGTAGCCAACGATGAAGTGAACAAATAGCTTCATAATGAGAATAATTGTGAGAATAATCTTGAACAATTAATCCTCGAATATGAATTCTGTCACTCTCTAAACGAGGTAACAAACCAAAATCATCAACATATTCATTGGCCATAGTATTGTTCATAGTAGCTGCAGAAGGTAATTGATTTTTCTTGAATGGAGGAGCTCCATAATTACCCACAAGTGGAAAAGTTAACACCAATATTTGTCCTTGATACGATGGATCTGTCAAAGACTCTGGATACCCAACCATTGCAGTGGTAAATACACATTCACCACTTACAGAGAATGATGTATCCCAATTGGTATCCTTTTCATTCATGCACTTGGTAGCTCCAAAAGCCTTACCATAGTATCTTGTACCATCTTGCAATTCCAAGTAGCTATCAAAAATGTGAGGTCCGAATTTAGTAGTGCTCGGATTTAAAACACCACTACTCACAGCTTGAGAGGGTTGATGATGAGGTTGTTGACTCATGAATTGAGTATTACTACTGTTAGGAGACAACAATGCTTGTGCTGAATTCAACAAGCTGCTCAAAGCTGTGTTGGTAGAAGAAGGACTATGGTGAGAATGATGAGAATGGTGATGGTATTGGTGATGAGCGGAAAGATGAGAAGGAGGAGTTGAGCCCATCTTTGGACTGTAATAACTCATGAAAGATTTGTTGGATGGCGAGGATGAAGGATACATTTCTTCTGTGTTGTTCGAGTGTGAGAGGTCCTATTTGTTTTTTTCTACAAGCTAAATGATGCATCAATAGCCATCATCGGAGTGTTATATAAGGTAATTCAACAATTGTTGATGGTATTACAAGGACAGTGGTTATTAGAAGATGCACGAATGAATCGTCATGTGGTATCACAGCTTGGTTTATACCAGCTCAATGGCCAGCCAAATAGATTACCTACCTTTGAAAATTGAATTCACTTCTAATGTCTGGAAAGAGAGATTGGTTGGCTATGTACAACAAACGTTGGTAACGATGATGGTCAACTCGAAAGAAGGTTGCTCCTGCTTGTGCTCTCTTTTTTCGAGAGGAAGATTTTGAATTTCAAACAATTGTTGCAGGTTTTGTGGTACGGCTCGCTTGTTGTAATTACCTTGCGGGTTAAATGATGGTACCCACCAAATTATTCGTTGTTGAGAGCTCATGGCATGAGGATAGTGTTAATGAGCTTCAAGGAGTGTTGTTTGTCGTTATCGTACAACACTTCTCTCATAATGATTCAGACTGAACGATGATGATGGTATGAATGAGAATTGCTTGTTAGATACCGGTGCATGATCCACATTTGATGGCTTACAACTATTATCCAAAGAATTAAATCACCTGGATTGTGTTCTCAATTTGGTCCGACCAAGCCAGCACCTTGGAAAAAAACAATAACCAGTATTTTCATCATCTTCACCAACACAACCAGCCACCTCTCCGAAAACACACCATGATTTCCCAATCCATTCATTCCGAAAGCACTAACAAATTATCTCATCTCATTACTATCAAACAAATCACTCCGCAACTCAGCGAAAGGCTTTGCCACCGTGCTTCTGAATTTAAACATTTTTTCAGTACTCAACAACATGATCAATACAATTCCATCCTCAAAGATAAGATTGTCAATTTGTTGTTTTTTGAGCCTTCTACCAGAACCATGTGCAGTTTTCAGAGTGCAGTGTTGAGATTGGGAGGTCATCCTCTAACTTTGGATATTCAAAGTAGCAGTAGCGTGAAGGGTGAATCTCTTCAAGACACACTCCGAGTGATGGAACAATATGGAGATTTAACTGTGATGAGACATTCCAAGAGAGGAGTTCATCAAGAAATGTCGTCCTATCTAACAAAACCTTTGGTCAATGCAGGAGACGGTGATGGAGAACATCCAACACAGGCTCTCTTAGATTTATTTACAATTAAGGAAGAACAAGATCGAGTGGCCAAGAAGATTGATTTTCAAGTGCAAACAATTTGTTTATTTGGAGATTTAAAATATGGTCGAACGGTTCATTCTTTACTGAGATTGTTATACATTTATTTTAGAAATCAACCTTTGAAAATTTATTTAATTTCCCCTGAAGGATTGAGAATGCCTCAATACGTGATTGATGAATGTGTTCAATTGGGTGTCAATCATACTCTCGTACAGACTGAAATGTTAACACCTGAAATTATGAACGAATTGGACGTTATTTATGTCACTCGATTACAAAAAGAACGATTTGAGAGTGAAGAACAATATTTAAAGCTCAAGTCCTCGTTCTGTTTAAAGAAAGAAAATTTAAGTGCTTCTAGGAATTCCCATGTGCCAATTATTATGCATCCATTACCAAGAGTAGATGAGCTCGATGAAGCTATTGATTCTGATGAAAGAGCAGCATATTTCAGACAAATGAACAATGGCATGTTCATGAGAATGGCAATATTGGAAATGTTGTTAAAGTAATTCATGAGTTAAATCTTTTAATGATTATATTATATTCGAGAATTGTTCTTGATTAGGCAAAGCAAACAAAAAAATGAATGCATCTGGTTCTTACTTTGGCAATGACAGGAATTATAACTCGAGTTACTACTCGCCAAATTCTTCAACATGGTCTTCGTGGCTGAGTACATCTTCTCCTGTGGCTGGAAAGCGATATCTTTCTCTTTTCTGGAGTGTGGCGTTGGATGATAGCATTGTTTGTTTCATTTCCTTTTTGTTAGATAAATTATATAGAAGACAATCTCGGAATCATTACATGATGCGATATGAAAAATTAAGCGAGATTTTAAGAAGAGATTTATTTAATTATTTAAATCATGAAATTGGAGAATTGAAAATTTCTCTTAATACTACAAATCAAGAAATTAGAATTAGAAAGAAAAATTCGGATCGTTCCGAAAATTATGATCACGAAAATTACTATTGGAAGGATTTTTTGAATTTGCGAGAAAGAAAACAGTTTTTGAACGAAATAATAGAAACAGCTATTCAGCTGAGAAGAATGGAAAATGATGATCATGTCGATACATTGAATATGTTTAAAAGAAAATCGTTTAGAATTATTCATATGATTGTATCTGGACTTTACTATAGCTTTTTCAATGTATTCAATGTGGAACCAATTGGAAATTTATTGATGATGCTACGAACATTGAAAGTCAACAACAACATGCAATCAGAATCACCCACTTCTAGTACACAAACTATAACAGACATACCATGGATTTCTCAGGTGATAAAGGCTATTTTGAGATCTGTAATAGTGTTTTACAGTTATGATTTGATCGATTCGGTCATGAGTAATTTATTGAGCATTGCCAAAGCCAATTCTAGAACAGAGCGTGAAAGAGAAATCGCTAAGTTTAATGGAGCTGACACTTCAATTGGAAACAATGTATTTATCACTCCACAGGTGTCAAATCAGTTGAGAAACGCTGAAATGCAACAAAGTCGTGCTCAATCAGAGAAAATTTATGAGGCACAGCTTAAACTTTCCAATATTTTAACTACGTTGTCAATATGCTCTGCAAACGCCAAGGAGGACCTTTCAAAATCTATTCAACAACTAGTGGAAGAATCAAAAGCATGCTTTAAAAAATTAATTTCAATTCTTGAAAAAGCTGAGGAGTGGACGTGTAAATATAATAGTCTCAACCTTATTCAAGCAGAAATGAAAACAACAACAGAAAATGTGATTGATGCAGCTGAAACTCTGTCGTACACTCTCCTCTCACAAACACGCGAATTGTTACCAATCTTTAAAGAAACGATTAACAATATTAACAATGCCGTAAACGAGGTTGTAAAAACTTCTGGAACAGCCGCAGAACGTGACAAGGATAATCAGACATCATCCATAAACAAAGTTGGAAAAGATAAATCTTCAAAAAAGAACCGTCGCGTTGAAAAGACAATGGATCAGTACCGAGAAGTATTGAAACAATTGGATGAGCAATGTAACAAGCTATCAACTCTAACATCATGTCCGCCAAGCAGTGACGCTCTCAGCACTCCGTTTTACAGACGAGAATCTTCCTTAAACGATAGATTACAGCTGTTTTTAATGAACTTGCCCATAAGGACATTATTAGTGTACATTATAGATCTCCTTCTCATGTATTACAGCGGTACAAGATTGGATTTTCTACCATACGTACTTCAAAGAAACTGATGAACTCTACTTTTTGTAATCAATATCCATAATGATTGAAGTGTGAGGGAAATACTTTTGCATCTTTTCTGTGACTTTACATCTCTGGACATTAAGATGAGTGAGATATGGTAATGAGCTTAATTCCTTCACTCCCTTGTCTGTAATGGCTGCAAAGTTGATAGTCAATTGTTGAATTGATCTCAAATGTTGTGTAATAGCTTTGATGGTTTTGTTAGTAATGAATTCATTGTAACCATAATGACCACCATGAATGGTAAGAATTCTAATATGAGGACAATTTTCTATCACTGGAATGATATTGTCATCCTTGATATTGAAGCATCTTACTAAGATTAATGTTTCAAGTTGTGTCAAACTTTTCAAGTAGTCAAATCGATTGATTCGTTTAACATGCAGAATGTTGAATACTCTCAGATTTGTGAATTTGGAAACGCTTTCCAAGCCTTCATCCTCTAACTTGGTACACCAATCTAAATTCAATTCTCGCATTGTTTCGCAAACACGAGGAGAATTTGCCAAATATTTAAGTCCCTTTCCGTTGAGAGTTTTGTTATGAGCAAGAGATAATTTTTCAAGTTGTTCACAATTAACTAGGCCTCTCAAATCTTCATCCTTCATTTGAATGTTGTTACTCAGGTCCAACTGTTTCACATGATTCAGTTTTAACATCCATTCAAAATTTGTATACTCCCTGGAGTCAATAAAATCAAGCTGTTCCAGAACCTTGAGATCACACATAGCTAGCAATTGCTCCATTCCACGCCTGAGTCGAATACATCTCTCAAATGTCAACGAGTGTAGCTTTTTCTTATAGATCACTGATACAACTTCATCTTTCTCATTAATGGTTGAGGTAGAGGCAGGTTCCTTTGCAGTGGTAAATAAACTCTCAATTCTGCAACAATAATCCAAAGTGAGATGTTTCAAATTCACAAAGACATTTTCTCTGATTAAACTCCTAGTCACATTATACATTTTCCCACTGTGAATATAGAGAGTATGCAGTTTGGGATAAATGGAATTATCTGTGGACATGTGCATTCCAGTCATGGAATCCCATCCTTCTTGTGTTAGAACATCACCACATTCATTGAGCACAATTTTTTCGAGATGATTCGATAATTCAAATAGATTCGAGCATAAATAGGGAGCTTGTACGCTGACAGATCTTGAGCATGAACCCAAATCAAGATGAATTTCCCTCAATTCTGTCAAATGAGTTAGAACTTGTGTGAAATTATATGGAATGTCATCCTGTAGTCCTGACGCATGAAATGCAAACTCTGACAATTTCAAATCTTTTAAAGTATCTTTGAATTTGTACAAGATGCTTGTCAATCCATTATTTTCTGTGATCAATGAATCTTCGTTCGTTTTAGGAGCAGCTCCAAATGTCAATTCAGGTTTCTTATTCTTATCAAAATGTAACGTTTCAATACCTTTGAATATATTTGAACAAGCCACACATCCAGAATCTTGAATCGACAAATTGTACTTGAAAATAAGTGATTTTAAGGGAATGGTATTTTTGTAAGACTTCTCACTGACGCTTCCGAATATTTTCAATTCATTTTCGCAGTAGAATTTTAAATACTTCTCGAACTGTTCAAACGCTTCATCTAATAGACTACTTTTAGCAATTTCTAAATGATCTAACATTTCACAGCCGTCGGTTGATGGAACTCCTTGTTGAACCGATTGAACAAGTCCCATGCTTCTGAGATTCATCAATAGATTCTTCTGTAGCATCAATAATAAGAATTTTGAGATGAATTCTTTCGACAAGTTGGCATTTTCAATCGTAATAGACTTCAACTTGGGCAAAACAATATCATTGCTTTTGAACTGAATATTGTTAGGTTCAGTCATGGATGGCTCTTCAAAAAATTCACTAATCATGTTGTTGGTGGTTTCATTTCTGCAATTATGAATGTTCACATGTAAATGTGTCAAATTTGGTAATTTAGTACAAATAAAATAGAGTTCATCTGCACTAATAGCTGGTTTGATATACAGTGATTTGAGGCGACGGCTTTTCGAAGCAAACTTTTGTGAAAATAATTTAATGGTAGAACTAGTTGTTGAAAATTCCTTTTTGAAGACTGCTTCATGCTCAACTCTCAATTCTTCCACAAATGGTAATGCCTTGTCTAATACTACATATTTAATTACATATTCCACAAATTGTTGATTCCATGTTTGATCAATATGAATTTTGTTGGTACTAATCCAACAAAAGGTAAACCATGCTTTCGAAACAAATCTCAACACTCGTAATTTCTCTTCAAGAGAAAAATAGGAAAGTAAAATGGAGAGTAATTCCGAAGAGAGTTGATCATTCAATTGTTGACGAGAGGATGATGATTTGGGAGATGTTGATGATGGTGAGGTGTTTGATGACTGTCTGGGTTTGTTGTTACCCGAGAAGCAAGCGAACATTTTTTCTTGATGTCTGACAGCAGGCGATGGTGAAAAAAGTTCATTGTTCAAAAAACAAGGTCCAACAATAAGTAAGGGTTGTTATTGAATTACATTATGATACACCATATACCTTCTTCTACAAACATTCCACTTGAGCATCTGGAGTACCAAGCTCAATAATTGGATAAAGTGTCAAATTTGACCCAACACGATCAAATGCCATTCCATGATTGATATCATTCACAAGAAACGAAATTCTTCCTCTCTTGGGTTCGTAAATAACCTTAATGACGGATCCATCATGGATGGATTGATATATATACTTGTGACCATATCGTAAACACTTTCTTGAACAATACAATTTTCCGTCATGGGTACATAAACTAAAGGACAGTGAAGTATTGTCAGAATTGAGCTTAACCAATCGTGTAGTACAGAACCCAATGGATACATGCGAACAATTGGCTACAAGCTTGACTGAAAATTCAGTACATTCTGTTTTTCCCATGCAGGCACAGTTCCACTCATAGCCACCACTGATCTTTTGAATTCTTCTGTGGTCAGGTGAGAGTTCTGCATTAGAAGAAATGTAATTGGGATGAAATAGCATATCTGGAACATGAATATTGAACTTGTTCATCAACATGGCTTTCCCATGACTCGGAAATAAATTGAAAATTGAAGAGATTTGATAATAGACCACCTCTTCCATAAAGTTACACAATTCACTCTCTTTCATCTCGCTCAAGTTTTTGGAAATATCCATTCCTCGCAAATGATTCAAAATCAAATGAAAATGTTCATAGGGACGATCAATGAAAAAGGCTTGATCGTGTTCTTCCGGTTTCGGATCAAAGTAATCGTTAAAATAGGCACAAAAGAAGGAATCCTTTTCATTCTTCAAGGTGGAGAGAAATGTACAATAGATTTTACCTCCAACATTTAAACGAATGACTTGATTCGGACCTAGACGAGACTCTAACAAGGCACTTGAAGCAATGCGTTTTTCAATTTTTGAAATTTTTGTTTCTCGTTCTTCATAATCGCTCATCATTTCCTTGCGTTTCTTGTCGATGAGTTTGGAAACCTGTGCTTGCACAATATTCTCAAATTCTCGTTCATTCTGTTCTAGCACATGTTCTTTATGAGCAATGGTTTGTTCTTTTTCTGTGAGAAGACGTTTTCGTTCATTCCAAACATCTTGTTCTTGAGAGAGTGCTGTTTTGAAATCATGTTCATATTGTAAAAGAAGTTTGGAAAAGGTTCGTTTGATGGATTTTGTGGAGGAGAGATGATCAGAGAGAGGAGAAGGTTGTTGTTTTTCAAATGATCCAATCGCGGAACAGTTCGGATCATCACAATGGTTGGCAACAACAACATCTTCGGAAGATGAGGACGAAGAAGCAAAAGGATGGGTTGCAAAATGAAGCATGTGTCAAAAGTGTGACCACCGTCAAGTTGTTGATTTTGTTTTGGAAGATGTTTTCTCTTAACATGTGTGAATGAATTCTTTAAAATCCTGGAATTACTAGCGAACTCTCAATAATTGTTGAAGTATCGTGAAAATTTATGAAGTTCGATTGCTCACATATTCAAACATTTCTTTTCTTCGGAAGATCCGCCTGAAGGTGGATCAGTGTCACTGCTCGACAACTGTAAACTACTGACATTACCATCCCAAGGCAACACAGTTACCATATGTTTGCCATTCACTAACGATACAATCGGTCGACAGATACCCTTTGTACTTTCGTTTGATTCAAAACGGTGAATTGTGCCATTTGCTAAATACACATGGAAATCCACGTGACCTCTTCGGTAATTGCACTTAATCCCAATTAAATGTCCCTCTTGGTTGACATTTGAGAGATCATATGAAGTGTATGATTGCTTGACAATGGCATTGGATTTGACGCAATAACCAAAACTCAACCATGTGGTCAATGGTTCTGGTGTTCCTTGAATATCGTTGAAATTTACACCTACAAGAATTGTCCAACTGTTGGAAGAAGATCGATCAAATTGTGTTAACAAAATGGACCAACAATACGTTTGTTGTGGTTTCAGTTGATTATTCACAAAATAGGATCTCCAAAACCCATTGTAAGTCGCCATTACCGAGTGATTTAAATGTCTACAAACATTAGGGGCATTGTCTGAGCCGCCGTTGCTCACAATATTACAAAACATATATTTCTTAAATAACAAGTATTGAATTTTCATGGTGGATGCTCTGGTGTCCTCTTTTTGTTGCCCTTCTGAGGTCATGGTCTTTTTCCAAGCTCTCATCAACGGCTCAAGATCATTTCCTCCGTCGTTTAAACAATTATTGGAATCCAAACGAGTAAACATGTTGTGTCTGAATTGATAATATCCATGCAGAAAATTATCTGCAATACGTTGTTCTTGTCCTTTGAAATGATCGAGATATTCCTCTTCTTTGAGAGTTTTATCAAATTGTTGATCTAGGAATTTCAATTTTTCTTCCCAAATGTTGGGGTTATTGACGAGTTTGTTGTACAATAATTTACATGATGATCCGAAAGAGATCCATGAAGCATCGTCGAGATGGGCCACAACAACCTCATACAGAAGAACATTAAAATCAAGATCTAACAAGTGAGTGGTACAAGTGCTGTTCAATAACGCCATTTTTTCGTTTTTTCTTCTTCTATTAATAACTATACCAAAATTATCTTAACTTTAAGGTCTTTCCTCACACGTTTTGTACGCTTAATGTTGAAGATTACACTGGTACCCCTTGAATTTGGCCTCTTTTTCTCATGTTGTTAACCAAGGTGATTAGTCAATGACATTTTCATTTGAAATGCATTTCGTTGTCATTTTCCAGAACTTTGGTGCTAAAAATGCAAAAAGAAGTCCTTGGCTGCAAAAATAACGAAAAATATTTTTGAGGATGAGTAGCAACAACACTAACGATACATCTTCCTCGTCGGAAGATGATGATTTTCATCAATTATTGATTCGGCGCTTCTTCATTGTTCCTTCTTTTGAAATTTATGGAGGTTTTTCTGGATGTTATGATTATGGACCTCCAACTTGCTCCATCAAGAATAATATTCTGCAATTATGGAGACAACATTTTATTAGAGATGAGGAAAATGTACACGAAATGGATGGTTCAAGTCTGACCATGGAATGTGTGTTATCAGCCAATGGACACCTCCAACAACATTCCGATTGGATGGCACAAGAATTTGATTTTCCGTGCCATTCATCTCAACAGCATCCATACTCAGCAAGAAACAACTACGTTTCGAGAGTGGATCGAATTCTAGAGAATTTTATTGAAACTGAAGAAAATTCGTTCATCTTTGGCTGGAAGTGGTGATGAAGAGTTTTGGAATGAATTTATAAAAAAGTATCGTGTGAAAAATCCAGCAACAGGAAAATACTTGCACAATATTCATTTCTACAATTTAATGTTCCCAATTTCCATACATAACAAAGGATCTACCAATCAAAAGGTCAAGAATTACCTTCGTAAAGATTTGAAACAAAATATTTATTGCAATTTCAATCGCTTGTTGCAGGTCAATAGAAACAAGCTACCATTTGCTGCAGCACAGATAGGACAAGTGTTTCGAAATGAAATTTATCCAAAAAGTGTGTTAAGGGTGAGAGAATTCACAAGTACCGAAATTATATGCTTTTTCAACCCAAATAGAGACATGCATCCTCGAATGGATCAAGTAAAGCATGTCATGGTGCCATTGTTGACACGAGAAAATCAAACCATGAGTTTGCCACCTATGGATTTTTCCATTGAAGATGTATTGAATCAACAATTTGTCAACAGCCCCATTCAAGCATATTATATTGCAAAAGTGAAATTGTTTATGGATCTGTGTGGTGTATTACCTAATGCCATTCGATTTCGGCAACACCTATCACACGAAATGTCTTTTTCAACCACGGATCATTGGAGCTGTGAATTGAAAAGCTCTTTGGGATGGATTGAGGTTGTTGATATTGTTAACAATTATTGTTACGATCTTAAATGCCATTCCTCTCAGTCGAGGCATGTATTGGTGGCATTTGAAACATTCGACCAGCCATTGACGTCAGAAAATATTGTGATGGAAGTTGAACACGAAAAGCTTGGAAAAATATTGAGAAAGAACAAACGTGTGGTTCTTAACTTTCTGGAAACACTGACGAATAACAAAAAGCTGGAACTTCAACAAGAATTAGAGAGTAATGGAAAATTTTCAATCTATATCCCACAACTCGATCGACAAGTAGAGCTTTCGAGTGATTTCATTTCGTTCCAAAAAAGAATAACGAAAATATATGGGTACAAATACGAACCGTGTGCTGTTGAGACGACTTTTCATATCGGTCGATTGATCTATAGCCTACTTGAACAGTGTTTCTGGGTACGAAAAGGAAATTACTTACATGAAAAGATGTCACAAAAATATGTATTGTCACTCCCAACAATAATTGCTCCCTACATGGTCGTATTGATTTCACAAATTTCCAATCGTGCATCTTCGTTCGAAGGTATGAGCAAAACTTTAACACAATTATTCACAAGAAATGGTATTACCTTTCGTGTGGACAATTCTGCCAATCAAACCATTGGTAAGAAATATTCACGAGCTGATGAAATTGGTGTTCCATTTGCTGTCACTATTGACAATCAAAGCGTCGAGTGCAACACCGTTACAATTAGGGAGCGTGACTCGTGCGACCAAGTAAGGCTTCCACTTGATGAGCTTGTTCCTACATTACTGGATCTCATACACGGCAACAAATCATGGGAAGAAGTGTCACTCAAATAAAATTGAATGAAGATTTTACAAAAAGATTTATTTGCACTTTATTGTGTTTGAATCTTGCACAAGAATTTAGCACTCGTGTCCAAACCTAAATAACAATCGGGAACTACACGAATTTCCAATTCCTTATCGTTCTCAGTAATTGGAAGATAAATTTCTGTAGGATTGATTTTCTTATTGGCTCTCACTCTCTTCATGGCTAACAGTTCTTGATTGGTTGGATTTGAAACAATGAGCCAAAATCCTTCATCTTTCTGCTTGGTATACATGGGAGTATAAGCTTGCTCTTTTGATTTGCTTATTCTTTCAATAATAATGTTCACTTCAATCTTGTGCTCTTCTTCGTCATGCAATACTTGATCCACACGAACAGTTAAATATGGAAATTCATCAATGATTTTCATAATGTTGCTCACTAAACTATTCTTCTTTGTATACTTGGAAAGCAATTGCTGTAAAGAATTTTCTCCATTCTTTGAAGAGTATCGAATGGAGAGTAATTGTTTCAATTCAGTAATATTTTCCTTAATTCCTAATAATTCGACAAGTTGATAAATTTCATCATTCGTGTTAGTGTTTTCACGTGGACATGGCAAGTTACTAAATAATTGGAATAAAGTTGAGTCTTTCTCCCATCTCGCTTGCATAATCATTTGTAAAATATGCATCATATTTAAAGACGCTTGTAAATAACCTTTCTCAGCACAAATGTCAATATATGCTTGTGCAATACGAATAGTTGAGTCTAGTACAGTTCTAGTATCGGTAATATAATCTACAATTGGTAATTTGACTCGTTCGAAGTGAGCTTGCAACAACAAGTAACATTTCACATGAGGAGATTCATAATCATATAAATAACTTCCTAATGGCACCACCTCGCTCAATTCCTTGTTTAACTTGTCTTCATTATGTCGAACTGGAATTTCAGCAAACTCTTTGGCTTCACAAAGCAGTTCCAATAGATAATTGATGTTAGAATCAGGTCTAATAAGTCTGTTGAAATGAGATGCAGTTCTATATGATAGATAATAGTAACTGGCAATAATACCTGTAGCAGTAGGTTCTAAATAAATTCCCTTTCTCTTTTGTTTTTCTTTTTCAGACTTTTCCTTCTCTGCTGTCATGGTACCAAAGGTATTTCCAGACTCAGTAGCCATAACTTGTAAAAGTTTCTTCTTATCCATAGATAAATCTGTGGCCTTCACAAGTCCAGCAAATTCCAAGTCGTCAATAATTTCAGAAATCTTATTCGATAACCACTTATTAAGACCTTCATAAGATAAATCTTCAATACCGTAATAAAAAGGATTTTGAACTAAACGACGGAACATAAATGTCCATGTTAAATAATCCAAACAATCTTGTTTTGTCTTGATGGTACCTGATACAATTTCAGCATTAATGTGATCATGTAATTGAGTGTGTAAGCTTGATTCGATTGGGAATGGCTCATAGAGGAATCTCTTGTAAAAATTCTTTTTCACATCATGAACCATGATAAATACTCTTCCTTCTTCGTCAAATCCAGGACGACCAGAACGACCTGCCATTTGCAACACATCAACAAGTGGATAATCCTCATATCGCTTAGTTTTTGGATCAAAGTATTCAGTTCCCTTAATAATGACAAAGTAGGCTGGCAAATTGACACCCCAAGCCAATGTTGCGGTAGCAATGAGAACCTGAATTTTACCATTCAAAAACAATTCTTCAACAAGTTTCTTATCTGATGGAGTTAAACCAGCATGGTGAATTCCAATACCATACGTTAAAAATTGTTTGAGATTAGTGTCACGAGCTAACTCACAAACCTGAATCAGCTCATCATTATTCATGTTCAAAAATCTTTGAGGATTTTCATCAACAGTACAATATGCAATTAAATCCATAGCTGTTAATCTGGTTTGTCTTCTTGATGATACGAAAATAAGACATGGCTTGTTATTGGAATGTCTCAAAATAGCTTGATATGCTGGCTTATTCATAGAGTTCATTCGAGGACAATAATTCTTTCCACTAAATCCAGAAATACTGATTTGTAATGGAACAGGTCGAACTGAACTTCTAAAGTTGAATAGACCTCTTTGAGTGACACCTAACCAATCAGCCAAATCAGTAGCATTGGCCATATTGGTGCTGAGACCCATCATACGAATTGGTGTTTGAGTATTCCAAGAAATGTATCTCATACGTGATGTAATAACTTCAAGAATTGCACCTCTCTCACTTCCAAGTAAATGAATTTCATCCATGACAATGAGTCCAACATCTCTAACATAGGATCTATTTTGCCAATTTCTGGAAATACCATCCCATTTCTCAGGTGTGGTAATGACAATATCAGCTTGCTTCAATAACTTGACATCAGGAGTGAAATCACCTGTCAATTCAACCATTCTTTTTCCAAGTTTTTGAACAAATTTCTTTTCCCATTCAGTCAATCGTTCTCTTACAAGGGCTTTCAATGGGGCAATATAAATAACTTTAGATTGAGGTTTCAAAGTAAACAATCTCATCATACACAATTCTGCAATTGAGGTCTTTCCTGAACCAGTTGGAGCACCCACCAAAATATTTTCATCAGAATGGTAAGCCATGTGGAAGATTTGTGTTTGAACAGGATTGAAATACTTAATTCCCTTATCTGTAAAGAGTTTTTCATAATTTGGATTATTGAGAGCAGTTACTGGAAGTGGATCAAGTGGCAATAATGGTGTACTTGGAGCAAAACCTTCGGGTAAAATAATATCCTTAATGTTAATCGTTAATTGAGCTTCAGCACTAATCCACTTATCTGAAACTGCACGAATAATGAAATATAGTGGTCGTGGATCTTCTTTAAATGGAACAACAAAGTTCAAAGTGAAACATGGGTCATCCTCTTCACCTTTAGATTCTTTCATCATCTTTTCATGTTCTGATTGTTTCAATAGGAAATATTCAGAGTGATAAATATATTCTGAATTTTCATCTTCAACCCAAATCCACCATGGTTCAGTTTCTCCATGAAGTTTTTTGTCCCATGTAAAGTTTGGTCTGATTTTAACTTGGAATCGCAAAACTGATCTTGTGATTGGTTGAACGTTTGCTTCCAAATCAAGATTAGGGAATTTATCAATTGCTTCCATAACCACTCTTCCCATTCCTTTAACATTGATAACTTGATCAAGCTCTGATTCTTCATATTCCACCAATCTAGAAAGTGTTAATTTCTTACTTTCAAGTTTTTGAATAGTGTAAGATGGTAATTTTGGTATTTGTCTTAAAGGATGTTCGAAAACCCATTGTCTTCTATCGATACATTTTGTCAGAGTTAAAAGTTTGTCCATCAATGATGACCATCGTTCCTTGACAGCAATTTCAAAGAGAGCTCTAACAATTCTTCCTACACTTTGTACAATGAAAGCGCAATCTGATATCAAGGAAGAGTTTTTGATCTTTACATGTGAAATGTAACTTTGTATCATGACGTTGACCTTTCCAGTATAATCGTTCAATCCTTTAACTTGAACAGGAGAGTTTGTACATAATTCTTGTAACTCTTCGCTTTCATCCTCTCTAACTTTGATATTTTTGAATTCACGAGCGCTTGCAACAATTTGTAACACATCAGATTCAGATAAATTAGCATGTAACTTTTCGTTATAGAGTTGAATTGTTTCATAGTGGATGTAATAATGAGAAGCAATACGTCCAAGATCGGTTGCTGAAACAACTCCTGTTTTTTCATCATAGATAATCATTTTGCTGTCTTGAAGAACCTTACAAGCTTTTTCAATAAGTGTTCTTCTTGTACCAGTTAAAGTAGGATCAAGTTGAACTTCTTCAAATGTAAGTCCATAGTTCATTGGATTTTGTCTCATTCTTAAAAATAGATAGGTGTAATTCAACCATAGAGAACCTTCTCTCACATTGGATACGGTACCTAAAACAATTTCTGCACACAAATGATTTGCTAAATCTTGGGTCATTTGTGATTCAATTGGTAAATTACGTTTGAGTAAGTTCAAATATCGTGGTAATTGGTCATAACTAGTGATGATTACACCTTCACCTTCAACATCAAATTGAGGTCTACCAGCACGACCGAAAATTTGCATAATATCTAACATTCCAAGTTCAGTCATTTGACCTTTTTCTGCATTATAGACTTCTGTTCCTTTGATAATACAGCAATAGGAAGGTAAGTTTACACCCCAAGCAAGTGTTGATGTACAACAGAGAACTCTAATAACACCTTCAGCAAATAATTTTTCAACAAGGTTTCTGTCAGATCTTACTAAACCAGCATGGTGAATACCAAGCCCTTTTGGAACTAAATCTTTCAATTCTCTATTATGACATTTCTCCAAGGCTTTGGTTACCCATTTCTTTGTATGTTCATTTTCAGGAACTCCTTGAGTGAAAAACTCTAAAGTACCTTCTTGCATTGCTAAATCTAGTAATGCTTTTGCGGTAGTTGAAGTTTCTTTTCTTGAATGTACAAATACCATTACTTGTTTTTGTTTCTTCAAATTCTTAAGAGCTCTATTATAAGCAATATTGTTATATTCTTGACTTCTTTGAATTGGATTTCTTAAACTAACACCAATAAAACTCTGTTCAAGAGGTACAGGTCTATAAGATCCATCAAAGAAATGTAATCCTGAATGAGGGTTCACTCTCAAGAAGTGAGCAACGTCCATATAATTTGGTAATGTAGCAGAAAGACCAACTAATCTAATTAATGATTGAGTAGTTTCCATTTGTCGTAATGTTCTTGCAACAATGGATTCAATGACTGGACCTCTATCTTCATTCAGTAGATGAACTTCGTCAATGATGATTAATCGAGTGAGTTGAATGAGTGCCTGATCAGTAGCTTTTCTTGTAGTCACATCCCATTTCTCGGGAGTTGTGACAATCATTTGAGTTTGTTGAACCTCTTGCTTTGTAAGTTGCATATCTCCAGTCATTTCTTTTACAACAATACCTAACGGAGCAAGTCTCTTTGAAAAGTTTTCGACCATTTCAGCTGCTAAAGCTTTCATAGGAGCAATATAAATAATTTTAAATTCTTCACGTCTTATTTTTCCACCTCTGAAATGTTGTCCAATCTCTCTCAATACTGTTAACATAGCAACGTTTGTTTTACCACATCCTGTTGGTGCACAAATTAGTAAATTTTCTGAGGTTTTGTAAGCTGAGTAGAAAACATCAGATTGAACACGGTTAAGATGAGTGTATCCCTTAAATGCAAGTTGTGCCCAGTCCTCAAAAACTGAAATAGGTACCAAAGGTTGAGTATCTTGACGTGGTTTTGGAGCTGGAAAAACGTGTTCTTCATAGGTTTGTTGTCTAATGACACGTTCTTGTGTTTCCTTGTCAGCTTCATTCTTGTCTTCTGGAATGACATCTCTTCCTAATTTCAAAACTCTTGCTTCTCCTTCTCCTTCCTTCAAAACTGTACGATCCTTTTCTTTTTTGAATTTTTGATATAGTTCTTTCAATTCAAGTTGTTCGTTCAAATTAACACCGCCACCAGAAAGATTGATTTTTTTTTGATGTTTTCTTCCAAGTTTTTTACCTGCTTTTCTCAAACCCTTTTTAGCTTCTTTGAATTTTGAAGTGGTCATCTTGATATGAGAGAAAGAGTTGATACCTTCAACGGCATTTTCTTCCATTTGTCGTTTGTAAAAATCTTTCAAAAGCTCTGACTTGTGTTCCATAATAATTGACATTAACTCGAAAGCGTTTTCTCCAAGAATGTCAAACAGTCGTGATTGAAGTTCAACATCGCTTTGGCCCTTCTTTTGCAACAATTCCATAACAGCATTTTCAATTCCTGCTGTTTTACAAACTTTTTTGCATTCTTTTTCAAGCCATTCCATGCTGAACATGGATGTTGGTTCTTCCTCTTCTTCTTCGTTTTCGTCATAAATATCTTCATCTTCTTGAGAAATATGTGAAAATAAATTTGTTTGATCCAACACATTCTCAAGTTGACTCTTAGAGAATACCACAAGAGGTCTAAATTGGTGATATAAATGTGCGGAGTGCTCAGCATCATCCATAGATCCGAATTCTACATTCTCATCAATATCAATGCCGTTGTCATCATTCTCACTTTCAGATGTAACAAAATGAGTGTTGGTATTCTTCGATTCACCAGTTCCAATGAGTACCTTTTCTATTTTGGAGTATCTTCGTTCTTCCTCTTCATGTAGTCCAGGTTTTGCAAATCTGTCAATCCAATCAACGACTTTTTCTAAATATTGGATAACCTTGATAACATTTTCTTCTTTTACAGTTTGAACAAGTTTTTGAATTTTAGGATCTAATGTCAAACCAATACCCATGTTCTGTAAATCTTTAAAGACACTTTTAACACTCAAATTGTTCTTAAACTTTCTTTTGGCAATATAGAGTTGTTTGGCGATCAAACAAGCAAGCTGTCCTTTCGATAAGCCACTTGCAACTCCATATTTGTTGGATGACACTTGATCCAAGCGCAAATTCTCTTCGATCGCTGTCAAAAAGTGGTCCAACAAATTTCTTCCGTTCTGTTCTTCAATTCTTTTATCAAAATTCGCGTTCACTTTACGTGAAGGTTGAGAGAAGGAAATTTTTGGTTTGATGAAACTATCCCAAGTTAATCCAAATTTTACCAAATCATCTTCAGCGTTCTTCTTTCTCTTGTTTTCAATCGCTGGAAATAATTCATAATATGATTTTGTCTCATCAAACAATTGCAAAGAATTATTACCAATAGTCTTTTCACGCAACACATTTGATAATCGTGGTGGAGATATTAGCAGGTCCATTGATGTCGTAGATGATGATGAATCGTTTCCTTCTCCCGAAAGAAAAGAAAGACTTCTTGATCCTATTGCTCTCGGAAGCAACTTTTCGAAAATATCAGCAGACGAAGAGGACATTTTTTTTTGAATTCTTTTTTGTTTTTCAAAATCGAGTTTGAGTTGTTAATCAAGTTTGATTTGTTGATTCAACTGCGAGTTTGAATATTGAACCGTAGAATGTTTACTGAGAATGTTTCTTTCTAACAAACGATCATCCAAAGATAGCGTATCCAATTTCACCCCCAACAATAGCCACCACTGCACCAGCAATTACAATAATTGGAGGAGAAAAATCGAAAAAGTTCAGCAAAAAGCAAAACATGGTACAGGCAGCAAGGTATTGATTCATTCCAACATTGTCAATCCACATATCAATGGCGTTTGAAATGACGTATCCAATACAAACAGCGTTCACACCCACCAGTGACATTTTGATAATATTGTTTTCTCTAATTTTTCTCCAGAGAGGAAGAAAGCCTGTCATTGTCAGATAACCTGGCAAATGGAAGAAAATTCCTGATAACAATCCTAGTAATGGTGGTAATATGAAGAATAGAGCAGTTCTATGGGTGTTTGGAGTAATAGGTATAGTACTACCGTTGACACTATAAAAATCTGTATCGAATGTCATTACGCTTGTCACGTTACTAGCAATCAATGTTGAATTCGATGTTGAATTAAGAGCAGTAGGAAACGAGGAAAATTTAACACCAATAGCTGCTCCAAAATATGCAGCAACATTATACTTTGGACCAGGTAAAGCATTGGACAGAGCAAATCCATTCATAAATTGTTCTTTTGTCATCCATTGTCGTTGTAACATTTCTGGCATCAATAAAGGTATTCCACCCACTCCACCTCCAAATATAAACGTTCCCATCCTATAGAAGAATGATAAAACTAAAATACTTTCCTTGAAAATGTCAGCACCAGTAGGAGAAGAATGGGGTCTTTTGTATTTTGCAAAAATTGCAGAACACACCAATAGGACCACGAACAACATGATAAATATGGCTAACATGGTAAACCCAAGCCATAATGGAGAATGTGTTCGAACTTGCTTGCTCATGACATCTCTTACTTGCTCCTGTTCTGCTTCAACTTCAGCATCATTCACAGTAACTTCTTCTGTGCTCACTGAAGGTTTTGGTTTAACAAAACTTTGTAAAAGTATCCAAACAAATTTCAGTTTTTGTTTGATGGTCATTTCTTCATCCTCAAATGTTGCAGCTCCAACTGCTTGCTCTTTGATATGATAATCTTGAATTCTCTTTTCAATAATAGCTTCAATTTTCAAATAAATGCAACTCAGAGCCGCACCCAAACCAATAAGAGCAGGTAATAGCCACGTAGTCCTATAAATCATGGTTGTAATAGCAATAGATCCTGCCAAAACATAAGGAAAAACTTTGCTCTTCATTTTGGTTAACATTCCAGCCATTCTCCAAGCCGATGATACTGCAAAAGCAATACCTGAAGTTGCCAAACCAAATTGTAAATTTGCAAGCCAACGAGGCGAGTTCTCATCAATATTGACATCGGCCATAAGCCATCCAAACAACAAACACCCCAAAAAACCAGGACCACAAAAAAGAATATTCGATAAAAATCCACTCCAAAAACCAAATCTGAGCATGGCGATAGAAAATACAACTTGGCTAATGATGGGTCCAGGCAAACTTTGACTTAGAGCATAAATCTATGTTAAAGTGAGTGATTATTTTTGAACACACAAGAATCCAATATATATATATTCCAACAAGAATTTTGTAATGCACTACAAAAACATACCTCCATAAATTCATTTTCTGTCAGCCACTTTTTTTGGTCGACAAACATTTTCTGTACCACAGCAATACCACCTACAAAGGTTGTGCAACCTAAAGGTAAAAAGATCTTGAATGTTTCCTTCAGCATGGTACACCAAGTAATCTTTTTACGTAGCTCTCGTTTTCGTTGCTGTTCTTCTCGTAGTTGCTTGAACAATTGTTCATGCTCTCCTTCTTCAACCAGCGACTCACTCTCGAATGCACTTTCGGAAGGAGCTGAATGATTGTTACGAAAATAGTGTTGTCTTGGAGTGAAATCATCGTTTAAATCCTTCAATTCAATTTCTTCCTCTTCATGATGGTGTTCATCATTACTCAACTGAGGATTGAATCGGTTGTTTGATGAGAGTGGTGGTACAACAATGACTGGTTGATTATGGTTGGTAATAGTATTGCTACTACTATTTTCATCAGTGTTTGCGTTTTGAAAATGTACATGTTGTGGTGATGATGAAGAAGTGATAATGTTCGAAGATGAGCATTTCCTTCCAAAGGTAAAGCCAATACTTGCTTCGTCTGAAGTAATGTTGGTGGTGTTGTTGTCATGATTGTCGTTTGGATCCGAAGAGGCTACATCATCTCGAAAGCCTTCTTGTTGTTTGTCGTATATATTAGGACGATGCATCAAGCAATTGTTGTTGTGTTGTTCTTTTCTGTTGTTGTTGGTGGTGGGTTGGGTTTTGAAATCAATTATTTGCCCTTTGTATTTGAAGTAGAAGAATTGACTTTAATAATAGCGTGCATCATGGTGTCCATTATCGTCCGAGTGGAGCGATCCGAATAAATTTTGAGACCATTATTCGTGCACGTGTCATCAACGGACTCCAATTCATTGGTAATATTCTAATGTATGTTTCACATTCTAACTTAGAAGATTGGAATTAGAAGATGAGGTGGTGGTTAATATATGGTAAATTATAAAAGGAGATTCCATGATGATCGGATAAAACGTATTTGTTAAGAGTACGTGTGAAGATACCTTCGCTCCGAGAGAGAGAAAAATCAACAAATAAAATTTCCACTATTGATGCCATGTCTAAATGAACGCATTGGATGACAACGGCTTTGAATAAATTATTAGGATTTGTCAAGGTAGTGAATGTCATGAATAGAATGACAAATGTATCGTTCATTTGGTTGATTGTGTCATTTTTTGAAGTGTGATGATGACAGACCTTCACACTCATCATCATAACATCACAACAACAAACTAAAAAATGCAAGCAAGAATCACTGATCTCACTCGTGAAGAAGAGAAAATCATTTACAACTCCAGCATGTATGTGGCATCTATGGATCCACTCTACCGAAGCATAGATACTCTTTTACGTGAGAGCGGTGTGGATGATCCAAATCAATTACCTCCTCATCTCAAACAACAATATGATGGAATTAAATATAGTTTACAAATGATGGAAGATCAGTTATATTCTATTGGAACACTGGTCTCTTCAATTTCCATTCAAGTTTATAAATCACCAGAAGTTGGAATAGAGCTTCGGACTCTGTTTGGAGTGTTGATCCGACATTTATATGAATTGGGAATCTACAAAACAACGTTCCTTTCCATGTTCATTCAATTGTCATTTGGTACACGCTCTAAAACAGATTATTTAATGGAATTATTACATGATGAAAGAGTGTATCAGTATATGAAATCAGAAATTGAGGGCAGTGTTGAAAATCATGTTCTTCTTGCTCCAATAATGCCTGTTGTTGCAAAAAACGATTGGAATTTGTTTGTTGAGAAGTATGAACCTCTTTATTTTCTTTTAAATGCTCCTTCTGGAAATGCGTATTCCTATGCATCTCAAGTTTATGAGGCTGCTTCAAAACATCCAAAAAGTATTCTACCGTATTTGAAGGAAGCGATCAATGGACTGGTCGTCACGGCTGAAAAAGAAAAATCAGAATCGAAAGAACAACATATTTTGAATAGTGTTTTCAATTTGGTGAATAGCAATCCTGAAGCTCTTTTCAATAGTCCAGATTCCTCTGATCTACTTGACAAGCTCAACAAGATAGCTCCAATCATTTTTGATACAAACAAACCTGTAATGACTGAAATATTTTCTATTGGTGAAAAATTGAAAGAATCAAACGAAGCTGATTTGAGTTTCGAGGATGGAGAATATCTTCTCATGGTTGAGTACAATGGAAAGAAGAAAAAAATTAAGGAGAAAAGCAATCATACTCTGGCCTCCTTGTTGCAGGTTGTCTTTGAAAAGTATCAAATTGAAGAAGATTGTTCCAATTTAAATAATCTCTATGACAAGGGTTATATCGTTGAATATTTTGAAAACGGTATTAATGATTGGATTGAATTTGAGTGGATTGAAGATATTCCAAAAACACCTTCTGTTGCAAAAATTCGTATCACGAAAGAAAAAGTTGAAAATGAACAAATGGAACAAATCGTTGAGAGAAATACCAACATTCAGTTAGTGAACGAAAAGTATCAAATTTTAAAGAGACTTGGAAAGGGTGGTTTTGGTACAGGTATGTTTTTTGATGACATTTGACGAAATTATACATGTTGTCGTCATTTGTATGTTGATATGATCTTGCCAACGACGTGATTGAAAACCTATCATGTTTAAAATTCACAATATTCCAATTATTTAGTATACCTTGCAAACAATTTCTCTGACGTGATACCAACCTTGGCCGCTCTCAAGTACATTGAAATTGACAGCGTGATCAACTTTAACCGTTCAATGAGAGAAGGCATCCAAATGCTTCAGCTTGACCATCCAAATATTGCAAAAATCTTTGACGTATTCGAAGTTCAAAGCAGTGATATTGGTCTAATGGGTGTCGAAACTAAACGTTATTTATGTTTTGCCATGCCATACTATAGCCATGGTGATCTTTATGATTTGGTCAAGAACGCACCACATATCTTGACACCAATAATGATACGATCAATCATGAAGCAATTGATGGAATCACTCGCGTATCTTCATGACGAAATGAGTATTGTTCATCGTGACATCAAACCACAAAATGTTTTGATTGATTCCATCAATATTGCAGCAAAAACATTGAAACCAATTTTATCAGACTTTGGTTTGGCCAAGACTCTCCTCAAGACAGAGACACAAATTGCTGGTACAGGTATGTTTATATGTATTTTTGTTATGTCATTTACACAATTTTCTGAATATCGAAAATTTTTGACCTCATCATCTTTTTGAACGCGTTATCATCATCGTTGGCCATTATAAATCTACTCTTGTTGCGATGACTATTTCAACAAAATTTGAATATTTGCGTAATTAACTGGAAACATGTTTACAGCTTCCTACATGTCTCCGGAAATGACTACCCGAAAGGGATATGATTTAAAGACCGATGTTTGGTCAATGGGAGTGATGTTTTATCAACTCGTTTCCGTGGGAGACTTTGTAACCGATGTTAAGGGTAAAATCCTAGAGAACGACGTGAATTATTTGAGGTCTCAAATTAATAGAGCTTGGAGCTCAGGTTCTGATGCAGATATTGAAACCATCTCAGTCCTCACGGGTCTCACATTTGATATGCTGAAGATAGATCCTGATGAACGTTTGTCCTCCAATGAAATATTGCAGAGATTGCAATAACCCATCCATTACTATGAAGAAGAATATTTTCGAATTAATATAAAGCTATTTATTAAAGATGACTTTTAGATTGGCACCACCTAGCTCCGAGCATGTTAAGCCATCTTGCTTGCGTTGTATAATGTTCCTTTACTTGGACTCACTCTTTCCACAACAACCGTCCTTCTTGCAGCAGCATTTGGCAAGCTTGCAGACCAAAAGGGTAGCAGCAACACCAGCAACGAAACCATAAGCGAATGAAGTATTACTTTGAGACATTTTTTTGTTGTAGATTTGTATTATGAAGAGGTACAAATATAGTCAAAAAGATTGCCATTCATGAACCTAAGCCATACAATTTACAATGGAGGGGGTTGACTCTAGCTAAAGTTTGTTGGTGTTTATTAATATGGTTGAGTCTCGCCCTAATTTCGTAAAGAATTGCATATGTCAAGCTCTCTAATGGTTGACGAGAGGAATTTCACTGTGATCATAGAGGTCTTTACAGTGCTCATTTATCCTGGAACGGATTTTTGAGATCGGTTCTCCTTAATGAAATTGAATGAGGCCATTGGAATTGGGAGGGATCATTTATAATTATTCAAACGTCCCAAATGAAACGGTGTAGATTCAAAAGTTCCCAAATTTTTATTTTGAGCATCCCAAAAGTTATATAGTATCATCTTGTTCTTCCTCTTTGTCCTCCAGTACATCTCAGAGTATACGCATGGACTGCGATGTTTTGATTTCTGCGTAACGTTCCTTCAACGTATCAATCCTTCAAGAGAATGTTGGTACGTATTATTTGGTTGTTTTACTTCAAAAAATTTACAACAATCTTCATGAGGGTCCGACAAATCCGCAGCCAAAGCCCACCGGATCAGATTCAATCAAGGATTTTGCAATAAAAACTTTCATTTTAATGAATTCGTGTATTCGACAACTGCTTTTCCATCCACAACTCTGCATCATGTAACTGATCTTCCTCCACCAGGTGGTTTGGTTGTTCGTCGATTTCTAGTAAAGAGCAACGACCTGATCTGATGGTGTTTTGCTTTACTATAACACAACTCGTTCCAACTTTCGGTGGAAAAGCGGAGGATCGATGGCGATTGTACCATCAAAGCAGTTGGGCCTATCAAAAAACATTGTGTGACGGGTCATTATTTTTTGTTTCCCAATGTTCTAAAAATAATTTTGTTTCAACAATCTATTTTTAACAACAATACAATTGAAGGTGGGTATTAATAAAAAGCATAACTAGTACCCATAATGGTGAACTACAAACTTCGATGTTGGGCCTTTAGCCTTATGGTCTTTTCAAATGCCATTCATACACACGCACAACATTTCCATTATAGCTTCCCTATAGAACAAAGATCAGAGATTGCAACGAAATTATTTTTATTACAAGAAGATGATTCGTTGCTCAACGTAACAATAACCTTCTTCATCTGGGTCTGATCGTAGTGTCTTCATGCCATGTGTTAGTTGGTAAATGATTCGATTGTATTCTCTCCGTTCATCACTCTCTTCCTCCTCACTGTCTGCTTGTTCATCATCACTCTCTTCATTGTCAGTTTCGTCCTCTTCTTCATCGCTTTCCATCTCATCTTCACTGTATGTTTCTTCTTCATCACTTTCCATCTCCTCTTCACTCTCTGTTTCTTCTTCATCACTTTCCATCTCGCTTGCGTCTGTCACTTCGATGGGCTTTTTGGTTGACCACCACGCAACACCAGGTATCATTTTTTTTTATAACTTTTGGTTCCGAGACCACTGAAACACTCGTATGCACAGAGAGTTTGGCTAGTGGGGGAGACGCTACCAGCAAATGTGGTGGACCATGAAATTATTCTCTTTGTGAACATTAATGATAGAGATGAATTGTTCCGAGTATGAAGTTTCAAGTTCCTATCTTCAGTCCTGAAGAGCAAAAAGAATGTATTGAGTTGTGGACGCAACCATTGTTCTCACACCACGAAGAGGAAGGACCTCATTTAGTAAGTGGGAAAGCCCTTCAAGTGGATAAAGGCTTGTAAGCTTTTAGAAAGGTTCCTTTCTTTCATTTTCAACCATCTAAAAAATTACCTCCAACACCATCTTGAGACCAACAGCAATTGACACAACCGCTGCGAGTATACACAACAAGCACAAAACAACAACAACAACAACGATCTTCAATATCATCCAGCATCATCGCTCTTATGCCTCCTTCTATTAAAAAACCTCGCACCTCTCCAAGAAAACAGGTCCGACCTTTCAAAAAGTGTCCTCATTGTGCTCTGTTGAATCGTACCAAATGCAAACATCGTCGCTCGATTGAAAAATATTTTGGAACTGATTTTCAATTTCCAAATAAACAGGGTTTGTTCATGGATGCCGTTCTCAAATTTAAGAGGGAGAGAATCGTTGAAATTGCCATCAAGGCTGATAATTATATTATAAACTTTTTTAAACAAGTTGCTACTTCTTTCAAAGGATTAAAAGATTATTCCTTCCTTGAGGAGTGGTTTATAAGAAGATTAGAAGAAGAAATATATTCATTGTCAATTGAAAAGGAAGTGATTGATCTCACCACTGAAGACGATGCCAAAGAATCGATCGAAGAGCCCTTTGATGAAGATGGTGAAACAGTCCCCGAACCAACCATCGAGTATCAACAAGAGTTCCTTCAATCCCAATGAAAAATAAAGAACATGAGTCAAAGACATGGATATAAACTATGCCATATATTGTTGTAAATTCCAATCCTGGGTTTTACGGTGGCTGAAGATTGGAATAAATATCTACCAAAGGATAACCCAAAGAATAGATTAGGCTCGCACTGATTGTGACATTGATATTTGTATAAATTAAATAAGGAAGGAAATGATCGCTATGGTCTTTACTCCTCTTCTTTGATTCAAACTGTTAAAAAAAAATAAGGCGGAGCAAAATTTTTTGATCGACATATGATTACCATGGACCTTTTTTACCAGTACATGGTCCATTTTAGCAGGGTTTTTAGAAAAGAATCCATCTGCTTTCTTGAGCCTATTTTTAATGCACATTAGTCTTCATATCAAAGGAAGTGCTTTGATCAACACACAATAAAAAAACCAATACACAACTTAAAGCTTTTGAATTCAGTCTCGCGAGACACCATGCCAAAAGAATCCACCTACAAAAAATGTCCAGTGTGCATGTTTTCTCAAAGAAAGTGTCGCCACCGCAAAGAATTAGAGAACATGTTCGGTCCTGACTATAGATTTCCAAAAGAACAACAAAGATTTAAAGAAAAAGTTTTAAAGATTTTTAGAAATAATCCCAGACAACAAAAGATCTTTGTGGAGCAAGTTATTAGACCCATGTCTTCAGGATGTATTAGTGGATTTATCAAAACCGCTCAAGAGGAATATGAGAGAGCGGACGATTTTCAATTCTTGATTGACGAGTTTAATCAAAAACTCGTGCGAGATGTTTATTCGTGTTTGGAAGATGCTTGCGACGATCAAGACATTGATGATTTGGCAGATACGGAAGAGGAAGACAACACAAATGAAATCTTGAATCCAGATACGACTCCCTCTTCAAATCACGGTTCAAGTGGTCTTCCAACACGTTTTGTCTTTTACGATGTTGATCATCAGAATGAAATGTATTATTTTGAAGAAATTTGAATAGAAGAATGATAAAAATAAACGTGTAAAATAACTTGCGCAAGTGATCATGAATTTTTCAAAACCACATCATCCGCAAGCGACGTCAACAACTTCAAATTTATATATGATCCGGAGTGACTTGTTTCTCTTATCCTCTTTGCATCGGTGGTCTGTTACAGAACTTGGGCTCCATACTTCGGTCTCTATGATTCAGATGATACACCTTGTCCGCATTGGATGGTGGTTTGTAACAAGTTGATTACACCTATGAAAACTTTTATAAGCTGCACCAGTGCAAGTAATGAAGATCATTCATTCCAACAACAATAGATACTTGTTCGTGTTGGGTTCTTTCAACAAAGATGGTTCTGTGTTATGCAATGGTTTGGCCATCTACTACATTGAAAAGGCTACTTGGTCTCGTCATGTATATAGATTACGATGGATGATACTGGTACGTAATCGGATCCAACGGTTAGTGTCATTGGAAATGGATTGAAACCATCAGAAAATCTGAAAGTTTTTTTTTCAAATTATTTTGCACTGTATGGCGTACATCAAAACTGACACAGAGGATCGTACTGAAAGATGCTGTTGTGTATGTATCATCACGCCAGACACAGTCACAGACTAACTGACCAACCGACCGTTGTACCCGAACGACCTCCGTTCCATCATGTGACTGTCAATCGGTAGGAGACCATCTTCGGTCCATTCAATATTAAACTGGCTTCTTGTCTAGTTACAGTCCTGCATCAATGAATGGTATCAAGAAAGGAATAAACAGGATTTAGAAGCCCAATTAGAAACACCACATGCTGATCAAAAAGTTATTCTCAATCGTATTGTTAATATGATGGATATAATTCCCCTGATGCTTCTTGCATCATCATCAACATACTAGACCACTGCAACAATTGTTCTTGGTTGATTGTCCAGTATTGAAAACAGGTGACTAGTTTCAACGTTACACTAGAGGACAACAATGATCTCTGCATTGTTTGCATTTAAACAACCTCTCAAAAACATAAAGGAGGGTGTTTGATGACTGGAGGTCATGTTTGAACTACGTACTCTCACAAACACATCCATATGATCTTCGTTCCGTCCCTTTAGTGATGAAAGGGCCGTCGAGTTTTCAGTATTAACAACTCTCGTTGATCATCAAACAATTCCATACTTGGAGAGCTGTTTCCGTGGCAACGACCAGACCAGGTTCCGTTGAAACTCCACAATCTCATGGAAATGTTTCAAAGCATTTGGGATGGACCTATCCCCACCAGCCAAAATTAGGGATATTTCAGGTTATTTGGGACGAGTTTATTTCTCCGACACCTACTTGTTTGTTTGGTCTGAACCGTTCTCAAAAAGCCCTCAGCAAACCAAATGTACAGTTGTATCGGTCGCTGCGGTAAACGTTGAAACCAAAGAAAATGTTCGAATACCTTACCTTTGCAAAGCTCACAACGGAACCTGGTCTGGTCCTTTCCACGGAAACAGCTCTCCGGATTGATACGGTGATGGAACATGATGCAGAAATCAAAACATGGGAAGCCCATGCGTTCTGGATCAATTTTCCATATCTAAGCGTAGTAACGTTGGAAGGAAAAAAGGACAATACTGATTCGACACAAAGAAATGGTAGTACATACTCACATACTCACATACTCTCACTCATCGAAACGTTGTTGAGGACGAAGATGAAGAACAAGATGTTACTAAATAACTTTTGGGATGTTCTTAATATAAATTTGGGATTGAGATAGAAAACTTGTGAAACAACACAGTTTCGTTTGGGATGTTAAATGAAGTTATCATTGTAAATGTCCCTCCCAATTCCAATGGCCTCATTCGATTTCATTAAGGAGAACCGATCTCAAAAATCCGTTCCAGGTTTATTGAGCACAGTATCTCCCTCTTGGCCCTTGTTAATATATAAAGATTGGCCATACCTATTCTCATTAACGAACACTAAATGTGCCGAACTCAGAAGAATCATGAAGAGCAAAAAATTTCGAACTCGAGTCTAAAGACTTTTTCTCCAAGGAAAATCCTCATTTATAATAGAAAAACAAACGTCAAAAAAAATAAAGAGAGGAAATGCAAGCACCTACTACCTCGTCCCGTCACTGTACCTATCGACCTTGTCCCTTTTGTATACGTCTCAACGTTAGGTGTATATATCGAATGAATTCTGAAATCATGTATTCTCAGTTTATGGACATCTATGATGATCTCGAATTTTCCATTACACAAGAAATCACAAATACTGTTGATCTTACCGATGAAGAAGTTATCGTCGATCTGACCGAAGAAGAAGAAGAAGTTATCATTGATCTGACCGAAGAAGAGTCAGATGTATCTTCATCTACCAGTCATGATGCTGTCCGTCTTGTACAACATCTTGATCGTTCTGAATTTATGTATGTTGATGATGATGATGACCACCGGGAGGGTCTTGAAATGAATAATTGTGAAAATAGTATTCAAATCACGTCGCAATGGGTGAATTCATTCTTGCAGGTGGGAACATCCGATTTCGACCTTGTTAGGTATTTGTCGAATTAACTATAATGTAAATATATAAATGTATTTCAACTATTTATTTTTACAAGTTCTGATCCTAGATACGTCTTCTTGTTGCATCCTATCATTCTTGGTAGAACCCAACTGTTCCATTCAGCTCGATGATTGTCGATATGACTGATAGGGTTTAAACCTTGTATTGGCCCATATGGCTGTCCCAGCGAAGACGATAAGCTTCACAAACCCTTCACGAACATAACACTTCATCATTATCAGAAAACACCCTTGTTTTTCGAAATTGCACAAAAACGATGGTCAACTTCATCACCTGTTTCAACAAAAAAATATTTCTTCATCAAGAGCCTTTTGTTTTCAGAGCGATCATTTCACGTGTTTCTCTGAAAATGTCTTCCGATAAAGCCTCATCGAGTGTAATGAACTCGACCAATTCCAATAGACAAGAAATGTTGAGAAAGAAGTTTTGTAAAGACTATAACTTGCCAATCTCTATCACTACAAGCCCATATTTTGAATATTATTTGGATTTGTATGATGATTATTTGGGATGTAGAAGACAGTGGAATACCATGTTACAGATTGTAGATCAACAATTCCGATCATCGGAAGGATTGTTTTCTTTGGTCGTTAATGACAGCGTGTATCGTATTTTAAATATCATTGAAAACTCTGACATTTATGTGAATTATTTCAATTCTTCCAAAGTGAAACCAGAAGAAATTTGGGTTACAAATTATTTGAAATACTACCCAAATGCCAATGTTTCTGCCAATAATTTAGAACCATTTTTCCCAAACTTGACCAACGTGCAACAGGAAGTTTATACTGGTAATTATGATGGATTCTCATTTGTCTCTGTAGATATGACAAGTGCCAATTTTAATATTATGAGATTTGTTGACCCTGAATTGACTTTGAATTGTAAGACATACAAGGAATTGATTCGTTTTGGATTGAAATCAAAATTGGAAGACCCAAACAACAACTATCAGACAATGCACAAGTTGGATGTTGATAGTTTGCTGAAGGATGTGCAAAATGATGATAGCCCATTCTTTAAATATGTGACCGATGCTAAATACTTGAGACAAGTTGTTTTTGGAAAGTTGTCTCCAAAGCGACAACAAGTCATTCAAAAATGTGTCATGAGAAGTTTAATCAAATTATTGCTCGAAAAAGCTGATCAATGCGACAACCCTATCGTCAAAAAGTATCTCACCACTGATCGATTTGGATCTTGTACTGCCGACGAAATTGTCATTAGAGTTTCTGACACTAAGAGAGACAACATTGCTGAACAACTTTCCAAACAAGATCAACTTTTACACACCAATATTCTCATGAAGTTTATCAGAGACACTATCGACAGTGAACCTTACTTGCAACAAGTTACTTTCCGTGTTGAAGGTTTTACTCTCCAACAAATTAAGAGCTCAAAATTGGGAGACAAAGCCGTTGGTTATGTTAAAGAATATATCAACGATCAAATGCTTGGAGAAAAGAGTCATAGTGAACATAGAGGATTGCTCAATGTGGAATTTAAGGGAGTCACCAATTATTTATTCCCTCAAGTTTTCAAACATTACTTTGGAAAAGAAATTCAAGTTAATGATCGAAAATTCTTACTTGATGGTCAATTCATTGCTACTCTCGATGAACCTATTTTCTAAATGGAATATAAATCAACCCGAATTTCGTTGTACTCAATTTTAGATTTGAACGTAGTTGAACGTAGAGCGTCTTGTTGTTGTTTGACCTTTTTGATGATTCATTTCTGAAACTGAACCATATGCTTCGTTAATCTCAAAACAAAAAATAGAATCGAAATGCCATTATCAAAACAGCAACGAAAGAAGAAGTTTCAGCAAGAACAACACGACCATGGTGACATTGTGGAAGAACAATCCAACATGAACTAACGATCAATGACGACGATCATGATGAACACGAAAATGGTGACGACGACTTTGATGACTTGGATCAAAGAGCATCGTCCTCATCCGTTTCAAATCACACACAACGTATTTTATATAACCGTGTTGAGGTTGAAAAGGAACTTGCCATCAAAAAACAATATGGGCAAAACAAAGCAGGAACTTCATTATTTTCACTCTCATCATATGATGGTAATAATTTCATTTCCGATCATCAAGATTTTGAAATCGAACAAGAAAATGACTCTGATCGGGAATTGAAAATTCAATCTCCAAAAACTTGTCCTTCATCCAACGAGTCATTACTGGCAATTTCAGATCGATTAATGGGCTCTATTTGGGGACATGTCTATGGTGACGTTGTGGGTTGTCCTATTGAGGGTTGGAAGAGTGGAGAAATTCGAAAATTCTATGGAAATAAGGATTTACAACTATTCGATTTTTCACAAATTATTACCAAAGGATATCCAAGTAAGGAATTGATGGCATCCAAAGATTTTAAACAATTAGAAAAAAAGAGACAAGTATCTTCAAAGAAAGAACGAAAAGAATCTGCCACTGAATTATTCTTACGTCATATTCGTCCTGTTGGAATTCACAGTGACGACACTCAGCAAGGTCTCGCACTCATGAACGCAATCATTGAATTTGTCTTGGAAAATTATCAAGATGAACCGACTTCTTCAAAATTATTACCTATTAAGGTTGAATTTGTGGAATTTTGGGCCAAATGGTTAATGGCTGGTTTCAGTGAAGGTAATTGTGAAATAGTTCGTCCTTCTTCTGGAGATTCGGACGAGAGTCACACACCAATTCTATTAGCAAAGAATGCAAGAGCCTTCAGACAATTTGGTTCCAACACTTCGCGGGCTTTGAAAAAATTAACACTTCAAAAATGTAGCGCCTATGACAGTGGTTCGAACACATTTGGAATTGGAGGAATGATGAGATGTGCTATTGCGCCAATTTGTTTTGCATTGAAAGATTATCTAATCAAAATGGATTTATTTGGAGAATCCAAAGAATTTTTAAAATGTCAGCAAAATGAAGAACAGGATGATATTTATGAGAAATCAAAATCAAACGAAAACAGAAAACAATCCAAACATGCCTCTTCTTCTAGTCAGACTATTGGAGATGATGATCCAATTTTGAAAGCGCTTTCCTATTTCTCGTATTCTCAATGTCTTACCACACATTCGACGATTGAAAGTGCTACAGTCACATTTGCATCCAATGTCATTGCTTATAAATTCATAGAATGTGGAAATAATGAGGAAACGATTGACTGGTTATTGGATCATTTGCCACGAATTTTAGCAAGACATGAAACGTATTGGTTTGAAATGAGTTTTTGTCCTTCCTTGAAAAGAAATCAAGAGAAATCTGCCAATCAAATGTTTACATTGTATGATCCATTGAACCATTCGATTCATACCGTGTCATCTATTTTAATGGAATTATTTGATTATATGAAAGATCACAAAGAGGATGATTCATTGTTGAAAGATCTTCGTGAAAAGGTAAGCCCTAGTTACTGGAAATTCAATTCCTTTAATCAGTGTTGACAAATTCATTGTCGATTACATCTATAATGACTGAACTCTGTTGCTTGTACATTGTGGAATTGACAGATTTCTGAAAACGCTAAAAAAGCAAAACAGAAGCCTATGAAAGCTTGTGTCAATCAAGGATTTTGTTTATTGGGAGGAATTCACTCGATTGTCATTGCTCTTCTTCCTGAACGAACATCTATTATTTTGAATGCACATCCATCCAAAGCACTCATGCAATCGAAAAACACTCGTTGTAACATTCCATTTCCTGAGCTATTACTATATTCGGTAATTACCAATGGATATGACACTGATACGGTTGGTGCCATTAGTGGTTACATGCTGGGTGCAAGATTTGGTGTATCGTCATGGATCCTCCATAAATCATGCATTGTGGATTTTGAACGTATTGAAAAGTATGGAGAGAAAATTGTGAAATTTTGGATGGACAGGAACCATCCAACAATGAAAGAAATAACTACAACTTCCCCATATTCCAGTATCGTTGAAGCAAAACTGAACAGTATTCAACTGATTGAAAGCATGGAAGAATATTTGAATCAAGAACGATTACTTTCAGTTTATTGTTCCATTCAAAGACATCAAATTATGGATACCTATGTACCCATGTATCGTCCAAACACCACGCAAACCAGTGGTCACGACGAGGAAATGGTCCTTAGTAAGAGAACGGATTATCACTCCTTGTTGAATTTACAGTAAAATGCAAATGATCTTTGGGTGTAGGTAATACCAAACGAAGCGGGGACGGAGTAACCTTTCTCCGCATTTTCTCCACGGAATCCTTTCTGTTCAAAGAGAATAGGCGATTTTCAAACCACTTTCAACCGTGTTTCTCATTTGTAATTGATTCATCACACACAAACAAAAAATGCAACCAACAACACCACAACAACAAACACCTCGCATTCTCAATCATGATGAATTAAAATCCAAATGGGATGCCTTCTCTAAAATCTTTCAGCAAGTGATTGAACCTAGCACCAACATTACTGCTCAATCTCTCATTTCCTCTCTCGTATTAAATCAAAAGAAACACATTTTAGATATCGGATGTGGAGGAGGAGGTGGTTCCTATCTCATTGCTTCTCAAATGCCTTCCGATTGTGAGCTTACGAGTATGGATCTCTCTTCCGAGATGATCAAATTAACTCGGGATCGATGCCATCTTCTCACTCAAGCTCCTTTCTATCGAAAAATTAATTTTGTAGAAGGCTCTGCAGAGAAACTTCCTTTTGAAGATGAAACATTTGATGCCATCTTCTCCAATTATTGTTTGCATTTAGTTCCGAATCCAGATCAAATGCTGAAGGAAATACATCGAGTCTTGAAGAAGGGAGGAAAGGCTTGTTTGAGTGTTTGGGGTCGTCCCGAGAATTCTCCTTCGTTCACTGTCATGCAAAAAGCCATGATCGAATGTAAGAAGAGATTCAATGTTCAAGATGAAAGTAATGCAGTGGTGAGATCTCCTTTCCATTTGCATCAAAAAGATCCATTGCGTGAGAGAGTATTGAATTCTGGATTTTCCAAATGTTTGGCTTGGTATCAATTTCAACCTTTTCATTCATTTAGTGCTCGTGAATATGCCGAGTTGAATATTCTCACTCCTGATTTTAGAGCTCTTGTGGAAGGATCAGAAGAGAAGAGATTGGAAGTGTTGAGTGTGTTGGAAGGAATGGCCAATGAAACATTTGAAAAGAATGAACCTATTGGTAATGAGGTGTTGATTGTCTTGATGAGTAAGGATGAGTAATGTGATCACACCACATCAAGATGATAGAATTTCAAATGATGTGACATTGTCATGCTTCTTCTTGCAATTGATGTTGGATGAATAAAGTCGTGTGAGGTTTGGTCACCAAATATATTTGATTATTTGGTTATGGAACTTTTGGAATCCACACTTTCAGGCATTTCACCATGCTCATGAATCTCCAATTCAATGGAATTCACGTGGTCGTTGCCTTGCTCATGTTTGTGAAGGTTGTCTTTGTCTTTCTTTAAGTTTTTCCTATAATAATACACTATTTGAAACAAAATAAATGAATCCATGCACACATTGACAGATGTTTCCAACAAAAACGGTAAACGCATCATTAAATAATTTCCATTAAATGAAAACAACCAAATAGAAGCCACATAACTTGAGTTCCCCAACACAGCCAATGAAAAGAATATTCTTGAAACACCCTCAGCACTGCCTCGTTTGAAATTCTTATAAATTTGAGGAGGTCTCGATCCCAAATAAAGTAATGCACACAACCAGCCAATTGTGTATCCAACAATGGACATGGGAGTATTGGGTGGGAAAACAAATGCGTCATGCTTGGCCCAATCCTCTTCTCGACTCGATGAGTTACTGGTCTTACTTATTGACTGTGTTTCCATGACATTCATTTCAGTGCTGAATAGTTTTCTTCCAATATGGGTGGAGGAGGTTGTGTAAATTCGTTGTGGATAGACCATTGATTCGTCATTGCTTTTCGAGTTAGGGGAAAAAGTTTCTTGTTGTAAATTCCATATTTTAAATCTAAACGAAATCATAATAACCAATAGGACCAGGATCAAGGCATATCCAACCTTAATATTTAGTTTCGTTGGGCTGGGTATTGTTTTTGTGACATTTGGATTTAATAAAGTCACTTGATGATTGTCGTGATGGATGTCATCCTCCTCATGATGATAAAGATGCTCTTCGTTGTCATTGATAGAAAGTTGTTGGTTGCCTCGTTTCTTCCTTTGTTCCGACCATTTAAGAAGATATTTTTTAACTACAAGATAATAAAAGTATTGAAATAGGACAATAATGTCAGTGGATACAAAATATAAAGCGACAATGATTTGGGTCGTGAGCTGTCTCGATAAGATGCATGAAATGAAGTTACTGCTATCAGATATGAAAGCTTGTAACAAAAAACCTAAACTGAGAGAAGTGGCGTCCTATCAAGAAACACTGGACTGTCATTCATAAAAAATTTTAAAAATTTGACATACCTTGTTTTTGAAATTTGCATAAATTTGAGGAAAGATGGCACACATCCAAAACAACAAACTTGCAAGTCCAACGTAAAACGATGCTTGTTCTCTGGCGGAATGGACACACTCACCAAAAACAATATATATCCATTTGATATATTGAAGGCCATCGGGGTCAAATTCTAAACAATTTGTGTTATTGGACGATGAATTGGTGACGATTTCGGTAAGAGTCGGAGCTAATGATTGCAAGTTGACGGTCATTGAAAGGAGGTCAATGAAGGTTTTTTTGTATTTGATTTGTAAAGGCTGGAGTCCAAAAAGAGACTTCATCAATTTTAAAAAGTTACAGCGAACGGGAATCGAACCCATGACCTTCAGCGTGTAAAGCTGACGATCTAACCGACTGATCTACCGCTGCTTACATTAAACCTTACTGTTTCTCCTACTTCGATGTGGACAGTTGAATGACTTGATCGCTCAGCTGTAGTTGTGTTGAAAGCTCAAAGTAATCGAAAAAAAATTCGCTCAAGAACTATGAATTGGAATGAAGCTGCGGACTCGTTCAGGGCCAAGGTTTTGAGAAGCGGATTATTTGATCCACCTGTTGCTTCTTCGCTTATTGCTCAGACACCCAACGAGCCTAGCAATACAACGAATGTTTGGTCCTCCTCTGTTGCATCTTCCAGTCCCCAGTTTTTGTTTTCAAACATAAGACGACCATCAGATCAGCAACAACATTCTTTATCATCTGTTTCATCAAAACCCGAGGACATGAGCCTTCGTTTAACCCCGAAATATGAAATGCCCCATGTATCTACTCCTCTCAAAGACAGCTTTTACAACAGAAGTAATACGTTTACATTAAATACAGACAGATCAACGACCCCAGAGGTCGATCATTTAAAAAACTCATATTTATCCTTACGACAACAGGAAGAAGAACAAAGGAAGAAGGAATTGATTCTTGAGCAAGGAAAGCATGATCTACACAAAACAATCAACATTAGCCCTAGTCTTATCTATCCTAACTCCAGTTCCCCTTCAACGCAGTTTTTAAACCATTCAAGCTCAAAAGAAACTGTGATACCTCCTTCCTCTATTCTTTCCTCCAGGAACCTCTTCGGATCTAGACTTCATGAACCTAAAATCAACAACTATGATAACATTGGACTTGCACGAGGAAGAAAAATAGAATTAATCTATGAACGAAATTCACCGGATGTTGAATTAGTGAAACAAAGGATCAATGAAAGAGAGGTAAAAACACAAACCCCGGACTTTGAAATAGATGTAGCGACTCAAACTGAACTGTTTGTACCTTCGGATCATCAAAAAGATAGTCCTAAACGGGTCATCAAGATTAAGGACAAGGGTACAACCACAAATCTGGATGAAAAAAGCAAAATTACTTTTCCGACCAATGATGCGTCAAGCACCGAATGGATCAACGCACGATTTAAAGTGGAAGATCACCTTTTTGAACAACAGCATGAGCCTAAAAATTCACAAAATGAGCTGAAGAGCACTCTTAAAAGTGAGCACGCAGAAACACAAACACCAAGTCCTTCAAAAAAGAAAAAGAAGAAGACAAAGAAAAAGAAACCCAAATCATACGATTTATCACAATTTTTGGAGGAGTACGATCTACCACAACCTTCGATTAGCTCGACACCAATTTCTGGTAAAGTTTCGTCCGGAACTCAATCGTCTCCACAACTGGATAACAATGGAACACGGGATGAGCTGCCCTCGCAAGGTGTGCCTGTGGACAGTTCTGTTTCCATTCCAATCAATTCAGGAGAGTCTGAGCATGCTATTCCTCTTCAAAACGAAACATCGCAATTATTTAAGGAGGATGAGGATAAAAGGCTGACTTGCGGTAAAAAAGCATCAATTTCCCAAGAGGAGGATCTGTTAGACGAAGACAACGCTGTGCCTATTGACATTCTGCGACATTCTCCAGAGAAGGTTGAACTGTCACTCACAAACACCTCAGCAACTGGCAGCTTATTCGCGACTAGTCCCCTTCGAAATACGATAGGAGGAGAGAATTCAGAGGACACTTCAAAAACTCCTTCAGCAGTAACTGCAAGCTCCGCAACAACGTACCACTCTGCAGTACAAGGTGTTATGGGTACAGGAGTATTATCTTCAACTTTCGCCTCCTCAACACAATCCAATTCTACCTCAACAACCCTCCCCGCAAGTACAACAGCTCCATCTTTACCGGTGTCGACAGATGCTGGATCATCTACAGTACAATATGAGGATGAAACTGACAGCGATGATGATACGGGCGCAGGTTATGTGGGTGGATTAAACCAGCTCTCTTTGGGAGATTCAGAGTTAACAACTCAATCATTGTCAAATAGTGATTTCAAGCAACATGGTGAAGACGTCATTTCAAGAAACACCACCAGCAATACAACAACAAGCGATGGTACGCGGTACTCAGAACCTTCATGTTCTCATCATCATGCTTTTTCTTCAGCCGAAACACAAGGTAATGAACTTGGATTACCTTTCTTGAACAAGGAAAACACCTTTGAATCCGAAAACCCTCCTTGTTCAACTAGCAAGGATGAAGAAAATAATGAAAGAAACTCGGTAACAGAGCTGGAGAAAACTTGCAAACCCACCGAGGAATTACAGTCACAACAAACAACTGAACATTTAATAACAAATGTCTGGAAAACAGAATCTGAAGAGGATGTCTCAAACTCAACCACTGTACTAGTTCAGTATTACAATGATGAAAAAGAGGAAGAAGCTATTGCACAGCTTTCAGATGAAAGCAGCAAGCATCATATCGTTTTGAACGGAAGCCTTCCACCAACAGTGGCAACAGCAAATGAATCTGAGGAAACCATAAACATCAGTACCCAAGCAGAGGTTATTACAGCTATGGAAGAGCCAAACAAAGGTAGTTCAGACCAGCCCATCTTAGCCGTCGGTGAGGCAGACCTCAACGACAATACACATCCATTCCTTGATGAAACCCAGCACGAAACAAGCAAAGATAACCAAGATATACTTGAGACTGCCCTTGAACCAACCACATCAACACCTATTACAGAAACGACAGAAATTCTTTTTCAGTCAGGGATGTTTAAGGGAGACGTTGAAAATGGTGTACCACATGGGAAAGGCTTATATTATACAAAAGATGGTACCAGTTATGATGGTGGATGGATCCAAGGCAAAAGAAACGGAAAAGGAAGACTGGAATACCCTGACGGCTCAGTTTATGAAGGAGAGTTTTTAAATGATATGAGACACGGTCATGGACACTACACAACTCCAAACTACGTGTACGAAGGTTTGTGGGCAAATGACAAGAGAAACGGTCAAGGAATGATAGAATATGTTTTTGGTGACAAATATGATGGCTGTTTTACAAATAACTTTCCCGACGGCAAAGGCCAATATTGTTTCTGCGACGGATCCATTTATACAGGAGAATTTAAACATGGATGGAGGCATGGAGTAGGTACAATTCAATATGCTGATGGTATTACGAAATATGAAGGTGAATGGGATTGTGACAGAAGAACAGGAAATGCAAAAATTGTGTATTTGGAAGGGGTGTATACTGGTCAAGTAAAAGATGGAAGACGACATGGAAATGGATCATTTACATACTCAAACGGTGATGTTTATGAAGGACATTGGGAAAATGACAAGAAACATGGTAAAGGAGTATACTACTTTGGGTCATTAAAGTCAGGATCGTACTTTAGAGGTGAATGGAAAAACGGAGTTAAGCACTGCACCGGCGTTATGACGTCCACAAAATATATTCCTATGACGCCTCCAAAGAAGGGACTCAGACCTATATCCACATCTTTCGAAGAAGTATGGCATGAAGGACAGCTAGCTCAAAAGAAATTACTTTAAGAACTTGTCAACAACTATTGATAAAAAAAATAGAACACTGCCAGCTTCAATCGAAAATGCCCATTCCCAAACTATCCACTCAACCCTGTCATCAGCAAAAAACCTTTCGGAGCCATAAAGTTACAAATTCATATTCAGGATCAACACACACCCACTCTGATTCTTTAATATCCCTTCTCTCATGCTTCGGAGTGAAAGTCAATTTACGACCAATCAAATTTGCAATCCAACAAACCAAGGACAAACCAACCCGGAGCACTGTACAACAAATTAAAGAACAATTACAAATTTCATCAAACGATCACCCTATTTCCATCACAAAGAACTTGCATGATGAATTATTTCGAATTAAATTTTCTACAGCCTCGATTGGACACTATCACAGTTCAAGGGATTACCTCACACTTGAGCTCTACAAACAAATAGAAACGTCGTTAGAGAAATCAGAACCAATCGATGTCATGACTATTGAAATTGAATTTTTGAAAGCTTCACCGAGTGATCTCTTAAAATACTTTTCTTCCACATCCACACAAAGTATTGAAGAACAATTATTAAATCAATTAGTAGAAATTTTAGACGTAGATGAAAAAAGAAAACATGTCTATATCCGAATCCGAAGGGACTGTAATCACAACACCTCAGAGATCTTTGACCCCATTGATTACAGATATTTATTAATGGGCAAAATTGACAGCTCCAATCATGCTTTCCTCTTTGACGTGAGTGGTTTCTCGCAAAATGACAAGACAGTTCCAAAATCTGTTGATCATTTGTATGAATTGTGTACACCAGCCAATGTTAGAAACAAGAGTTTTCAGTCTGATGACAACAACGATTGTGGTATCCAAAGAATTCTCATTGGATGTTTTTTGACAAGTATGACAACCACAAAAAGAAAAAACAAACGAGGTGGTCCTATTGGAACAAAATCTCTATACTATACCACCAATCCGTATCATTTATTCAAATCCCAATCGTGAAATTGTTGTCATGGCACAATCAGCAAGCACGGATCGAATTGGGCAGACCTACTCTGGAAAAATTCACACAGGATACTACAGTTTTGAGACAAATTCTAGATTAAGAACGAATTACGTTAGAGATTGCTTGCCTTATTTCAAATCTTGTGTCATACAGACTGTTTACCATACACCATCAAGGACACATTGACCACAGAAGGTGTTCGTCGACGGAATGCCTCAAATAACATGCGCTCACTTACGACATTTGACGTGTCGAGATGACAAACCGAATTTCGTTATTTTCCCGCCCAACTGTAAACGTTACAGAACACCCCTCCTTTAAATTTTTTAAAAAAAATTGATTCATTCATAAATGAGTAGTGTGGCAAGCAGTAAAACATCGACAGCCTCCCAGAAGAGAGAGAAGCTGAAGGCATTATTGAGCGATAAGGTGTTGGATTTGATCAAGAAAGGAAGCAAGGACGTAAAAATTACTCCCGAAGTTTTGACTCTCATTTCAAAAGAAGTGGAGGCTTTGATTAAGGAAGGCAAGGGCTCCGAATCCGAATTGAAGAGTATTGCAACAAAGGCAAAGAATTTACTCCCAAGGAATACTAGCTCGGCTGGATCGAAACCATCGGTTCCTCCGATCGACACAAGAAGCGTTGCTTCTCGACAAAGCGACTCTCACAATGAAGAACATTCCCATACCAGCGACGTCAAAGCATCCAAAGAAGAGGAAGAGGAAGAAGTGGTGATCACAACATTAGGAGGCCAATTTGGAGGTGGTATCAAGAAGGCGGCCAAACCAAAGACAAAACCAACCACTGGTGACGACATCTGGGCTGCTATCGCACTAAAGGATACGGAAGAGTATCACAGGGAACAACATGATGAGTTTTTGCGCCAAAAGAACAAGCAGGTTGAGCTTCGACAAACTTTAAAACAACAAGCAGAGGAGAATAAGCGTCAACAAGAACTTAAGAAGCAAATGGAGCAAAAATATGTTGAGGAGCAACAAGAAATTGTAAAGAGAGAAATTGAGGAAGAAAAGAAAAAGGAGGAAGAACGCAAACAACGAATTATCGAAGAAAAAAGAGTTCGAGACCAACAATTAGAGCAGTCTAAAATGAGAAAGCAAATGATTGAGCATAAGAAAAAGGAAGAAGAAGAAGAGTTGGTTCAAAAATTGAAAAAGCAAATTACTAAAGAAAAGGAAAAAGAACTCAAAACACGAGAGCACAACAAGAAAGAGCTGTCTTCGTTCCTTGCATACAATGATACAATCAAAGCAAGAAAAGAGGAGGAAGCAAAGAAAGAGATTGAAGAAGACATTAAAGCTTTGAAAGCCTATGAAGAAAAGCAACGTCAACAAGAATTACGACGTGAAATGGAAATGAAAAAGATGTACGAAAGACAAAGTTTTTCAATTGCTTTGGCAACTAAACTAGAGGCTAATTTGGACGAAAAAGCCAAGGAAGACGAGAAGAAGGCAGAACGTATTCAAGCCGAAATGGAAATGAAGAAGGATTTGGAGCAAAAACAGAAGCTGGAGAAATCGAAAAAGCAGAAGGAAGAAATTATGGACACTCTTGCCAAACAAATTCAAAACAAGTTTGACACAAGAAAAGAGCAATTTACTCAAGAGCAACAAATGAAGAAACAAATTGAAGAGGACATCAAAAAGGCAGAACAAGAAGAAAAAGAGCGAAGAAAGAAGTTCAAAGAAAACCTAAAGAATCAACGTGAAGTGCTTAATTCACAAGTCAAACAAAAGCAAGAATTTTCAGCAAAAGCCAGTGCCATGTCGGAAACTGAAATGAAGCTGAATAGTGATAGGCTGAAGAAGATTAATGTTTTGTAAATTACACCATCTAGATTTTGTTGAATTTTTAGAGTCATCATCTAACTTTATAAATTAATTTTGATTGTACATAAATCCTAGCAATGGTTTCAGGTCAACTTAATTTAAGCATCCTAAATAATCTTCCTTAATTGTACCAATAGCGAAAAGTCCATTAGCCTCAGTTTTGACACCCATAATTTTCAATCGAACTTCCTTATCTTCCATAATGGATACCTACAAGATGATGATGATTGGTATTACGTGCAATAATTATTCATTGAGAAAAGATCCAATGGTAGTTGTGTAATCTTGATTTTTCGAATTATTTAAAACTTACTTGTGCTTCCTCGGAGACAAATCTTGGTGGTGAGTGATCTGGATCATATTTCATGTCATCAGGAATACCGTGTCTACTAACGAATACAGGTAATGGACCTGTCAACATGAATTGTAAAAAATCATTCAATCATCAAGATTCCACTAATGGTCACATCCTTGTTCAATACTTGATCTACATACCAACATTAGCGAAAAATCCAACTTTTGTCACCTTTGTAACAGTGGCATCACAGACCTCTCCTTTGAATGGCTTAAACACTACTGCTTTATAATTGATTGGGAATGTAGCATATCCTGATGATTCACCAATCTTTCCTTGCCCAATTTTAGTAATTTCCGTAACGGAAACGATGTATCCTGTTCTTCCTGTACATTGACCTTCCACATCGTTTTGAAGACGAGCACGAAGAGTACGAGTAAGCTCAGGGCCGAAAAATTTGGGATGCAAACGAATGTTCTTATCCAAATCCACCTTTGAAAAACACACAATGAATGGATGATGAAAAATTCATAAAAGTAAAAATGTTAATGAATCATCGGATGGTCATTGTTTGCGATTTTGAATGTATTGTAGAGATATTAATTTGATCAGAACAATATCATCATCAACAATATTCGGGTTGTTGTATATTCAAAGCCGATATTCAATCAGTCATCCCATTGTCATAATAACATTATGGATCGTCATGTCATACGGACTAGGTAAGCCTCTTTTCCATCTCGACGAATCAGCAATACCTACCAAAAAGAACATTTTTTTAATTAAAATTTATTTCACAAGTTTCACTCTCTTGGTGATGAGCATCAGCGGAAACGTTCTTCAAGTATCAAGTTCATGATGAAAATTACTTTCAAACAATGGATCACTCAAAATGGATGAGCTGATGTTGTCCCTTTTCATCTCACCATGATGATACAATTTGCTTTCATAGAAAAATTAAAGTTTTCGTATCATCACAGCAGCCAAATAATTTTTTCAATCAAATTCAAAAAATGGCAAAGAAGAAGGCAAAGACCATCCTCATCAAACTTGTGTCCAGTGCCAAGTCTGGATTCTTCTACACTACAACAAAAAACACACAAAATATTCAGAGAAAGCTCGCTTTTAGGAAATACGACCCAATAGTGGATAGACATGTGCTGTTTACGGAAGCCAAGGTGAAGAAGTAAATTAATTCTTTTCCGTGTTTTTAGAGCCTAGTACGATGATGAACGGAACTAGTAAATATTCCAAAACCATTTTCTTATAATTTCATCATCAAATCACTCAACAGTTTCCCTTCCGAACATTCCTTCTCAATTGCTAGTATAAAACTAATTTTATTTACATTAAAGTGGATCATTTCGAAATCATTTTGTTCTTCAATTCTCAACATAACAAGCAGAAGCTTCCTAGCACCAACGAAAACAACATTCGCTAAAAAAGTACAATATTTTGCGTCGACCGGGAATTGAACCCGGGTCACGGCGATGGCAACGCCGTATTCTACCACTAAACCATCGACGCTTCTTGGTTTTGTCCTAAATTACCAGATTTTAATAAAATGTGTTGCACTTCTCTTCTGGAAGAGCTACACTTGAAGGAGATAATTTCATCACGAAAAAATGTTTCCTCATCCCTCTTCTCATTACACATCACCCCACCAACAACAGAGTCGTGTATCTTCATACAACACCACTCCCTTCGGATCAGGTTCCTCTCCTTCTTTTTCCGTTGCTGATTTACAGCAATATTTACAGGAGAAGAGAGTTGAAGAATTATTTGTAAGCTTGATGCAAGCCATTTGTTTGGAACGTCCCCAACACATCATTCCGTTCCTTCATCAGAAATTGACTCAAATTGAAAGCTTTGCTGGTGTTGTTTCTCATCAACAAGTACCCTCACAGCCACAGCAACAACAAATTTATACAACCACAGCACCATCATCATACAATAACAGCATACAACAACAACCTCCACAGCCACAACAACAACAAGCTTATTCTTTTGGATCCTCACAACCAAAGCAATCTACTGGCACTAAATCCCCTCCATCAATTGGAATAAATAATTCCGTCCAACAACAACCAGCAAAATCTCCTTCTCCATTCAGTTGGGACAGTAGAAGTGCTTTCACAGATACTGGAGAAGTTGCTACTGAAAAACCCTCCAAGTCCAATGGGGATGCTTCTGTTCGCTTTGCTGTTCCTTCTCCAAGTTCAAGTGCTTTGGCTGAAAACAGTTCAGGCATTGATTGGAACGAAAGCGAGAATCGTAGAAGAAGATATTCCATTTCTGTAGCGAGAAGACGAGCTGTTAGTAGTGAAGTGTTAGACGAATCAAAGCCATTAACCGCAGAAGAGTTACAAGTCCATCACAAAACTCCAGAAGAATTTTCCAAGCTTAAAGAAGCTTTGTCATCGAACGCTCTTTTCACTTCATTGGAACCAGAGGATCTAAAAATTATCTTGGACACCATGTTTGAAGTAAATGTTAAAAAAGGAGACACCATCATTCGTCAGGGAGATGAACAAGGCGATTTGTTCTATGTAATTTATAGTGGAGAGTGTGAAGCACTCAAAAAAACAGGTAACGAAGAGAAAGTAGTTAAGGAATATTCAGCAGGAGATTCATTTGGAGAATTGGCTCTTATTTATGGAACTCCAAGAGCAGCTACTGTTCGCTCCAAGACTGACTGTAAATTATATGCTATCGATCGTGTCACATTCCGTCGTATTGTCATGCTAAATACTAAGCGTAAACGTGAAATGTATGAAGACTTTTTGAAACGTGTTCCAATTTTAGAAACTCTAACTGATTATGAGAGAATGACTGTTGCAGATGCTCTCGTTCAAGAAACATACGATGCTGAAGACGACAAGGGCCGCTATATCATCCGACAAGGAGACCGAGGAGATGCCTTCTACATTATCATTGAGGGCGAAGTTGTCGTCAAAAAGAAAGCGAATCTTGCTGATGTAAATGCTCCAGAAGAAGAGTTGACTAGATTAAGTGTTGGTGATTACTTTGGAGAAATTGCTTTGCTAACAGACCAAACTCGTCAAGCAAGCGTAGTTATTCCTGAGGACGCTAGTGAAAATGTTAAGCTTGTTAGACTTAATAGAAAGGACTTTAAGAGTCTGTTGGGCCCTTGCGAGGAAATCTTGAAGAGAAATATGAGACTTTACACTCAATATGTGACTCAAATTTAAGCATGACTGTTTTTATTGACTAACTGACCTACTAATAAATATTTGGACGATAAATAATCCACAAATTTCTTGTTTCTGCTTGAGTCTTTTTGGTTTCTAAAGAATTTAAACCTCCGCCAATTTGTTCGTTCGTTCACCAAATAGCACGTACTATCTAGGCGCAGTTTTCTGAAAACAACTTTCTGCGTCACAGCACGCATAAACTATTGTTCACCATCTGAGATATGCTTTAAAATAGATGGACTCGTTGGACCTTTTCCAACTCAAAAAAACAATTCTATCAAACTATATTGACAAGCTCATAGAAATGTCCTCACAACCATCCTCAAACAGCACTTATTCCAATGTTTTCATTGTAGGTTCCACTGGAACAGTTGGAAAACATGTCACAAAAGCATTCCTACAATACCATCCTCATGCTCAAATCAAAATTTTGGTAAGAAAAGAGAGTGAGGAAAAGGCCTCTGAGTTGAGACAATTAGGAGCCCAAATCGTGAACGGAGATCTCACCACCATTGCTCCTCAAGAACTTGATCAAATTTTACATGGATCTGATGTTATTGTGAGCACTGTGTTCGGCGATGCAAGTACCATCGTTGATGGTCAACTCAAATTATTAGAGTCTGCCAAGAGAGTTGGTGTGAAAAAGTTCCTTCCCTCAAGTTTTGGTGTCAATTCCAACAAACTTGAATATGGCGACTTACTTCCCAATGACAACAAGAAGAAGTTTGCTGATGAATTGGTGAAAAGTGGTTTAGAGTACGTCTTTGTCAACACTGGTCTCTTTTACTCGTACGCCACACTTCCGAATTTCCTATTCGAATTCGATAAGGACACTAACACTGTGAAATTTGATGGCGACTTGAATGCTCCATTAACTATGACTGATTTGGAAGATATTGGTAAATTCACTGCTGAAGCTGCTCTTAGAAAGGATATCAAGAATCGAGATGTTGATATCAAAGGAGATATCAAGTCCATTAGAGAGGTGGCTACGCTTTTGTATGGTAATGACGTCAAATTTGTCAATGGACTCAATGTTTCAGAGTTGAAACAAGAGATTGATCATAGAATTAAGTCTGGTGTTCAACCACAGGATTTCTTCTCCCTTTTAGTGTTGCAATTGAGATGGATTTTCGCAACTGGAAAAACTGCTCCTGAAAAGTATGCCAATGATGAATTGTTTCCAACTATCCAACCAAAAAGCTTTGTAGAATTTGCTGCTACTCTTCCCAAACAATAATATATTTCACATGAAAGATTGTAGATCATAGTTTTGTAAATAAAAACATGTAAACCTTAAATTGTTGACTTGATTGGATATCAGTAAATCCTTTCACTTGAAAAATTGAATTCTAAAGCTGTCTCTATCTGCAACTAGCAAATCGCCAGTCCTGTCATTCAAGCAAATACCACGAGGAAAACAAAAGTACTCATTTGTGGGTGTGGTATTTACTCTGCTTCCAAAAGATTTCACAAACTCTCCCTCCAATGTGAAAACATTAATTCGATGATTATTACAATCAGATACCATAATATTCTTCGTTTTCTTGTCCACAACCAAGGAAAAAGGTCCATCGAGAGATCCTTCCTCGCTTCCTAAACGACTAAAGTTTTTATACTGCTCCCATTCTCCGCTTAACGATTGCTTAAATATGAAAAGTTGATTACCGGCACTAACCACAAGTTCTCTATCACTTGCCAAGTCTACAGAACAGCATCTGAATTGTAGCTGAATGGATGTAAGGAGAAGGCCAGACTGACTGTTCAATATTTTAACACTCTTTGTGTCAACATCACAAACAAATACTTGATTTTCTGAACGCCAAATTGCAATTCCATATGGCCATTTGAAATCTGTAGTCTTCCAGATGGGGCTCTCGTTACAAGCATTTCGGGTTGTTGGAGTACGACGAGCATTCAATAATTTTCGCATCTCATACTTGTAAACAGCCACTTTAGGTTTTGAACATCCAAATATTAATGCAGTACTATCACTCGTGACTCTTAGAGGCTCTTCAACACATACACAAGTTGGACAGGCCGGTAATGCAATCGTGGTTTTGAACTCTTTTGACACTAAATCAAAAACTCTAATTCCAAACGTGTAGAAATCAGTAACTAAAATACAACCATAGGAAAAGCATATTTTCACGTCCCAAGGACCGTGATCTGGAGGAAGTGGAATGGAATGAAACCATTCAAATTTAGTTGAAAATTCTTTCAGTTCCTTCCAGCGACTTCTCATCTTGTCTTTTAATTTTTCAAATAAATGGTTGAATACTTGTTCATCATCAGGATAACAGTCATTGCACATTGTATGCAAGTCCAATGATGTTGTTGATGGTGATTGCATTAAAAAATCAATTAACGTTAAAATCACACGTTCCGACGAAGGCTTATGTATTCCAAACTCAAACTCTTCTCCGAGCGATGGTTTTTGTTGAATTGTTCTTTGATATTGTTGTACATTATGATATATTGGATCGTCATGATCTTTGGTTACCATTGTTGTTGTATGGTGTGTCATCTTAATGTATTTTTTTGTTTTTGCTTCAATTTACACGAGCAGGTCAACCACAACACAAAAATGGAATCAATAGCAATGAAAGGAAGTTCAATCTTAATTGAGATTCGCGTTGACGACACAATAGAGATCAAGCTCGAATGAATTGAAAAAATAACGAACAAAGTTCAGCGTTTACTCTCTGGTAAGGCGAGTGATGAGAGCTGCCAACTCTTTGTTTTCTTCAGTGATACCATCAGTTCCACAAAATTCTCTCAATAATTGTTCTCTTTTTCCAGTTTCAAAATCCTGTTGTTGTATGTTTTATCATTTCCAAATGTTTCAAATATTTTGTGAAATTTGTAAAAACATAAAAGTATCAATTAAACAATAAATACCTTAAAATCAAATCCAAAACTGCATGTACATCCGCTCATGACAAATCGATCTTCCTCCTTATTCAATAACTCTGCAGCAAACCAACAATCAGGTGGAACAATGCATGAAATATCCACAAAAGTTTGATTCAACAACACTTGTTTCATATCGTTCTTGCAATTACCATAGACAGGAGTTAATAAATTGCCTTCGTGATTTAAATGTCTCACAGAATTTTCTGATGAATCTTGTTGAGTCCAACAATGATTATTTAAAATAAATTTTCCATACTTCTTGTCATCGCTTCTTCCATCCAAGACATGAACAATTAGTGATGAATTTCCACAATAATAATGCCATTGTTCAAATGCTTTGATTTTATGAAAACATGAAAAATCATTTGCTGCGAGTAAATAAAAGATACTCGTGGAAAGAGAACGTTCATGTTCCGAAGTGGCAGCAGCATCATCCGAGAGACTTTCTTTTGGTGAAGAAAAACAAGTTGTGAGAGGATTTCTGAAAATTTCGGAATAAAATCCACCTTCCACGTGAGGCTTCATATCGTACTTGCGAACGTAATGCAAGACTGCTGGTGAATATTGTTGCTGGGTTGTTGGCAAAGCAGAATTTGACATTTTTTTGTTTGTTTGAACAATTGAATTGTTTAGTATCTGTTCCGTTGTTTCTTCGGGGAAGAAAACAGAGAGTACATGAGTGTACTTTTTCCCCAACGATACGACACACGAACCAAAATCTCTTTAATACCGTTTTCCATCTGTGCTTACAAATATGTTGGAAGATTTAACATCCCTAACCAAACCTTTCCCATGATTGTCATCAAGTTCTTGCTTAATTCTTGAATTGCCTTCTCTTAAAAAAATTGTTCGTTCGTTCACTTACAAGCATGCCATCATTCTCTCCGTAGTATGAACCATTCAACGATGCTGGTAACAATTCATTTAATAGATTTCAATGATGATGGTGGCTGTTTGAATCAACAACTCCGAGAGAAATTGGGAGAAAAAATCCGAATGAAACGATGGCGAAAACCCTTTCAAAATTTAATGAAATATTCGCAACGACCTTTAAAAGCTGATGCTCCGTTTGATGTAAAAATATCATACCAACATCAGTGCATTCTTGTGAGTGACAAAAACAAAAAGAGTATTGAAATTTATGATTTACAGTACAGATCATTCATTAGGAGTTTGAAATTCGTGAAAGATGTCAAACCATCGTATTTGTGTGTGGAACATCAAATATTCGAACATGATTCATTACTGGTGGCTTGCTCCAATGACTTTGTTTACAAGTATGATCTGAAGCAATTGCTCTTATTGGAAACAAATACTTATAGACAATCCATGTTAAATGATGGACTTGAGAATTGGAAAGTAGAATGCATCAATCCTTGTGGAATGGATTCAGATTCAACACTCAAGTATGAATGTATTGAAAAGCAATGTATTTACATTTGTGAGCGTACGAGAGGTATTCTTGTTGTGAATTCGCTACAAGGAATTGTTTCACAAATTATTTCAATTTCTTTGTTTTCACAAAGCGTGAAAGTGATTGCAACAGATGAATTACTCGTTTGTGAATATTATCCCAATTTATCATGGGCAACTAGCAAGTTCGTAATTTTGAAGAAAGTGAATAACAACCAAGACGAGGAGCAATGGATCGTTGATAGAACTGTTGGAAAGCAAGGGACAGGTGAAGAAGATATATATTTCCCAATAAGCTTTGATTTTGATCATGTTTCGCGAACGATCATTGTAAGCGATACGTTCAATAATCGTATCCAACTTTTTAACTTCCTTACTGGCAAGCATGTGGGATGTTTTGCTCAAACCGTTTGCAAATGTCTTGGAATTTGTCTGAATGAAACAACTGGCGAGGTATTGTTTGTGAATAATACTTGGAATACTGTATGTACTTTTAAATAAGAGTCGCAATACTTCATTGTATCACGTTGCAACGCGTGTTCTTGCTTTTAATTTTGTTCCATTTCAAGTTAGAAACAAATGCTTGCACACAAATTGATTGGTTGTGCAATAATGGCTGTCGTTTGCGGTTGGTTGTGGTATGGAGCCACTACTTATTTCGAAAAAACAAACAACCATCTTCCAACCATGTCCACATTGAAAAACACAAACTCTATATGTAAAATGTTAGGAATTGCCTTTGGGAGAGATTGTGATCTCTTTATCAATAATTTGGGATCCTCTCAAACAGGTAGATCTGATCATACGTTAAACGCCAATGAATGTCAATTCCTCAACAGTGATTATTTGAAAGATGAACGAGATGCTTTTGAGTTTACGCCACAAACCAAAGTCGCTTTCTTTGTTGGAAGTAGTTCGTATCGCCTTTGGTCGAAACAACAATTCTTTGAAAATGTCAAGGAATATGCTGGAAACGAGAATTTGGAATTTTCACGTCCCGATACTTTGTATGTGCTCAATGAGAAGGAGAAACAACAATCCGGAGGGTATGACGTTTTCGTTGTTTCTTGGAGTAAAATCAAAAAACAAGACGATTACAAACAACACATGATAAAACAGCTCGTACGAGATTTGTAATATCTCGTTCAAGCTTGTCTGTCCTTTTACCTTGAAAATAATGTATTGCGTTGTAAAAAAATGTACAAACGAGACCACAGCCATCTCAATTCTGTAAATAATGGGAATGTAGAGTATGATTTACATGATTTCATTTGTGGTAGTGAGGATGTACCAACAAACAAGAAACAAAAGTTGGTTCCGAGGAGAAAAGACGATGAAATTGTAACATTGATTGTTCTTGATTTTTCTTTTCATCATCGTGATGATGAAAATTGTGAGCCCATTCGAGGATTGGAACTATTATTGAAAAAGAAATTTTTGTTACAACAAACTGGAAAGAAGAAATGGTTGGAAAGTCGAGAATTGGAATATAAAGACTTCTTTCCTGTTGAGTTTATGAACGATAAGAAATTTGTCTTGGATCACATTAAAAAGTATGGCTACGGATTAGGATATGCATCCACTCAACTAAAAGAAGACAAAAATTTTATTTTGGAAGTGGTTCAACAAAAAGGAACTCAATTCCTGTATGCAAGCAACGCTAATAGGAATGATGAAGAGGTGATATTGCGAGCGATAGACCAAGATGCAGGGGTATTGGACTATGTGGAAGATGAACTGAAAACTAACAAGGAATTCGTGTTGAAAGTCGTTCGACAGAATGGAGAGGCGCTGTGGTACGTCGATAGAAAATTACGTCAAGACAGAGGTGTTGTTTCAGCTGCTGTGAAGCAAAATAGTGAAGCATGGTTATATGTAGTGGGAGACGATTTTGACTATTTTGACAACTTTGACAATTTTGAAGATATCGTGATCGAAACAATCAAACAAAATAAGAATGCACTGTCACAGGCTCCAAAGAACCTACTCAAAGATCATGCATTCATGTTAAAAGCGCTAAAACTAATTTTTCCAGAACTAGAGCATTTGGAAGCTTTTGATTATTCCAAGAAAGAAATAATGCTCAAACTTGTTCAAGAATTTGCATTCTTCTTGGAATTTGCAAACAATGAACTTAAAAATGACAAAGACATTATTTTGAACGCTGTCAGCAATGACGGGTTTTCACTTCGTTTTGCTTCTGACGATATGAGGAACGATATTGAAATTGCATTTCGTGCTGTTAACCAAAATGGCAATGCATTGGAATTTGTCTCAAAACAGTTACAAAATGATAAGGAAGTAGTACTAGCAGCTGTAAGAAATGATAGAAATGCTCTTAAATTTGCATCCAAAGAATTGAAAAAAGACAGAGAAGTGGTATTGGCCGCTTTAAGTCATGATCGTACAGGCCCTTTAAATGGAGCAATTAGTAATATATTAGAAGAGTTGAAAAATGATAAGGAGATCGTATTAGCAGTTGTGCGACAACATGGATATAATTTGGTAATGGCATCCCAAGAGTTGAAAAATGATAAGGAGATTGTATTAACAGCCGTAAGAAATGATGGAAGGGCCCTTAGATTTGCATCCAAAGATTTGAAAAACGACAGAGAAGTGGTATTGGCAGCCGTTCGACAAAACGGTTGTGCTCTTCAGTTTGTAAATCATGTGATGAGAGCTGATCAACAAGTTGTGTTAGAAGCCATCAAACAAGACAGTCGTGCTTTAAAATACGCATTCCAGGAACTTGTTCTTGACAAACAGTTCTTGTTACAAGCTTTACAGCTTGGCTGCAAGGACATTCTACAATATGCACCTCAAGGATTTGTGAATGACAAGGAATTTATGTTAAAAGCAGTGAAACTAAATAGTTTGGGAGTACTTGGATACAACAATACATGTTCTGACAAGGAAATCATGTTAGAAGCAGTGAGAAATAATGGATGTGTCTTGGAATTTGCCGACAGTGAAGAATTGCAAAATGATCCAGAGCTTGTGTTGGAAGCTCTTAAATGTAATGGTTTTGTTATGGAGTACCGTGAAGGATTGTATCGAGAAAGAATGGAACATTGTTACTTTGGCGCATATTTGGGAACCAGTCAATACTGACTGGCATTGAAACCACCTCAATCCACAAAATCCACAATGGATCGTCGACTTGGTCAAAATTAATTTGACATGTCATCATCCGCCAAATTCAAAAAATATTCGTTTCAACACGTCGACGTGACGCCTGTCAGCCAAACCACCTCGTGAGCTCCTATGGCTCGCTTCTTGTGATCTGATTTCAAAATTCTTTCATCATTGAAAACTATTAAAATAATAACAATCCAATCATCAACCGAACAGATTCATTAATTTTCATCTGTCAACAATCCCGAATCATCATCCTCTTCGCTCCTCAACAAGAAAATGAGCAACAACGGTCATCGTACGATGAACACTTCTCTCCAAAATCTTTACGATGACTTTTTCAGAGATATTGACTCCAATTCTCCATTACGTAGAATGATTCCGTCACCGGTTCGAACCTCTACTCGAAATTATTCCATGTTGCCGTCATCACGATATTCGGATTATCATTCGAGTGCTCAGAAAAGTTCTAAATTTCAAATCATGTATGCACAACTACCTTTGGAAATGCATTATCATTTAATGTCGTTTTTAGACGAAGCGTCATTGATGAAGATGGCCATGAGTGGAAAGTGTATTTTGGCATTGGTCACCTTGTTTATGATTGGCGGAGGAGGAAGTGAAATGTCAAAATTCAAATCCATTTATTCCTATGCAAGAACAAATCCCAATGAAATGGAGTTTTACAAAATTTCGAACAGTTCATGTCAACAATTGAAAACTCGAATTTCCAAACGATTGCTGTTGATCATGTTGCAGAATTTGAATGATTTGGTTAAAAAAGAAAACAAAAAATCCAATACTGCTTCAATTTCTTCAACCTCGAATGCTAGCAGCTCTACCATCCGCAACACGTACAGTAGCAGTAATTTAACCAAGCAATCACCAAGAGGAAGTCCTGCAAGATTAGAATCAGTGACGTCATCATCAACATCAAATCTGGAAAAAAAGTCATCACTTACTAGAGTTCATTCTGACTTTAATGTCTACTTGTCGAAATTTGATTTGTCGAATGACGTCATGGACAACAACGATGGAATGAATTTTCAATGGATGGAGGAATTCAAAATTCAACACTTTATTTATGACTTTAATGCTCTTGATTTACAGGATTTGACAAGTGTCATTTTGCTCGATAGTTCTGTTATGAACACTTTGAGGAAAACTCTCATTTCCATTGGCGCTTTCAAGAACATTCAAGCCCTCTATTTAACGGTCAATGACACAATTTCACTGGATCTTTTATTTCCCTATGCTGTGAAAAGCTCATCTGGATTCTTTTCTAAATTAATGGGAGGTTCATCTTCAGAGATGTCTCCAGCGATTGGTGTCGCTTCAAGTTCTGTCGATTCACCACCCACTTCATCCTCAACGTTGTTAACGACAACAACAATTCAAGATCCCACTCCTTCCTTATTGAGTTTTGAGGATTTACTTCCTAGAATTAAGGTACTTCAACTCACAAATTACATTCCCAAGAAAAAGTATGAATTGAATCAATTATTGAAACAAACAGTTTCACTCATGAGTTTAGAGATTGAATTTCCACTTCGATTTTTTGCTAAAATTGATCCTTTAAAGTCGAATGAGCATCTTTCGAAAAATTTAACCAATCTTTCCATTGTCAAACCTCCACAATTATTCATGTCAGAATTGGATCCATTCCAAGAATTTCCAAAACTCAAAACATTTAATTATATAATTTTACCAGTGATGGACAATGCTGCTACAAAGATGGTCTTGATGAATATTCTTGAAGGAAATGTTGCAAGCGCGAGTGGATCGACCTCGAAATTAACTGCAAAACTTTTGGATTCCATTTCTTCGTATCACACGGTGATTGAAAATTTTGTGAATCGACTCAAAAATTCAAAGCTTGAAACGATCAATTTTGTACAGAGACCACCCAATCATTCCTCCCCATCAGAAATTACAGAAAAACTGTTTACCTATTTACGAAAAACAGGAGAGCAATCACCCATCATTTTGTTTCCCATGTTAAAAGAGTTAACAACTAATGATTCTCCTTTCGAAGATTTTAAACGCTATTGTGATTCGTGGAGTTTATTACTTTCAGGAGGGCCTTTAACTCACCGATTTCATATTGGCACTGAGAACACTTTAGAGGTTTTGACCTATATTGTTCTCATGGAACATTTGCCATATGGTTTAATGAAACTTGTGAAACATCATTCCAAGTCGTTGCAAAAAATTATATTGGAAGCTCATACTCGGTGTGTCCTCGATCATGCGTTGTTAAGCGTAGATTCAGGATTTTCAAATTTACAATACTTGAGTGTATCTTCGTTTACGGTGACAGATATTGTGAGTTTGTTGAATCCTTTATTGAGAAGTCCAAAGTTAAGACATGTACAACTCAAGGGAATGACTTTTCCAGCCTTGCAAGAGTTGGATAAGAAAGCAATCAAAAGTCAATCATGCAATTCCTCTTCATTGGAAACTTTAGAAATTTCTGATTCTAGCATGTATATTCAATTTTTAATTTGTCTCATTTATCCAATGAGAAAGTCTCTGACACATTTAAAGATTTCCAACTGTACCATGTGTGGAAATTCTCTAACACGAAGTGATATTTATGGTTTAATTGGTTTGACCGAAGAAGAATCAAGCAACGATGTGACACCATCCATTTCTGAGTTCACGCATGTTGATTGTAACACATTGATTCGATTTTCCAAAATTCATACACTCCAAATTGAAAAATCTAGTTTAGGATTCTGCCATGAACTCTTTTCCGTATTTTCCTTTCCATGCATTCATTCAGTCATCATTGGACCTGATATGAAATGCGAAAAAGAATACAATACTTTTCACAGTATTGCTGCGCTTTCCACATTTATTAAGGGCTCAAGTGCAATATACAATAATAATCATCATGAAAAAAGCTCAGATATTAATGGAAGCAGCACAACTTCAACGACTGGAGAACTTTCAACATCTCCAACCTCACCCACATTATTGAGATCTAATACTGCCATGATTGACACTTTTTTCATTCCATCTCTAGAAAATTTTGCCATTCTTCACAATCGATCTAAGGATAGCATGAATGCATCATTTTTCAATACTGATTTGCTTCAAGAGATTTTCAAATATCATGCTCACTCATTGACATGCTTGAAATTGAATGCACCTGTAAATATATCTGCAAACATTTGGAAAGAAGTGTTCACACCAAGTAAGAGACTTTGTCACAATTTAAAAACGCTACATATTTATTCATACAAATTTTCGAATGAAGAGATTCAAGATTTATTGGAATTTTTACGACATTTTAACAATCTTACAGATTTATATATTGAATTAGATGGGAAGAATCCAAGCAATGAATTCTTTGAAAGACTTGAAGAAAAATGCATTAATTTGGAACATGTTGAAATTCTTGGAAACGGATCGAATGATGTCAGTTATCAAAGTTTGCTCAACTTTGTCATTCAACTTAAAAATTTGCAATCTCTCACTCTACATTTTGAACCTCGAGTGACGAATACCTTCACCGGAGTTTCTTCTATTGAAGATTTGAAAACTGTTTATCAATCACGAATTCACAAAGCATCTCCAAAAATTATTTTCCAAAAACCAGTATCAACCCTAGCCAAATATCAACAATGAACGAGTGCAAGTAAAAGGAAATTCCACTTGGATTCAAAATTGTAATGAGCAAATCATCTTGTTCTTCATTTGCTTTGGCAGCGTTTGTTCAATTCCATTTTGAAGATATTCATCCGTTCGTTCGAGGAAATGAAAGATTTATTTCCAAAAGGTTTTGGATGTTTTCGAAACTTCACAAAATTACAAAAAATTCAAACACACACAAACTTGTTGAGATTAAAAACATTCAAAAACCACGATTCGGAACGAAAAGGATGATGACCCGTGAAGACGAAGATTCCGATGATATTGTTGAACCCACAACAGACGGCTTGTCCGTCATGAGAGCAGCTACAACCTCGTCATCTTTAAAGTCCCATCATGACCTTCCACTACTTTCCATCAACAACCAATCATCATCACCATCGGGAAAATATTTTCAAATTGAATTAGGAGAAGATGATTATATCAATGATATTCATTCTCCAGCCATGTTCAAACCTCCGACACCCATCAGTCCAACAAGTAGTCTTGCTTCTAATGCAAAACATTTATTTGGACAAGTGAAGAAACAACAATCAACGACGTTACAAGCAATATTGAATGAATATTGCGACTTGACCATGTCTACTTCTACAGCTTCTTTGGAAGGAGTTTCAGAAGTGGATGACGAAACTTGTAAATATGTGCATGAAATTGCATCAATCAGAGGATTGAGACATCAATTTTATTTGGAACTTGTGTTTTGGATTTTAGTTGCCTCGACTGCTGGTTTATTGCTCGTGTGCTGTCGATGGATAAAGTGGTTACGAGCTTATTTAACTTATACTTACAGCAATAATAGAGGAGAATCTTTTGAAAATGCAACAAAAGTAATTATTGAGTCAAAAGACCTCAGAGAGTGGACAATATGTAAAATTAAGAAAGGATACATTAGAAATTATGATGTTGACCAGAGAGCTTCAATAGAACCTATTAGAATTAGATACTTTTTGTACAGAAATTTAGTATTTATTTATGATCCTGATCTGGATAGTTTTCATAGAGTTCGGTTTAACACATCCCTACCATACTCTACAATTCATAAAATGGCAGAACAAGAGGCTGAAAACGAAAGAGACTTGCGAGAATTACTGTTTGGAAAAAACTCAACACAGGTTCCAATGAAATCAATGATACAAATTCTCTTGGACGAAATTTTGCATCCATTTTACCTTTTCCAAATTTTAATATTAGTGCTATGGTTTATCGAGAGATATTATATTTATTGCATTACGATTAGCGTAGTTTCTTTGATTGCTGTATTTTTCAGTTTTTGGCGAACACATGACAACTTGAAAAAGTTGAAGGAAATGACCTCGTACCATTGTTACGTGAATCGTCTTACTCAACGAGCTCCTTCATCTTTCAATAGGACTATATATTCTGAAGATCAAACCAAAAAGAATGAAGAAATTGAAACCATGGACTCATTAGATTTAACTCCAGGAGATATTATTGAAATTACAAATGGTATGGTCATGCCCTGTGATGTCATCTTGTTGGGTGGACAGCTGATTGTCAACGAGTCCAAGCTCACTGGCGATAGCATTCCTGTCAAGAAACGTGCACTACCACGAGTCGATGATAGTATTTATGATGCATCCAGGGACTCAACATATACTGTGTACTCGGGAACTACAGTGCTTTCTTCACAACCATCACAAAGAGGACTCTTTACCAACAAATGTTATGGAATAGTAAGCCAAACTGGATTCCACACGCAGAAGGGAAAATTAATTCTCTCTATCCTCTATCCAAAGACTGGGCAGTTCAACATTTACCGAGACTCATTCAAATTTCTTTTTGTTCTCGTATTTTCTGGAATTGTAGGAATGTTAGCGACAATAATTACCATGGTTAAAGCAGGTCAGCCAAGTGGTAACATTATACTCCATATTTTAGACATTATTTCTATTACTGTCCCTCCATCATTGCCAATTGCAATGACCACGACTGTGACATTCACAATGAGACGACTCGCCAAAAGAAGAATTTTCTGTACCTCTCCTGCACGAGTGAATATTTCTGGCTATGTGAAGATTGTAATTTTTGACAAAACTAACACCTTAACAAAAAGAGATATTGACGTGAATGGTGTAATACCGTCACAGAGAGGAAATTTTGGACACTATGTCAAGAAAAAAGATTTCACAACAGCATTTTCGACCGATAATGCTTTACTGCGCTGCCTTGCATGCTGTAATGATTTAGCCCGTATCAAGACAAACCTTGTGGGAGATCCTCTCGATATTGCTTTATTTAGCTCTACCAATTGGGATATCCAAGAATATTCTGAATCTGCAACAGAGCAAACTCTATTATATCCCAATCACAATCATCATGATGATACTCAAGATCATTCATTTTCTAGAATAATGGTGAATGAATTTAAGAGCAGCCTTCAACGAATGTCTGTAGTGGTGCGAGACAACTCCACTGGAGATGTATGGTGTTTTGCAAAAGGAAGTGCGGAATCCATTAAATCTATTGCAAAACATTCTAGCATTCCTGGAGATTTTAACCTTGTACTTCGAAAGTTTGCACAAAAAGGATATCGTATTTTAGCTTGTGGAGTTAAGAAAATCAATGAAGAAAGATATTCCTCATTACAGAAATCTATCAACTCCATGACTCGAGAGGAGATTGAGAGTGACTTGGAATTTATAGGGTTTACACTCGTAGAAAATAAGGTCAAGAAAGGAGCATTTAAAGCCGTAAAAACCCTCACTGATTGTAACATCAAATGCATCATGGTCACTGGAGATAACCCATACACTTCCATTGCTATTGGAAAGAAATCTCACATTATCGAAAGCAGAAAATCAATCTTTCTAAGCGAATTGAAAGAAAATATGGAAGCTGATAAGACCATTCATACCAGCAGCTCCAACTATTCACAAAATGTTTTTTGGAGAAATGTGGATACCAACCACAAAATTTCAACTCAAGAACTTCTCGCCATGCAAAATATTGATCTAGTCATTACTGGGGAAGTATTCGAATTTGTCTTGAAAGAACATCGCAAATTTGTGAAAAATACTCGAAGAGAGCCATACATTAACACGAAAAAACCCTCTCTGTTACATGTGATTTTAACATCATGCAACATTTACTCTCGGTTTTCACCATACAATAAGAAGTTATTAGTAGAAGAATTACAAAAGATGAGTTATGATGTTGGAATGGTTGGAGATGGATCCAATGACTTGTTTGCCTTACAAACTGCTCACACTGGAATTTCTTTGGCCGATACAGAGACATCCATTGCAGCTCCTTTCACAAGTCTTAAACCAAGAGTTTCATCGATTGTGACTCTGATTCGTGAAGGAAGAGCTAGTTTATTAACATTCTTTCAAATATTTAAATTTACTGCACTTTACGCAATTACTAGAATCATTACGGTACAAATATTGTTGCAACGTAATTGCAATTTAAGCAACTTCCAATATTTATACATTGATTTATTTGTTATTTTACCTACCACACTCTTGATGACAAGAACAGATGCAAGTTTAGCGTTGAAGCGAGAAAAACCTCCCAATACTCTCATTTCTAGATTTATTTTCTTGTCACTGTTGGGACATGTACTGCTAGCTTATGGATTTTTGTGGATGGTTTGGACAGAAATTGAGAAAGAGCCTTGGTTTCATGGAACGTCAGAAATCAAGTTTAAAATCTATAGAGATATTCATTTGAGGTCATATGAAGCGACGGTCATGTTTTTCATTTGCACATTTTGCATTATCAATATTGCCATCTGTATGAGTATTAGTAAGCCGTTCAAGTTGCCAATTATAACCAATAATTGTAAGTGTTTTGTGTTGACAAATTACAGAAGCCTTTAATCACTGCTATACTTTTCAGTTACCTTCACCTTCTTTATTATTGTGTTATATGTAATGACTGCCTATTTGCTGTTCTTACCCACACAATGGATGAGAAATACTGTAAAGTTAATCTCGTTTCCGCTGTACTACAAGTTTCGAATCATAATGTATTCACTGGGACATCTTGCTGTTAGCTACTGTTGGGAAATGATGTTAATTGTGAGTCCAACCAGAAGAGTGATTAAGAAATTCACGCTCCTTAATGTGTTGGTATTAGGTGACAGAATTTTGAAACTATTGAAAATTCCAAGCCCTCTCTTTTTGCTTGTGCTCATTGAAAACGAGCAAACTAAACTTAAAGTCTACAAGCAATTGGCAACATTTAAAATTGCCAATCAAACATCCCATTTGGATGAATGATTGGATCGTGTTAACGAATAAATAATTTACTTCTTCGATCTTTTGGCCAAGCAAGTTGCCTTATGTTTGGGCCAATTTTCGACCTGACATTTCGAAGAGCAATAGAAAACGCTTTGACATGCTGAACATCTCTTGAGTGGAGCTGTTTTGGTACCTGCTTTGTTGCAGTTTGCACACTTGTCTGCTTGTGTTGGTTTTTCAGCTGCTTTTGCTGTTGTGGATGGTGATGAAACTGTTGCGTGTTGGATTTGTTTTTTGAGTTGATTCTTCAACATTTCCATCACATTTAGCTTTTTACCATCAACTACAATATCTATCTGTGGTTTTCCTCTTCTAACAAGCTCAGCACCTGTTTGCACCACTTGAGCGAGCATGTTACTAAAATTTTGCTCGTCCACCATTTGCGTATCACTTGAACCATTAGGGTTAAACTCGTCTGGAGCATAATTAATGATACAAATTTTGTAGGGTGAATAAAGTTCTACTCCAACCATGACTCTTGGAGGTAAATCATGATGATGTGAACCATGAGCATCTTCCAATCCTTTAACAACGGTGCATCTGTGAGGTTTGGCGTTTGGTAGAACAGATCTACCATTCTCTAACTCGGCTTGATGAGCATTGCTTGCCAAATCTACAATACTATCATTTTTGTCATCTTTTTGGAAAATACGTGTCACAATCCATGGATGCTCTTTGGAATATTCTGGATGCCACTCGACGGTCACTTCATACTCACCAGGGAAAATGTCAGATAATCTTTCCAAGTGACCAGCAGTAACGACAGCAGTTGCTACAAAGGATGCTCTTGCTCCAGTTTCCAAGTCAATCAAATCTTCATAACGCATGGATTTCTTTTCACTGTTCGCATAATTCACTTGATGAATAATTCCTTGCATGACTGTGGCATTCAAGCTCTTTTGTGTTTTTGTGAAAGGTATTAAAAAGTCGACAGCGAGTCCAACACGTGGCTTCTTTCCCAAATAAAAACATTCAAGGCATCCATAGCTCCAATAGGCTCCTCCGAAATCGAGTTCCATTTTTCTGTTAGCAGTATCTCGGTGATGAGCAAAGAGTTGTGATGGAACTCCAGGAGGTCCAATAATTTTTGGTACATTTGGACCCAAAATTAAAAGTGGAGCTTCGGGAGCATCATGGTCAGTGGTCTTTCCATTGTGTGACTCTAACAATTGCACAAGTTGTTTGCAGTCTCTCAAAACATGCGAGCTTACATTTTTCATCATGGGAATGACACTTTCTGGTGGTACTGTGTGAGCTAGTGTGGTGAGAGGTGTCTGTTTTAACATTCCAATGGCAGTAGCATTCGTATCGGCTCCATACTCTTCGACTAACACCTTTGCAATTTCCAAAGCACGTGAGAGTACCATGAACATTTTACAAACATAATGCAATGGTGTTTCTCCAAATAAATTGCCTTGATTCACAATGGATTGAATGGTCAAATTGCGAGGATTATTCCCTGATTCTAATTTTCTCTTGGCACATTCCAAAAACTTTTTAATAGCTTCCACATGACCTTCTCTTATTGCCAAAATCAAAGGAGTCATTCCATCGTGCGTAAGAGTTCTCTTATCAAGCCGAGCTCCTGCTTCTATTAATTTCTCAACCAGTACAGAATTTCCATTCATCATTGCAAAATGTAATGGTGTAAAATTATCAACACTTCTATCATTCACATTTTCCGAAGTCAATAACTTTAATGCCAATTTTGTGTCATTTCTCAAACAGGCCATAATTAATGGTGAAAAATTCTTGACAAGCTTTTTGTTGTTATGTTCATTTGCATATGGCATAATTTGAATATGATGATGATGGTGATGATGATGTCCATGATGATGATGGTGATGTCCGCAATTTTCGTCGTGATGATGGTGGTGATGATCATGATCGTGGCTGCATCCTTCATGGTGATGATGGTGGCGATGTCCGCAATTTTCATCGTGATGATGATGTTCATGAGTGCAAGCCTCACCGTGGTGATGATAATGCTCATGAGTACAATGTTCATCATGATGATGATCATGTCCACAGCTCTCGTCATGATGATGATGATCATGAGAACATCCTTCGTGATGATGATGATGTGTATCGGAGGAAGAGGAAACGTTTTGATTTGCAGACATTTTTTTGATCTTTTTGTAATCTATTCCAAAAGCTTCAAAGGAAAAGCTAGAACTTGTCAAATTCCAATTCTTCTTCAGAGAGATTGAACCGGCGGAACGGATATTTAGGTGTAATTCTAATCGCACCTATTATTGCGTACAATTAATATCATCATCGTTCCTATTTAATGTATCAAAATTGAAAAGAAATTAAAAAATTCGTTCATCACGAAATGTCATCATCCTCAACAACATTGGAACGAGATCCGAATGCTCAATACATTACCGATGAAGAATATCAACGACGAGTCAAAATTGCTTCGTTTTTGAAAGACTACGGAGCCATTCTTTCAGTGATTATTTCCTTTGCCGTTTATTATTTTGTGTTCAGGAATGGAGGAATTCGGACGAGTAGTTATGTTTCTAATTTATTGAATATGGCAGATCAACAACAACAGCAACAATACGAGAAAGTATTGAGTTTGATGATTTTGAATGGAAGGATTTGGACGGGTGAAAGGCTTGAGAGTTCGGGAATCACAAATTTCAAGAGAACAAAAAACGCACAGAAATATTCCATCAAATGGGCAGAGGCTTTGGCTGTGCACAAGTCTACGGGAAGGATCATTGCGATTGGAAGCAATAGTGAGGTGCTGTCAAGATTTTCTCCTTCGATGGCTGAGCATGTGTTGGATTTTAAAAAGAAAAAACATCGTGATGATGCTACAGGTGAAGAGAATGAAGTAGATGTTCCATTAATTATTCCTGGATTTATTGATGCACATGTTCATGTGATTTTGGGAGGAAAAGTAAGTTGTTTTAAAGTGGCCACAGATTGAATGAATCTATTTGACCTGTGAAAAAACAATGAAACAATTAGGCAATGCTTGGAGTACAATTGAGAACTGTTAAAAACAAACAAGAATTTGTGGAAAAAATTAAGGATTTCATGACTGTGCATAAAGTAAAACCTGGAGAGTGGATAACAGGAGCTGAGTGGTCAGAAACAACATGGCAAATTGAAGGTGGCAGCAAACTTCCTCACAAAAATTGGATTGATTCATTTACAGCTGAAAATCCAGTTTATTTAACACGTATGGATGGACATTCATGTCTTGTGAATTCTAAAGCTTTGGCCTTAGCTGGTATTACTAAAGATACTGTCATTCAGGGAGGCTCAATTGATATTGATCCTGTCACTGGAGAACCAACTGGAATTTTGAGAGACAAGGCACTTGAATTTGTTCAGAAAATTATTCCACCTCTCGATTCGGAAAAGGCTGCTCTAATAGCCATGGATGAATTTCTCAAAAACGGTATTACATCAGTGCATGACATGGGAGCAGTGTTTAATTTAGGATCTTGGGATCAAATTACGACCTTTACAAAATTACATCATGAGAAAAAGCTAAAGGTTAGAATTTATGCTACTGTTGAATTGGAAACACACAAAAAACTTACAGCGCACATTCACACAAACTTCAAAAAACCTAAATCCACTCATGCCGCTCTTGTGGATGATTTTAAATGTTGTTGGACTGAAAGTCATGGAGGACGTGCAGGTGATTCTTGGCTCAAAATTGGAGGTTTGAAAGAGTTCATTGACGGGTCTCTAGGTTCGAGAACTGCATACATGTTTGAGCCATTCGAAGGAACAGTCAATAATACGGGTTTACTGGTCATTGATCCAGAAACCTTCTATCAAAGAGTCAAGGAAGCTGATTCTAATTATCATCAAATAATTGTGCACGCGATTGGTGATAAGGCAATTTCTTTACTGTTGGACGTATACGAACGAGTAATTAAGGAATCCAACGATACCACACGAGATCGAAGACTACGCATTGAGCATGCACAGCAAATTCGTGAAGAAGATATTGAAAGATTTAAAAAACTCAATATCATTGCTTCGATGCAACCCATTCATCTCAAAGATGATGCCTTATATGCTGAGAGTGTTATTGGAGCAAGAGCCAAACAGCTTTACAATGTCAGAAAGTTCCTGAACAAAGGTGTCACTGTTGCCATGGGTACCGATTGGTATGTCGCAGAATTAGATCCGTTGAACAATATTCACGCTGCTGTGTCAAGAAAACCATGTCTGTCACCCACTCATGTCGAGAGAAGAAACGAGCCAAAGAACCCCAAAGATTGTGAACCTTTCCTTCCTGAAGAACACATCTCTATTGAGGAAAGTCTCATTGCATACACACAAAATTCTGCCTATGCTGCTTTTTCAGAGAAGGAACAAGGTACATTGAAGAAGGGATATTTAGGTGACATTACAATTTTGAGTAGAAACATACTAGCTCTCGATGAGACTGATGAGCAAGAGGTGGACTCGATCACTACAAAAACCAAAATTATGATGACCATTGTAGGAGGAAAAATAATGTATGAAAATGATGATCCATCTTTGTCGTCGCTGTATGTTCACAAACGAGCTTGAAATTTTTGATTTCCACTCTCAAAGATTTGTATTTCGAGAATTGTATTTTGATGGCCGACCGTCAAAGTCTACATACTCGCAATAGACGACAAGGGATGCTAAGAATTGGCATTTTGATGTTTATGGCAACATCTATAAATGTCATTTGTCAAACCGTTTTTCCTTATTGGCGCGTCAACAACACTACAAAAAAAAAGCCACACACCATTCCTTTCGAAATATTATTTATTAATCGGAAACAATTCTCTTGTATTAACCATGAATACAATATTGAAGAACATCAACCAAACATCAAATACATCAAGTACCATGCAAAAACACACAGAGTTTCAATCCATGAATTTGTGTCCCGACATGTCTTCACCCAATGGAATACTCAGCAGGAACGAAGACGTTTACTACAATACCACCGACACTGTCATGAACAAATTACGAAATGTCATGACGCTTTCACCAGATGAAGAATTAGATTGGGAAGAAGCTGCTAAAGTTTGGAACAGTTTACATGTTTTAAGCACTTCGAAACAATTTTTGACCGACCTCATTGAACAAATCGACACGATTATGAAATATGTGACTGCGATTGTGCAAGAGTGCTTGAAATATGAGTCACAACTTGCAGAAAAAGCTTCAACCTTTGGTAAGGTTATTACACAAGTAGCAGCAGTTGTAAGAAACTGTTCCGACAATGAAGGAGGTCGAGCAAAATTGCAATTGTTCCCTTCCCAATTGATGTACTTGGTCGGAATTGTCACTCGTGTGGAACACTTCAATAAGAAATCAAGGCCTAACATTTTGAGTTGCTTTGACGACGATTTTAAATTCAATTGGAGTTTTCCCGAAACAGACGACACTCATATGTTGACATCCATTGCTTGTTGTATCAACAATTTGTGGTTATCGACAGACAAGTCACAACTTACTCTTTCAGAGAGTTATTATTGTATCATGGCAGATGCATTGTTACATTTATTCTGTATGACACAAGATCGACAATCTTTGGAATTATTACATCAAGTGTATTCAGTGCTCTATAACACCATCAACAATGAGACAAACGTGACTCTCTCGAAGGAGACCAGAGATGCATTTTCCAAGTTTTTAAGCAACAACTCGATGGTATTGACAGAGCATTTCTGCATGTTCAACAAGCGAAAGAGTGCTGTCATCTCAGAGACCAATTAATTTTGAAAATTTACTTTTTACTAATTCTAACGTGTAAATCATACAAAACTTTCTCAACATATTTTTCCTCTTTTTAGCTTGTATTTCTGGCCTTTCGTGCAATGACGTGTAACGCTCTCAAACTTCTTTAAACTTTAAGGAACTGCATTTTCCCAGGTTACAGCTTAATCACACTTGGATTTTTTCAAACAAACAATATTTCAGCAACTGCACAATTATTAAGGTAACTGATAACTTTATCTGTCTCTTAAAGCATTGGCAATGGTTTACCGTTGATTCGAAAATTCTGAAGGCGAGTACTAATTTCTGAAAGTGGTATGTTGACCGATTTGTCCATAATATCCATGTTAAAGTTCTAACATAAATTGGGTAAGAGGAATGCCTTCCGTATCGTTGTTCATGTCAAGAAACACCCGAGTTCTTTGTTTCAATCCTTCACAAATTTCTGGAAGAACAACACCATTCCCGACAACGATCAATGTGGAATGGTGAAAGATGGCATTGCTTTGCTGAATGAATGGCCATGTGAATGTGCCGATACTGTACCTGGGATTGAATGACAATCCATACCGATAGCGTACTTTATGCATCCATACGCCGCAAGGATCAAACTTTCTCCAATTCATGAGGTCTCCATCAAAATAGCCATACTTGTTGTTATTCTTTTCTGCTTGTTTTTTCAACATGGTTATGAGCTTTTCGGTGGGCTGTTTCTTGTTAAAGGATAGAATCGTTGCCATGATGTTGTGATCATTGTAAGATTTAAATAAATTAATGTCTAATTCTAAAACGATGGATTCAAGGAGGAGCGTGTCATGATCGTTCTTAAATGTTTCATGAAGCTTTTTTGAAAATTGTTCAACGTCCTGCCGTAAGTCTAGATCGTAGTAACAGCTAAAAAAGTCTTCTGATGGGGGACTTTCAATCAAAATTGAAGCTGGTACCTGTCTGCCTAATTTCTCGCTCAACATCCTAATATCATGAAGGGATGCATTATCCTTCAAAGCACCTATTATTATTTTGGCGAATGAAGTTTCAGTTATAATACTTTGTATAGAATCACCATTGTTATGCAATGTGACGTGTTCAATAAATAAGTCAAGCTCTGCGTTTCTCTGAGACATTGGAATCAACTTTAAACAATTTTTTACAAATAATTCTTTCATTCCATTTCTAAGAAATGTTTGGTAGGATTCTAAAATATACTTCATAAAATCGGTAGATAATGGATTGGAACGTTTAAGAGAGATATAATCAAAATATAACGATGCTGTGAAAAAATCAAACCGTGGTTTGAGCTTTTCACAAATCACTGACAAATGGTCATTGGTACAAGTATCGCTTCGCAAAAGAGGCAACAAGAATCTATATGATTTTTTAAACATGAACTTTTCAATGGCTTGTGGAAAATGTTGCATGTGATGCAAAAACTGTTTTGCTCGCAAATTACATCGTTCTTGTTGTACGATCGATTTTTCTGGTAAATTGCAAATATAATTATAAAAATTCGTCTGCCCAACATGATGTCCTTCATATTTAAAAAATGTGTTATAATATTGATACCATTCTAAAATGATTGCTTGCTTCAATTGTTGTCGTGAAAAATTCTTTTTGTGTTTCAGTTTTTTCAGCATCAGTTGTTGATTTTTCTCAATAAACTTCAATCTCTTACTCAGCGTTTTGTCATTCCAATACAAGTCCAGAAGCAAGCTCTCATAAAATTTCCTCTTTTCCGAGTAGTAGGAACAGAATTTAATATTCCAAAATTCTCCACTTTCTAGCTCTTCAATTACATGATACCATTCCGAACATACGAGCTGAAATTGTACAAGCCTAGATAATGGAATATAATTTGCAATATGAATCAACACTAGAGAAGGAAATGAAGAAGAAGAAGACTCGGTCGTGATGATCATTTTTTTCTGAACGTAATGAAGATTAATACGATTATTAATTCTTTCCGAAATCAAGAGTGACACATAGAGCGTTTAACTCCATCTAAAATTTGCAGGCCGTGTGACTTTTTAATTTTGTAAAGAATTATTATTATTTGTAACCATTTAAAATTTGAATTTAAAAATGTTCAAACGTCAAAAACATCACGGAAACAATGTCCATGCCAACGAAGAAGAAGAGCATCCTCTCCGAACCCATGGCCTTTTAGAACTTCCTCTCCACTCTCTCCACATTGTGTTCAATCTTCCCATTCTCACTACTGTTTTCGGAGTTCATGGTATTGTTTTATATCCCTATATTTTGTTTGCCTTGCCAAAGGAAAACATGTATCAAGAACTCATTCAACATGAATTGATTCATGCCCGACAAATCCAACGAGATGGATTTTTCTACTTTTATTTACGTTATGCTTTAGAAGTCGGTTATGGAATTTTACAGAAATGTTATTCATCACTCATCATGATGATTTCATCATGGTTTTATCAAAACACAAATGATGAAACCAGTAGTAGTAGGAGGAGGACGAGTACTCGTCGATCAACTCTCATGGCTCAGCAAGATCGGAATACTTCAGAACGAACGACTAATTTCTTTGAATCATTGATGAAAGGCTTGAATCAGATCATGACCAAAGTGAGTTATGAAAAAGAAGCCTATTCGTTGGAACATATTGAGCTGTATGAATCGGAAAAGGCTTACTTGAAGGAACATTTGGATGGGTTGGATATTGATGAATTGATGAGCGAAAGTGAATGGCATGCAAGTAGTAGAAAAAGAAGGAACCGAAAAACAAAGAAAAACGATGATGAATGGGAAGATGTTGATGAGTAATGAAATTCATAATAATACACGTATTACAATGAACTTTGGAATTAAGATGTCAGTAACCACATAGGTATTGTGATAATTAAGAAAATTTCCATTCAAGGAATATTACTTGTGTGGTCACAGTGTGTATTTCACAACAGAAACCCTCAACAAAAAGAAATGAAAAGATTCCTATCAGTGACCACTCGATCGTTGCGTTACCATAACAACAACAATTGTGTGAAATACTTTTCAACAAGTGTTTTGAATCAAGTCGAAAAGAAGAATATTGACAACACTGAAAATCAAGACATGAATGCTATGAATGCTGAAAATCAGGACAAAAACCAAGAACGAGTGAATATTTTCTCCAAACAAAGTGAGAAAGATATGAAGACTAACATTCCAGAATCTGAGTTTCCAATCGAATCACCAGTTGAACGAGATGAAATTCATGTTGAAAAGCTCAATCAAAATACCATTAATCAATTAAAGACCGAACATGGTGGAGAGAAAAGCGCTCCAGGAGTTCAAAAAGGAAGAGAAGGGAGTGAAGAACTACATTCAAACCCCTAAGTTGCAAGATGTATGACGGAACAATGATTCAAAATAAATTTGTGATCATGGAATTATTTCACAACAATTTAGGATAAAACAAATTGTTAATTTGTGCACTTTCAATTGGAGGGCAATAATGATCTCTTAGAGCATGTTACTAGCAAAATTACACATTAAACCAAATCATTTCACAAACTGTTATTATTGATTATTAAAGCAAATCAAAACTCTCATGGAATGTAAAGGCAAACACTCTTGTTCTCAATTCAATTACACCTAACCAATGATCGATTATCACACGACCACCATTTCAAATCGAAATGGTTTTTTCTCCTTGGACAAGAAGCAATATAGTTTGCATTGAGCACCTCAAATATTTAGGCATCAGCAAATTCTTGATGGTATATATACACTTGCGAAGAAGTAAAGTGGAGTCTTGAAGCCAACTTTCCACCTCTACCAAGTTGGATGTTGTCTCAACACACACTGATTTGTTTCCAACATCAAAAAAATGTCTTCCAATAGATTGTTGAACGTATCATCATCGGCATCCTTGTTATCTACGTTAGCTACTCGTCAGAGGTTCAATATCATCCTCGGAAAGAGAACAGTATTTTCTTCACCTCTTCTGTCTAACAGAAATGAAATGTGCAAGGCTCATCATCATCATCATCTCGGAGATACGGACAGAAGTTATCATACAAGCTCCGTGATGATGATGACCAAACGAACGCACTCCAAAGGCTCTGATAGTCAAGGAGGTGGTCGAGAAACCACGAGTCGTTCCAAAAATCCGTTCCAAGTACAAGCTGAGAAGGAAGAAGAAGAAGCTTTCTTTACTCCCAATTTCAATACAACATCAACAAAATCATCATCGGAACAAGAACAACCACAATCCATTGACTCTACTCTTTCTGAAAATGCTGAATCTTATACCAAGATTTTGAAAAAGTTCTTCTTAAAAGTTCACCCTGATTTCTTTCATCAAGATGCTGTTAAACAACAACAAAATAAGGAGTCCTTTTCAAAGTTGAATGAATTGTTGAATTGGTCGAATGAATATTTGAAATTGAGATTGGATGACAAGAATATTTCGGAGGACGAAAAGGCAGAAATGGAACAACGATTGCATCGATTAGGAAATATTCCAAGTGTTGGAGATAGTTTTGTGTTTTATGTAAGAGAACAATCGAGAAAGGTGGAACCTTATAGAATTGAGGTGGTGTTTGCATTGTCTTCAAAACTTCAATTTAACGGAAAACTGAAAAGCAGATTAATGCTCACTCAACGATTGGAGGAGTTGGTGACATCTCTATTGGAAAAATCCAAAATCATCACGGAATCAGAAGCTCGTTACAGAAGAGAAGCTGCTTTAGAACAATTTAAGCAAATGGAAGAAGACTCGACACAAACAGGAAAAAGAAGCTACAGATCTCTCAAAGACGAGCTACGAATGGCACTACAAAACAATTTACAAGGTGCAGTCAATTTAGAAAAATTACGGAGAGGAGAAGAGGATGACACTGAAGCATGGTGGTGGGATATGGATGTTCCTACCATTGAACATTTAATTACACACGGAATGATATTTTTCTCAAAGCACTTGTCTCCTGAACAAACAATCAAAGCCATGACAACTTTAAAAGAAGGACTTGCCGAGATGCGGTACTTTGAATGGAGCGATATTCCATTAATGATAACTGAAAGGACTGAGAAATATGCTGTAAATGATCCTGTTGATGGATTTATTTGCATTCCGTACAATTTCAACACGTATGATTTCACCAAACAAATTTTAGATAACCAAAAGAATATGAAATTACTCATTGAAAAACGTGAGCTCACAAGAAAAAAGGCCGAAACTATTCAAAATATTAGAGAAAAATTGATTGAGGAAGTAGGATTATCAGATCTCGCAATTTCTCCAACTCTAACCTCAGATCAATTGTATACCTTTATTGAAAATTTTGAAAAAAGATATCTAACGAATGAAAAGCTAAAATTGGTTCTCAAAGATTTATGCCTCATTGTGGACAGCAAATATACTGCCAGTCCTGATGGATTTATTTCTATTCATTGGAACTTTTTAGAAAATGGACGAGATAATTTTATTGAATTCTTGAGAGATTTGGGAGCTCAGAAACTCAAAAGTATTAAGGACATGGGTAAAGCTCTTGTTGCTATTCGAAAATCAATTGCAACGCTTGGAGAAGAGATTATTGGCAAGTTAAAATGCAAAGAATTTAACCTTAACAAGTACAGCGATTTTGAAGGAGCCATTCTTGAGAAGCATCAATTATTACCACTCACCAATGAATTTTTAAAGAAGCTACGAGAATGTTGCTTGTTTTTAGAAAGATTTGATTGGTCCACATATTCCTTCTTCATGGTGAATACACTCTCGGCACCAAAGGATTTAAAACTTCCATTCAAACACATTCCAAATGTTCAAACTCAAACAGATATTGATAATCTAATGAGAAGATTAACAATATATGGTGACACTGTGATTGACATGGGTGACCGAGTGGTTTACATTCCAATTAATTTCAATGAAAATCAACTCTTTAAATGTGTACAAGCACATTGGAAGGAAGTCAACAAAACAGATCCATCCTCGAAAGAACATCTTGCTTCAGAGAGTGCACTCGACTTTTCAGACGTGGTCGATCCACAAGGTTTCCAAAATTATAGAAATTTGGCAAACATGCTTGTTGAAAAAACAGAATTAGTATTATCCAAAAAACGAGCAGAGAGATACAAGATATTAGCAGAATATTTGAATCATCTTGAAGATGCTCAATTGTATGGAAAGAGCAAACAAGTACTTGAAATTATGTTAGACGATCCAGAAGATCAAAGATTTGTTGAACTCTATCAAACTTGGTTCAGAATTAAGGACGTACCTCTCGAAGATTTTGAAACAAGTTCATAATACTTGTTTTTCATAACGAGTTCATTGTTACCTTGATGATGATGACTAGTGCCAACAAGCTTGAAGTTCATCACACTGCAATTTATTCCAAGTCAATATTAGTAATAGTAATAACAAATTCAAAATCAATAAAAATGTCTCTATCAAGTACAGAGTTTTCCAACTTTTTGAAACACATCCAATCCGAGTATGGATCATCGGTGGCCACCACTCTCTCCGATCATGTCTTTCAAAAAGTAGAAAATGCAAACGGTCATTGGAATAGTTTAAACGATCGTTATTCTGCCAGCTGTCAAATAGGAGATTCTCTTCTCTTTGATTATTCCCATTACGATCGAGGAAAGGTAGACAGCGGTGAAGATGCTATTTTCATTGACCTTTCCATGAGAAGAAAGAATTCCAATGAAAATGAATGGGGAGGAAGAGTGAGAATTCTCTCCTATCATCAACCATTCGTCGGAAATAAAACTCCAACACTAAGACTTGGAAAATTAAGTGTCCTAAAGCAACAACATTTGGGAATGAATAATAAGGATGGAGAAGTGAGTGATTGGTTACTAGTGAGAAGTTTGTTGGAAGTGATGGGACCTGTCGATGGAGATGTCGAACGATTACGGAAAATGTTTGAAAATCATTTGGGACAAGTGATTGTGGAGCAAGATGGATCGGATGATTAAACTCGACTCTGTGTTCACTAATATGTTAAAATGAATATTTTATCCCTTGTTTATTTTATGATTTTCTTGAAAAAGCAATTTCCATTCCACCTTGACACTTGACTCATGTTCGTTCCCACCATGCCCCATCGGCATCTTTGATCGATTGACTATACTGATGATATTCCCATTGTCCCTCTTCATGACATTCCTTTTCTTTCATGGGATCTAATTGTTTTAAGAAACCCCAATGCTTGACTCTTTTCCAATGAAAAAACAAAGTCCAAACTTCTTCTTCTTCTTCATTGGAATTATGTGTTCTTTCATTGTTCTCACGATTTTGAGAATTCAACTCGACATTGAATTTCACAACAGGATACAACAAGACTCGATGATAATCCTTTCCGTTAAAATAATTCACAGAACCAGCTCTATAAATTCGTTCTTGAATTTCTCGAGTTTGATGTTTGACTTTAATTTCACGATACGATCCACTCAAAATCAAACTAATTCCGAATTGCCATGGATGATCATGATATCCACGATCTGGATCTGAATGAACGAATCGATGCAAGACAAGTCCTGGACCATTTTCAATGGAAAAGATATTGTAGCGCTCCAAGATGAGAGTTTTACACTGGTCAGTATCTTGTTGGTGGTAGATTTGTTTTAAAGGCAGATATTTGGAAAAGTGTCGTAAGAGGCGTTGCATGTTGAGATTTTTTTTTAATGTCACTTGTCAATTAGTATTCGGGCAAGAGTTCAATGTTTTTTTGGCGGAAGAGTCATGCATTTCTTTTGTAACACAGTATACGAGTTAGTGTTCTGAATAAACGCTTGTTGAGCAGAATTCAGATTTTTAAATTGATCGCAAGTCATGGCTCGTCCTAAAAAATCATCCACCAACAATGAATTCAATTGTTGTTCAGTCAGACCATTCACTGCCAACGGATTCACATATAAAAACGATTGTGCAAAGGAACCACTCGATTCTACAAACGCTCTTGGATCGATCATGGATAATTGACCTGCAGTAATACCATTTATGGTATCCCTCAAAAAACAATTCAATTTGTCCACGGTCAAATAATGATAAATCGCTTGTGAATAAATTTGAGAATTATTCAATAATCCATAAAATGTTTGACACATATCAATCGATAAAATGTTCGTTGGAGTTAAAATTTCACTCAACGAATTTGGTGTTGAAAGCGCCAATTTTAACCAAGACAATTTGGTCAAATCATTGGGAGAGAACTTTCGAGTCAGCACAATCTCTCCATTCTCAATCTTGGTTTTAAACAAGACCACTTGTTCTCGAGAAACCATTCTTAAATTTTCTCTTGGAACAACATTGACAAAATAGTCATTTCCAAAATAAGTATACAGAGCGGCAAATTGATTGGCAGTAGCTCCAGCAAAGGCACCAATGTTAATATTCTGAATAAAATACTTATTCAATCCTTGTAATGAAGAGGGTGGTATTTGAGAGAAACATTGTGCATTCATTCCCATCATGGCATCAAGTCCAATTTGAGATAAACATTGAGAAGTGAAACCAGAACATACTTGGTTGTCTTTGGAGTTGAAAGGATCCACTGTATGATAATTGAAGGAGCTACATGTAGTGGGATTGACTTGTTCCAATTGTTGAGCTTGAACTGCCATTAAGGTTTCTTTTGGAAATGAAGTGAAACATTTTCCAGAAAATCCATAAAAGGCAATGGGTGGAACGTTTCGAATGCAATCGGGTCGAAATCCCGTACAAGCTTGATTGTTTTCAGGTTGTAATTGAGAGAGTTGATTCGATGAGAATGCCTGACAAGTCTCTGGTTTAAAATTATAAATTTGATAACCAGTCATTCCTTTAAACGATTCTGCTCGAAGATTTTGAACTTGTTCCACATTGAAATATTGAAATACTTTTGGATCTAATTGATGTAAACAATCTGAAAAGAAACCAGAAAATTCAGAAGGTCGAACAGCTTGTAAACAAGTTCCTGAAAAACCAGCACAGACTTGATTGGCCACATTTAAATTGGAAATTTGATCTCGAGTAAAATTCGAGCACACCACGGCATTGGTAATGCGAGACAATTGGTCCTTTCGAAGACCTTCCATTGCAACCGATGGAATGTTTGAAAATTGAATTCCTGACATGTGGTCAAAAATTTCTGGATTCATGGCCTTGACACAAAATCCACTCAACCTTCTCAAATTTTCTCTCTTAATTAAATTGAAACATTCAGAAGTGAATCCACTACAAGCTCCATTTCCATTTCCATCATTGTGTATGGATCCTACTTGCTCCGAAGAAAATCCTGAACATATCAATGGATCTAAATTTCGTAAATCGTTCGATGAAAAGGAACTCACGGCACCCAATGAGAAGGCACTCAGTTTCTGGGCACTATCAATTCCAGAAAATTCTTTGGATGGAATTTGTTGAATACAATCTCCGCGGAATCCTTGAAATGCTTCTGGATTCATTCCGGTAAAACATGTTGATTTGAATCCATAACAAGCATTAGGATTGAAATTGGAAACTTGTGAAGAGGAAAATCCAGAGCATGCTTCTATTGAAAGAACGGCAAGTTGGGAGCTTGTAAATCCAATACAAGATTCGGCTGGAATGGATTGAATGTTTTGACGTGTGGCAGATGCGAGAACGTTGTTGGGAAGAGAGGACAATTGTTGAGGAGTTAGAGAGCTCCAATCAATACTGACATGTGGAGTTTGATAGGAAGGGGAGTGAAGAGAAATCTTGTGAGCATGAGATGTAATGGACAAGAGTATTAATATACAGAGAAGTGTGAGAGTTTTGATTACTGACATATTTTTTTTGAATGACACACAAGATGATAATGAGCTTGAGATATTTGTAGTGTGGAAAGTACGCGGAGTTGACATTGTTGTAAGATGATGTCTGTCAAATAACATAACGATTCGTCCCAAGCACGAATCCATTTTGGAATTTTTGTAAACGGCCATTCCTGCGATGCTGGCTGTCCTTTTCTTCTAAACATCGTGTAAATTGTCAATTGTTGAGAGAGTAAAAAAACGTAGTCTCAACATCAGTTTCGTCCCTGAAAATCAAAATTTTGCACAGTGCACAAGAGTTGTCGAATACACTGTACGAAATTTCCAATTTGGATTTTTGTGATATGGTTTGCTACTAACATTTCAATATCATCCGAATTTGTCGTTTTCGCATTAATTGAAGTCCAAAATCCAATTTGTTGCGAGTTCAAAATGAAATCTATTATTAATATTAATGGAATAAGTGAATATTATTGCTTCTTTTTGAAGAAGGAGTCCATGGACTTCATGCCTTTGGTGTTGACCTTTTTCAAACTTTGTACATTTCTTGATTCTTGAGATTTGGTCTTTTTACTCTTTTCCGCAGTGGCTTCGGCACGTTTTCTCTTATTCTTTTCTACTGCATCCAAGTCTGCAAGAAAATCATCTGTTTCTTGAGAATGTTGCGAGGATGGTTTAGGAGATTTTGGTTGGGAAGATGATGAAAGTTGGGAATTGTTATTCGACATGGATGCATTCTTGCTTGGATATATTTCTGTCAGTAAGCTGTACGGGATGGTGCGTGGAGTTATTGATTTACAAATGACGAAAAAGAGGTACAATAATATGTGCCATTGAATTTCACACCATTCAAACTTACTCGAAATGAGAGGCCAATATTTCAATCCATTTTCTGTCCATGTACTCGGAGAGAAATCGGATGGACTCGGCTCTAATCTTTCTATCATCAGCTGCATCCTTATTCTTTAAACTTCTTTTGAAAGAGCCTTGAGATGTAATAATTTTGTTCTTTAACTCATTGTTATTGTTGATTTGATCAAAGATGTGATCGCATTTGGCAATCATCCATTGGTTGACCTTTTCTGGACTTAATTGTACAAATAGGTCGTCTCCAACTTTTAATATCGAATATTTCACAATAATTCCATGCAAGTTCAATAAAAACATAAACTTCCCACAACATACCTTCCACCACTTGACAAATATTTACAATCATATCCCTCACGCTTGAAACACGCTGTATCACAGGTGGTATTACATCCATCATGTTCTTAAACGACTCGCCTTCAGTTTCTTCCGACTCTAAAATTGCAATCAATAAAAAAGTTACATCCATCGGAGTCAATACAATAGGTCTTCCATCGGAGATGACATTATTTCCAATGAACCAACTCGATATTTTGTCCCCAATTCGTTCCATTTCCAGCAATATTGTTTTTGAATCATCATCAGTTTTGGATTGAATGGTTAAAAGACCAAATTTTACTTGTTGTTTATATTTGGGATGAAGAAACGAGAAAATTTCAAGTGTTTGATTGAGAGATTGGTTTCCTTCTGATAATGAACCATTTTTCGGAGAGGCCACAAAAATTATACGTGAAGAATTCGATGAGGTTTCCTCTTGACTATCATCCGACAAAGACATTTTTAATTTCAATTTTTTTTAAGAAATCCAAGGGGCATCAGATTTATTGTGGAATAGTTAAACGAAGCTTGCTTCTTGAACTAAGAATGAGTTCTACAGCTTAAGTGTTAGTACTTTTTTACAAAATGCATATCCATCCTTTTACCCTATCATAACGTTATGCATCAATAATAAGGTTTCACCATTAGACCACAAAAAAAATGAAAGGAACAAGGAACTGAATTCCTCTGAGGAAAGGAAAACGGAGCCGTTAAAAACCAAATGATGAAATCTTTACATGCTACAAACATACAAACAAAACAAGATCATTGGTCATATCCAACAATACACTGAAGTGTTTCTGATTTATTAATTTTCAAATCGCTCCGAGCCATGTATTTAAATACTAATTTTCATCATCCAAACCTGTGCTTCCCAATTCAACCTCCAAGTAGTTGCTCTTCCGAAGCCTTACAAATCTCAGTCCAGGGAAATGAACTCATCTTCTCCAAACCCAGCAGTCCCAACGACAAGGTCTCAATCTCGTTTCATAGAACTTTAAGAATTCCAATGGACGGAAAGGTGTATCCATTACCACCAAGCTTGGGTAAATTCCCAATCAAAAAAGTAGATGATTATTTGCATTCTGTACCTGAATCTTGGAGAAAACACGGTGGAGTGTTTATTCCGCTATATCAGAGAGAGGCCATGTGGATGAACTTTTCAAATACCTCTCCTGAGTATCCTCATGCTTTGAAGATTGGTGTTGGAAAAGTAAATGCCTTATCAGGGGAAGGGTGGGATGAAAGTATGAAGCAAAGAAATGTTCAAGATTATTGTGTGACTCCAAAACAACCATGGTTAGATGGAATTAATAATGGAAATGGTACCATTCGTCAATTTGTGGCCATGCCTTTGGGAGGAGGGTATACGGTGGAAGGCCAGGTAACTGGTGAAGAAGAACATGGTGGCCTTCAAATTGTTTGCTACAGCGCGAACGAACAAAAAAGAATTCAAAAGTATGGTCGTCCTCAGACCATGTTATGTGACATGATGGAATTGAAATCATGTGCTCCTAGTTGCTCCTCTGTACAGAAAAAGAAGAAGAAGGAATGTGAAATGGGTCTGGCTGCTGGTGGAACGATGAAACAAACAATTTTTGAGGACAAACTTGGATATAATTTTTGGGATGAATCATCAAAGGCAAGAGTATTCGTGCACATTGTGAACAGTGAAATGTACAAACAGATTACAGGAGAAAATGCACCTGCTTGCCCAATATCAGCCAAGACATACACCCAATACAAATATCCATGGTATGACTATTATTCTGAAGGATCTCACATTGAGAAGAGCAATATTTTGAATAATAAGGTCAAAACGATCAACCAAATTGACAAGCAAAAATACAAATGGCCCTTGCAAGACACAACCACAATACCCATCTCGAATGTGAAAGTGATCAAATCTAATGAAGTCAGAGATGGTGACTGGTAATCTTTGTAGATTCTCACTAAAATAGTATTTATTTGTTGTAAATTTAAAAAACAATGTTGCCTTAATGCGTTAATAATACAGGAATAGTAACCAGATGCTCTTGAGATTATTTGTCTTCATTGTCGTATTCCACATTATTTCTCAAATTTCCTAATGCACTCTTAATCAAGTCCAGGTTTGTTTGTACGTTGCTTGTGAGAGAAATGATTTTCTCTTCAGTATCAAGAATTTCCACAGTGTTTGTATAAGGATTGTATTTCACAGTGAATGGTTTTTCAAGACTATTCAAAGTATAACTTTTGATCAACTCTTTACATTGCTCCAATGTATTGACAACATAGTAGAGTGGTTGATAGTGCGTAATGGGATAAGGTCGTTCAGCAGCTTCCTCAGCAATAAATGGCTTATATTCTGGAGGCAAGATTTTACTATCTGGGTCTGTACCTGTACAACTGAATTGCAATTCACCTGCTGAGCTCAGTAAACCAGCACCATAGGCTTTCTTTTGACCCTTTTCATTGACAAGGCCAAACTCTACAGTAGTATTGTGAACGAATGCGTTATATTTCAAATTCCGTAATAATGAAGCAAGGTTAATTCATTCGGTCCTAAAAATAAGAAAGTACGAACTTACCCAAACAATACCAATACAATCGTACCAAACGATCTATGTCTTCATTACTTGCTCCCAAGCTGGCTAAGCCAATCTGTTGACTGAAATCGGCAAAATCTGGATCAGCCAACATGATTGAATGTCCCAACAGCTCATGAACCACATCAGGTTCAGGTGTGTAAAATGGTGAACTATGGTGTCGAATGTATTGAGTGCTATGAAACACTCTAAATGCCAAACCATTCAAAAAGTCTCGTGCAGTCAGCAAGCCTGCTACAGGTCTATAACGGAATCCCGTCACTTCCACAAGAAAATCATTCACATCTTGTAATTGTGGTATATTTTGTGGTCGAAATCCACAATTTTGCTCAAAAAGAGGAAACAGATAATTGTATTGAGAGCAAGCATATTTGGGGTAAAGACTTGTCAATTTTTCATAGACTACTCTCCAAGTATCGTTCTCAGAAGTTGTGTACTTGATTTTTGGAATGGGCTCTCCATGTTTATAATTCATGGCAATTTCTGAAATCATTTTTCTTCTGGCTCTGTACTCCTTATCATGAAATCCTGGGTGATCGGATTGCAAGTCTCCACCTGCTTCTAATGTTTGTCTATTGAGACCAATTGGTTTGTCATTTTCAAAAATTTGGTCACTTTTTGAACCTACCTTGTGAAATAGTCGATATGAGAAATCTTTCGTGGAAACCACGGTCGTTTCTCACTTCCTAAAAATTTGACATTTTCCGCCAATCCTTGATCCATAATGTCCTTAATGGCACTCTCCAAACTTTCCTTATTAACATTTTCTTCAATGTCGACATGAAAATCAAAGGTCCTAGTCGACAGTTTGGAGGGCTTGGATTCAATCTTGGTCAAGTTGATTTTGTATTTGGAGAAAATATCTAGATTGGATTTGAGAGATCCGACCTTGTGCGGAAGTGTAATCAGCAAGGAACGATATTTTGAGGACATTGGGTTGGTAGATTTGTTTCAGATTGAAATGATCCTTGTCCGTACGTATGGAAGTTGTGATTGAGACAGTAATCGAAGAATCAATCGATGTGATGGGACGAGGAAGATCGAGTGTGAGGTTTTTTTTTGAGTTTGATTTAAAAGAGGCTTCTCTAAAAATCTCCATATTTAGGCAAAACAGCTGGTCTTCAGTTTACAATGAAAAACAGTACTGTTAGGCTCACGAGCAACAATCCATGAAGCAACGGCATCGTTCTGAAAGTTTGGACATACAAGTATTTCATCAACGTGGATGACCGTTCGGGAAAGTAAATGTTGCAACATATAGTATTCAAACAAATATTTTCATTGATAGTACGTATTCCGAACGTTCCATAGCATTCAAATAGCTGCTCTCTGTTGCATGCCAATTTGTTGGAGATTGCACAAAATCAAAATCTGTTAAATCCGATGGAAGTCGCAAAATTTCATCATTCAAATGGCCACATTTTTTCTTCCATGAAATATTTCCTCTTTCCCATATGAAAGCGTTTCATTATATCAATACATATGTGTTTTACATTGCAGCAGAATTATGGTGCAATTTAGGGACAGCATATGTTGAAACAATAATAATATTATTCAAATATTAATATTTTCTTCTCAAAAAACCTTAATATTTTTTTCTTCGTGGAAATGACAACCTATTTTTATCGTCAACAAAACAATTATCAAAAAAAATGAGCCAAGTTCCACTCGATCAAGAAGCATTACTTTACAGCAATTTGTTTGATAGGGCTTCCAAGGAGAATGAAAAGCAAAATACGGATGAAGCCATCAAGTTGTTTAATGAAATTATTAATGGTACGAGTATGTAGTTGAGTTGTATTATTTGATCGGATCGGATGGATTGTTGGATTGATGATTTGTTGTTTTGTAACAATATTGTACAAATTTGTTCGTCTGTAACATCACTTGTGGAACTATTTGGAAAAATGTAGTGACCAAGAAGAATGAAGTAATCATCAAGAAAAAGGAAGAGGCCATTTATAGCCTTGGTAAAATCTTTGCTGCTCGAAGGTATGTTCTTTTGCAAGCGATATCAGAGTTTTTGAACGTAGCTTAACCAAATATATTACGTCCATTCAATGTTTGATGTATGCGATCAAATAGTGATGCCAATGCTATTGTGGAATTAAACAAGTCAATCCGACCATTCTTCCAAGATTTACCAAAAGCTAAAACTGCAAAAATTGTGAGAACTTTGATCGAATTGGTCGGAACTATAAAAGGAAGCGATGCAATTCAAATTGACATTTGTAAGGAGTCTATCGAGTGGGCAACAGCAGAAAAAAGAAGTTTCTTACGTCAACGTATTGAATCACGATTGGCAACATTGTATTTCCAAAAGAAAGAATTTACTGAAGCTCTTAATATAATAACTAGATTATTGAGAGAAGTGAGAAAGTTGGATGATAAGGCTCTCCTTGTTGAAATTCACGTACGTAGACGAAATTGCGGATTTGTTGATATGCTCATTTTTCACAATCTCATCTTTTGAAATTACATATCATTGATACTTTTTGGGATTTCATATCATTGTCACATTAATTATTTTACATTCATTTGTGGGAAAAAACATCAGTTGCTTGAAAGTAAGGTGTACCACTCATTGAGAAATCTATCGAAAGCAAGAGCTGCTCTCACAGCTGCAAGAACCGATGCCAATGCTATATATTGTCCTCCACTTCTTCAAGCAGATATTGACATGCAATCTGGTGTATTGCATGCCGAAGAGAAGGACTACAAGACTGCTTTCTCTTACTTCTTTGAAGCATTTGAAGGTTTCAGCAACCTTGAAGACAACACTGCTATTATGTGCCTCAAGTACATGTTGCTTTGTAAAGTCTGTACTAATAATGTAAGTTTTCATTTTGGTATTTTTCAAATTTACCAACTTAACACACCAATGCTCCAAATCACACCTTGTATATTTCATATTATTGTAGACTGACGACATTCAAACCCTACTCAGCTCAAAGACTGCTCTCAACTACACAGGTAGAGAAGTGGAATCCATGAAGGCCGTTTCTTCTGCCTATCAAGAAAGATCTCTTCATGCCTTTGAAAGAGCTCTCGCAGAATATGAAGTTGAATTGAAGAAGGATCCAATCATCAATACTCATCTTTCTGAGTTGTATGACAATCTTTTGGAACAACATCTTTTGAGAATTATTGAACCATTCTCTCGTGTACAAATTTCACACGTTGCCAAATTGATTGATCTTCCTCGTACTCAAGTCGAGAGAAAACTCTCTCAAATGATTCTCGATACCAAGCTGAATGGTATTCTCGATCAAGGAAATGACTGTATAATTGTATATGAAGAAAGCAAGAAGGATCAATGTTATCCAGCTGCTTTGGAAACTATTTCAAATTTGAATGGTGTGATGGATTCCCTCTTTGAACGAGCCAAGGCTTTGACTAAATAAATAGATTGTCACGAAGAAACAACAGTTATGAATAATTTGAAAGGCGCGTTTGTAAATTGTACAAACCTGCTCATCACCAGTGCAAAATTTTGGCGCCGTTTGAATTACAAAAAAAAATAGCTCACATACATTGTGATATTTCAAACAGCAACATGTCGTCGTCATCATCACGAACGAAACATCAACACCACAACAACACCTCGCATAGCCTTTCTTCGTATTTCAATGACGACTCTACAGAAGTCAATCATGATGGAGAAAATATCTTGTTCGGAGATGATGGAAGTATACTCATAGAGCGTCCTCAACAACAGTCGAATCAAGAATCAGAGTATGAAATGGATTCACCTCCAGAGGAGGATGAATATCATCATGCACACGCTCAACATTCTCATCGCTATTCCAATAGTATCAATAGAAATACCTCATCCTTATCGAGCAGTAAGAGAGGAACCATGATCACAAACAACGCAAAGTCTACAAACAACAATCAAGAAACTTGTTCAACATCGTCTAATTCAGCTAGGAACGGAGAAGGTATTATGAAACATTTCTACAATCCATCGGAAGATAGTGAAGACGAGTTGAACAACAACAAGGTGGTCACCAAAAAACCAACTCCAAAAATTGCCACCCCTCATGCCTTTGAAAATGTGCCTCACCCGCAACAACCTCAACCAAGCTCTAAAACTCCATCTTCTTCTTCTAGTTCTCAAAAAAAGCAACGAAAGACGCCATCCTCTGCAAAAACACCACAAGAACCACAGCCAACTACCTTTCCAATGTATCATAATCCATTCCAATTTATTCCATTCTATCCTCCATTCTTTTCTCCATATGGTATGAGCCAAACAGATGCAGAATCCATGAAAGAAGCGATGAAGAACAATCCTTATCGAACTGGGTTTCCATTCATGCATCCAAATGGCGTGATTCAGGGAAATGGTGATGCAGACGTTGGTCAATCCAACGAAACTTTTGTCACTGAGGCTTCCTCAATATTTTTTGACAAAGATTACAAGTTTCAAGAGCAGCTCATGTCAGAAACTAGAGAGTTGAAACAAATCATTCAATCACAAGGAGAAACAATTTCGCTAATTCTGAAACAAATGGAGGCAATGAATCAAAAACTGGAGGCCTTTCAAATGTGTATCCCTTCGAATACTCAAAGCGAAGTGGTCGCTCATAGCGGAAAGAAGAGCCCAACCACGACGGAAATGACTCAGCATGCCACAAACTCCAACCAACATCAAATGTCTACATTGAGTTCTAACACAAATCCTCTCGATAGATCCTCAATCAATTCAAATATTTCGAGTATCAGTGGTACTAGTAGTAATAATGTGCGTCCAAGTGTGGCTGTCACATCGTCATCCACCTGGAAGAGTATGACTTCACCAAAAAATCAGCCTTACTCTCCTCCTTCCATGAAATATTCCTCGTCTAATTCTTCTAATGGTAATCTAAATAATAGCTCCAATTTCCAGAGCAATAGCATGATGGTGAATGGAAGTACTGTCACCGCAAGTAATATCAGCCATCATGATCCACATTCAGATAATAATTATCAGAATCATGTCACCAATGAGAGATATTCTCCTATGCCAACACCTTCAAAGAATTCATTGTCCTCAAAAGATTTTCAATTAGACAAATCAACTACTTCCATCCGATCCACAACAGCAAGCAACATGGGAGCTCTCAACACCAGTACGACTAGTAGTGTCAATTTCCAACACAACGCTTCATCCATTAGTAATGTCAGTGGAGGTGCATTGAATAGCAGCAGTTCGAGTCATGGACGATATGTGAATCCTCACACGGCCACCAACTCACCAATAATTCCAGTCTCTTCGAATAAGGCAAAAACTCTCTCCACTTCCATGCTTACAAAAGTGAATGTATCGACAACTGGTAGTGCCCAAAATTCAGGAATGTCACAATCTACCAATGCCGTCCCTTCAATCAATGTGATACAACCAAAGGCGTCTCCTCAAGTTGTGAGCAAGTCCTCTCATCTCATGTCGACAAATGAAGCAATGGGAATGGCTACTACCACTAACTCTTCTCATAATATTTATTCTCGAGGAAGATCATCACCAGTGGCAACATCAAATTCTTCAAAGGACCACATGAACCATCTCATGACCAGTCCTTCCAAATCTTCCACATTTTCATCATCTTCAAGAACAACTAGTAGCACGAATAGAGACCATTATCATCATGGGCATCATCATGACAACACCGATTCATTCCTTCAAGGACATACTTCACATTTAAACGATTCGTTTGGTCTCATGGGTGATATTAATGCTGATTTGGGTGGTGAAGATTCCTTTGTTTACAACTCTTCATATATGAGCAGTGGTAGTTCAACTCCTCCCGAACCCTTCTCCACAGAAATGCAAAAGTATGTGAAAGAGAAAATTCTCTCCAATTCACCATCCAAGCATGCCCACGACTCAAAGAAGGAAGATATTGCCAAAGACTCGGACAATACCTTTGTGAATAGTTTAACTCTTTCATCAAAAAAGAGGAAGGATTTATCTGCCAGTTTTTCCAATTCATCCTCCAGTTTTCCAATCAAAAGCTTTTCAAAGATTTGAACTTGAGTTTGTGAGCAATGCATTGTGTAATTCGGAAAGAATAATTGTTGATGAACGAAATTGTTCCGATCGCTGAAGGCTCAACCTATGATGTATAGATGAGTCATGTTTGTGGTCATGTGCAGGTTGAAGGTGAAAATCAAAATAAATGATTCAACTTTGAGTATGATGATGAAGATGTGTTGCAGGTTTTTGTTCAGCTCGTTTGTATGCTGGACGCACATTTTTTATTGTAAACTATTTTATTGGGTTGACCAGATTTTTGAAAAAATTTCGTCGAAAAAAAATATTCCACAACCACCAACGTACGTACTTTGTCGTTCTTCTCTATTGTTTACATCAAGAACAATTCTTGATGATTATCTTTTCATCTCGTCAACAACAACAACAGTGCCATATTGAAAAATGGTGAACTTCCCAAAATTGTTGAAGGCATACTGCCAAAAGTGCGAAACTCACAAGGAGCACAAGGTCACCCAATACAAGGCTGGTAAAGCTTCCCTCTGGGCCCAAGGTAAGAGACGTTACGATCGTAAGCAAAAGGGTTATGGTGGTCAAACCAAGCCTATTTTCCACAAGAAGGCCAAGACAACAAAGAAGATTGTGCTTAGATTGCAATGTAAGGAATGCAAGAGAATCAACCAAAGAGGTTTGAAGAGATGTAAGCACTTCGAACTTGGTGCCAAGAAAAAGGCTATCTAAATTCCTTCAACCAAAATAAATCTTCAAATATATCAAATTCGGTGTGTGTTGACATGATTCATGGCGGATCACATTTATTCTGGTGTTATTCAATCACTTGACAATCACGTTATATTGGTCGGTGAGAGAATTGAGAAGGTCTTGCTCGGTGACGACTGTTTCTTCTCGTTCAACACGGTTGGGAGAAATGTCATTCTCTTTCATCCACATCAAATATTTCAGCATTTTGCAATGGAAGAGCATAATTTCAGTGTGATAGGTTGGAAACACAATCTTGACACTGTGCATCATGTCAGAAAGATATTGATAACCTTTCTGTATCATGCCAATGTGTTTCTCGGAAATCTTGTTTGCTTCTCCAAGCAGTGGACATCCCTTTTCAAATAATTTTATCAGCATTGAAATGTACTTTCCTTTCAGTTGAAAGAGAAGATAGTGGTTGAAGTGAGGTCTGATTCGTGAAGAAAGTATTTGATAATTATCTAGCTCGAGCATCGACTGAATTATACCATCCAGTTCGCTAATCACGCTCAAAATTATTTCACATAACTCATTCTTTGGCAATCGATGCACGGAAAGATTATCCTCAGAAATTTTTTGATCCAAGGACAAGATTACTTGATTAAGTTTTCTCTCAAATTCCATAAACGCTTCTCCTTCCTGTAAGGCGGCATCAATTTTACAGTCGCATTTTGTACATTTCCAATAGGATACTTTTTGAATAAATTCTTCATCAATTTCCCGTTGATCATGATGTGTGCTATTCAATTCTGAACATTCAGGGTCATGTACATTTTCATAAATGTCTTCAAACATGGCAAGTGCTTTATCATAATCTTCCTCATCAAAATGCTCAATATTAAAGTCAGTTTCTGAATCGACATGATTTTTTGATTGATATTCTCGAATGTCAGTTTTCGTTTCTCCACTCAGAGTGTTACATTGATAAATTGGAACTAGATAACCATCACATTGTAGATCCTTAGTTGATGCATTAGAAAATGACCGTGAGGTTGACGAAGAGAATTCTTTCATCATTGGTGAGTTGTGACACTTGTAGGCTCTTACATATCGCTCTTCTTCAGTGTCACTCATACATCTCGAGCATTTACAAACAAAATATTTAGAATACCACAATTCTCTTCTTCGAATACTTGTTGGATTCATAATATCAATATAACTGATACATAGTTCTTCTCCTTTTTTCACTTTCTTGACAGTTTGTACATAGATAACATTTCCAGAATAGGACATGTTAGATTTCAAGTCGTCAAAGGTTTGAAAAGAGCAATTGGGCGAGCATGAGTGATCAAACATGGAGACCATTGGGAATAACCCTGTTCCAATTTCTCTAAAATCAGCACAGCTATTTTCAGTGTGATCTTCTCGATCAGAATGTGAGATTGGAATAAAAAACGGAGAATATACAGTGTTTGGAGAGCGGATACTTGTAGTGAAGAAGTTATTAATGATTAGAGAGGAGTTGTTTGAATTATTTTCAACGGTTGAAGATGTGTTTGAAGAGTTCCACCACCATCGGGTATGAGTAATACTATGTGCATTGACAAATATTCTACAAAATGTGTCAACGAGTAGTTCCAAATCAATTAATTCATCATTTTTGAAAAGAGTTTGTTTTAACCTTTCAGAGGATTTTCGAAATAGAAATAAATGTTCAGGATAAATTTCGTCTTTGTGAGTTTGAAGAGACATGAGATTTTCCATTTTGATTCGATCATAGAAGGTGCTGTCACAATTCTTGTCATTCGAGTCGAATTCAATTTTTCTGCAAATTCTATACACGAGAAGTAATAGAGAAAATTCCACACCACATTCCTCTGCAATTCGAGTCAAAAAACAATATACACATCCATCACAACTATCATCGCTGTTATTATAATTCAATAATAAATTATTTTCATCATCCACAGTTTCATTTTCTCTATAAATTAGCTTTCTCAATAATTTACAATTAACATCTTCACAAATCATCCAATCTCTTTCTTCATTTGCATGATCGTCATCTTTTGAACTGACATCGGAAATACTCGTCTTGCTTTTTCGAAAATTATTATGACCATCATTTACACAGATTTTATCCTCACCGAATGACTGATCATCATTCCGTTTCTTTTTTTGGCAAACCACACAAAATCGATGAGAATTAAAATGAATATCGGATTGATGCAACACACTTGCATAGGCTTTTTCAATCAGTAAAATTTCACCAGCATCAATATCTTCCCTAGCAATTAATATTCTACCAAATTTACGGTACAGAGAATGTTCGAGAGAGTCTTTTTGAATAAGACATAATTCAATTTTCGGACTCATAAAATCAACATGTTCTTTCCGATCAAGTTCCTTTGTTGAATAATTTTGAACCCTTTGAGATGATGCCTCTTGTTTGTTGTCTTCATCATGACTCGGAGGACAAGTTGTCATCATGATGATAATTTTTTAAATTCAACTAATGAAAAAAATTTTGTTGATTTGGAATGCACACGCTTTTAAAATTAATTCATCTTATCAAATGACATTTTCAATATTCTAATAATTTAAATGTCTCCGGATTGAAAACTTTGAGAGATGTTGTTGTCCATTCGTTTCATATTTAGAACGTATTCAACGTTTTGAAACTCTTCCAACATCTGTTGAGAGAGATGTTCTCGGGAGTCATTAGCTTCTAATGCTTTTTTCAAACATCAAGTTATCCACCGTTCCGATATAATGCTAGTCATGAAAGGCTTATCTCGTGAGTTCAAAAGAAAAATAGTTTTGAAAGGTATTGATTTATTCTCTCTTTCGTGGATAATCCAAACGCTCAACAGTGGAATGTATTACTGTTGCTGAATTGTATTTATTATTAACTACTAGTTTAGATTCATGATATTCCGAGCTTCAACGGCACAGAAAAAAGGAATGAATGAAATCCGATCGGATCCTCTTCTTCATCATGATGAGGAAGAAGATGAGCATGAAAAACTTCAACTCATTCATGAGGCAGTGATCGAGAAACGGTTTTACTTCTTTGGCTTGTTCTTGGGAATTAATTTAATTTTCATGTTCGTGTATGTGAGCGAGACATGGATGCGATTGAACTATTTTGCATTGGTGATGATAGATATTTTGATGAATGCAATCATAACCAAGTACTTGTTAAGACTTTCATCTCTCACGCAACGCGATGTTGTAAATTGGTGGCGATTTGTTTTGTTGAGCGCTTTGAGGGTTTTGGTGCAAACATATTTAGGTTCTCAAGTTCCATATTATATATTGTACTATTTTTCACTCTTTGGAGCTGCCAACACGTATTACTGTAAGAGGTGGATGGTTATTGTGCATGCTTGTTCGTTATTCGCTAGCTCTCTGATTGGACAAGTTGTGGTCAATCATACGACTCTTCGTGCTGTGGAACATGGCGTCTTCTTAACTCGAATTCATGTAGAAAAACAGACACCTTTCATCTCCGGATTTCATCCATCGACTTTTACGCTATGGAGCGACACCATTAACATTTTGTTGGTGGAGATAGTACTCACCTTGTCTTGTCTAATTTTCTCGCAAGTGATAGAGTTGCAATTTGAAGCAAATGTAAAATACAAGTATCAAGTGCAGGTACAAAAAGCATTGAATTATTCCAAGTCTAAATTCATTGGGAATTTGAGTCATGAGATGAGAAATCCTCTTCATGGCATCATTAACAATACAGACTTGTTGAAAATGGAAACTGAGAGAATTGTAGAAATGGTGAGCTCAGATATGGAAAAAAATAAGGAGAACATTGCTAGAGCAAATTTATCTAATTTGGAACTCATTGAGGACGTGATCACTGGATCACAAATGTTGTTGAGATTACTTTCCAACTCTCTTCAGGTCACCAACTTGGAATTAGGAAACATCAAGCTCAACTATCAACCTTTTAACGTTTTTGAGTCACTGGAATCCATTATCTCAGTTTTCTTCTCAATTGCAAATAAGAAGGGGCTTTCAATTCAATCTTGCTTCAACTTTTCAAAGGTTCCTTTTTATGTTAATGGAGACAATGTAAAGATATCACAAATTTTGATGAATTTAGTATCAAATTCAGTGAAATATACAACAACAGGATTTGTCACTCTCAAATGTGATGTTTGTGATAAGAGTGATATGGACTATCCATTCCATGGAAAACCTGATGATGAAAAGTTCACTATTTCTGGTTTTGACAACCTCACATTGAAGGATATCGTAGTTTTAAAATATGAATGTATTGACACAGGAGCAGGAATGAAAAATATTGATAATTCCAACAACATTCAAAGTTGTTCAGCTCATAGCTCTCAAGAGTTTGATCATTATTTTAACCAATCAAATACGCAAGTTAATTCTACTTTCAATGACAGCAATGGACTTGGGTTGAACATTTCAAAGAACATTATTGATCTCATGAAAGGACAAATGTATGTGAAAAGCGCAATTGGAAAAGGTACTATTGTCACTGTTTACTTACCAGTGGTCAAATGTAGCAATGGAACTGAATGTCAAGACATTAAGAACCGAATTGAAACTCTCAAAGACTCTAACAAGTGGAGATTTCCTCTCAGTCAAGTCATGATTTATGATCCTCATCAAAATATTAGAGATTTATTGGAAGATTATTGCAAGCAACTCTTTCCTGATTGTTCAGCACAGATATTTTCCAATGACAAGGACTTTAAAGGTATTCTTAGCAATTACATTCACACTGCTACTTCCAATACTTTACAAAATACTCTCCTTATTTATCCTCAAGAATTTGAATCATTAGATGGCAATTCCTTACATTACTTGATGAAGACAGAAACCAATATACTGTTACCGCTTTCAGAACGAGGACAATTCTCTTCAATTGTGAACAGGTGCAAGCATTTCACACGTCCCATCAAACTGAAAAATTTTGTTGAAATCTTATATTCATCCTTAATTGACCATCATGACACAAGAAGCACAACAACCAATTCTATTTCCATTGAAGCACTGACATCACCACTACGCTCAACTTCTTCCAACATCTACTCTTCTCGAAATATTAAGGTTCTTGTAGTTGACGATAATGAAGTGAATCGAAAAGTTCTCACCAGAATGATGACACTTCTTGGATTTTCTGTCATGACAGCCTCCGATGGACTCCATGCATTAGAAATGGTGAAAAAGAATCCACACGAATTCCAAGTCATTTTGATGGATTTATTCATGCCTCTTCTCTCTGGCAAAGAATGTTGCAAACTCATTCGTGAACTCAACATTTCAAATCTCAAAATTGTTGCCGTCACAGCCAACGTTTGGGAAAATGAAGAGAGTTTGAAACCAAAATTTGGTTTTGATGCTGTCGTTCATAAGCCCATCATGATGAAACAACTTGAAGAACAAATGACTGTGTTGTTAGATTGTGCAGCAGAAGTCAACAACAAGAACAACGATCCTGGTACTTCTCATGGATCTCCATCCCAACAATATTCTGATCAGCAATCGAAGGATCTTCATCCATTCGATTATGATGGACATGGTATTTGATCAGTACGATGAACTTTGTTTGGCGGGAAAAATTTTGGACAAACCCGAAAAAAATTGTGTTCATTGATCTGCTTGTCTTAATTCCAAAACTTCTCGGATCCTATTATCTGTCGGATTGATTCGAGTATTTCTTTATCGGAAATTACGAAATATATACTTATGAAGATTTAGAAATATATACCAAGAATGACCAAAGTAGTTCCTGCTTCTTCTGAGGCCGAAGTGGGTGATGTTGCTCCAAACGGCTGCGATCAAAAACAATCACAAAATAATGATTTAAAACAGGAACAAGTACTTGGAGATGGGTTTGAGGGAGATCGAGATTTAGAATCTCAACATGAAACATGTGATTACCTACACAGAAAAACGGGCATTAGAATTTCAGAAATAATTTCCATATTGGGATGGCTCGTTTGTGGAGCTGTTTGTATTTATTATATTTATATTGAGGCTGTTGGTTACCAGGATGCTGTCAGCAATCCTACCACTTCGGTTGCTTATGTGGAACAAGTACCACTTCATTTTCCAGCAGTGACGATTTGTAATTGGAACGCAGCTTATTATTGTGATTATTGCACGTTAACGTTACGAGCCTGTACAATGGTCAACGCAACAGATGGAACAATTATTGACTGTCCTTTCGAAATGACCACGACAACGATCGAGCAAAGTGGACAATTCTTTACGTGTTATGTTTTCAACAACAATACAGAGCATCCTGTGAGCGTGAGTACGACCGGCTATGGAGGGTCGATTAGCATGTACTTTGATGTACCACTAGCGCCTCTGGATAGAGATTCTCGTTTCGGATTGCAGGCTTCTTTTCATGAAATAGGTACTGTCCCTCCAGTGTTTGCAGAGACAAATTTTGCAGTTCCATTCGTTGATAATTTCTTTACCTTAACTAAGGTCATTACGAATCGATTGAAAGAAACGAAAGAAGCTCCCAAACATACCGTTTATTGGAGCTCTCGAGTCTCTAACGTTCAGTTAACACAGAATAGCTCGACATCTGTCGTTGTGTCCTTTGCGTACACGACATTGAATATCAAAGAAATTACAGAAATTGTTTCAAAAACATCGCTTCAGCTCTTTGGAGAAATTGCTGGAATGCTTGGTACACTGATGGTAAGTTTGATTGTTTATCATGGAATGATATTGAATTTGTTTTTTTGTGTAGGGCATTGACATTTTAAAA